ATCTGACTGCAGTTCATCGTCATAACCGACTTGAGTGAGCAAATGCTCACATTCGATGGCGTCTGGCACTTTGGAGAGGTGTTCTCTTCACGGATGAATCCCGGTTTACAGGGCAGATGGCAGACAGCGTGTAAGGCGTCGTGTGGGTGAGCGGTTTGCTGATGTCAACGTTGTGGATCGAGTGGCGGTGGGGTTATGGTATGGGCAGGCGAGTGTTATGGACAATGAACACAGGTGTACACAGATCTGTACACAATTCCTGGAAGCTGAAAACATCCCAGTTCATGCATGGCCAGCATACTCACCGGACATGTCACCCATTGAGCATGTTTGGGATGCTCTGGATCGGTGTATACCACAGGGTGTTCCAGGTCCTGCCAATATCCAGCAACTTTGTACAGCCATTGAAGAGGAGTGGACCAACATTCCACAGGGCGCAATCAACAACCTGATCAACTCGAAGGAGATGTGTTGCACTGCGTGAGGCAAATGGTGGTCACACCAGATACTGACTGGTTTCTGGCCTTTTGTGTACATAGAAAAAGTCTTAGATCTTTGAGCTCAGCTCATGATGAATGGGGGCAAAAACAAAAGTGTTGCGTTTATAGTTTTGTTCAGTGTAGTTGAACTAACTTTCACCCAGGAGACCAGGGGGTGAAATCCCATGTGAAACCAAAATTCAGTGTTGACTTATTTTCAGGTTTGTTTGTTTTTTAGTTTCTTTTTTCAGTTTTCAGTCACAGTATGGTTAAGGGTAGAAAACAAAACTACTTGGTTAGGTTTAGGAAAAGATCATGATTTGAGTTCAAATAATAAGTCAGAGTTGGATTTTGGTTTTACATAGGACACAAACAGCAGTCTCCTGAAAGGTAGGGTCCATTAAACACAACATATACAAACTGTGTGCCCAGGTGCAAATAGCATTGTTGGCTACAACACCTTGGTGCTAATAGCACCTGCCAAAAATAAAATATAGCATCAATTTATCAGACACACTTGTCCAAGGCACTGTACAGTAAGTGTATTCAATCTCTGCAGGAAAATAAACCCAAGAAGTGCATCACTCAACAAACAACTAAAAACATGTTCAGTGCTACAGTAAATTATGTAATATATGACAATGACCTTTGAAAGACTTTGATTTCCTCTCATATAGTTTGTTTAAGTCCACACAATTAAAAAAGAAATTGCTTAGTATCTGTAGCTTTACTAACTGCATATGTATATGCATGTATGCATGCGCAGTTCATTGGTGGCTGTCATACAGTCCCTCACATTAAATGTGCTAATTGAACACTTTTTTACAATGTGACGTGAACAATGAATTTTCCTTCAGAGAAGATCATGAAAACATATAGACAGGAGTTGCCCTACATAAAAAAGAACATTAAGAACACTTAATGAATTCAATTTTCAATTTTCAATTCAATTTTATTTGTATAGCGCCAATTCATAACAGAAGTTATCTCAGGACACTTTTCAAATAGAGCAGGTCTAGACCGAACTCTTTATAACATTATTTACAGAGACCCAACAGTACCACCATGAGCAAGCACTTGGCGACAAGGGCAAGGAAAAACTGCCTGTTAAAAGGCAGAAACCTAGGACAGACCCTTTGGCTCTAGGTGGGTGGTCGTCTGTCTCGACCAGTTGGGGTGAGAGAGAGAGAGAGACAGAGAGAGACAGAGGCAGAGAGAGAGACAAACAGACAGATAGGTGCAGACAGGTTAATGAAGTAAGTGAAACAGATTACATCAATCCAGGTAAAAGCCTTTATCCCATTTTAGGTTTTATTGTTGATCACAGAGGAGATGCATATGGATGCATAATGTCAGAGGAGATAGATGCTTAAGTCTTAAGGCTACAACATAATGACATCATAAGATATCACTGTTATATATATTTATACATGGTGGATCATATTCATGTATGAAACAGCAATCAAAACAATGTGTACTGATAAAATCCTTGCTGATGATGCACATGATGTATGAAGCAGTTGTTAGTACCATGGACTAATTCACGCTGCAATGAAAACATTTTTCTTCCTGTGATCGTTCAATAAAGGGCCTAGATATCTCACTTTAGAGGCTCTTAATAATGCAGCTGGGGAGATGTCTAATGCGTTAACATGTCATCACAATTACCCATCACTAGGATCACATGGTTACCAAACTGAGAGGCTGTTAAGGCGTGTTAATATCTCCATTGCTCAACAAGAAGGCAATATTCCTCATGGGGGCTGTTATGTATCTAAAAACACCAAGGCTAAGTAGTTGCACAGTGGATGTTAAACAAAATTATGTGAACATAATTTCATAAAAGTTACCCTGGAAAGTTTGATATGAATATAATATGTAGCAATATATAGCATGTCAAGCCTGCATTTCATCTATTACTGTCTGCCTCTTTCATGAGCGCTGATGCATTAGCTGAGGAACTGCTCTGATGTATAGGACATCAGAGAATGAACAGCCAAGGTTGGTGATGAATGGTAGAGCTGAGAAATGGGTAATAACCACTACAGTATTCCAGCATGCATCAATACATGCATGTTTACACATGCACACACATACAGAGCACACTGTGACTGGTTTGCATGGGGTGATTTATTGCCACACAAACCCACACACACATATACAGAGGTACACACATGCCTGTAAACATGCATCCAGACTGGTACACACACACACACACACACACACACACACACACACACACACACACAAAAACACACACACACACAAACACACACACAAAGGTACAGTGATTTATTACACTGGAACCAACCAGCAGTCCCATGTGACTTCCTATCTTTAGACTGATCTGCCGTGTTAATATCTTTTCACAATAAAACAAAACAAGGTGACATTTACATGAACATTTACATTTGCATTATTTGTGGGCACAGCTGCTAGATGTAGTATAAAGAGACAAGTCCACATATGGAGGTGGTAGGGTGGATGGATAGCTTAAACAAAGTAAAAACTAAAAGTAATAGTTGACTTCTTTAAAGTTACATACATAAGATAACTTATTTAACCTACTTAAGTTATGCAAGGTAATTCAAATGTATTTTTTATAACTTGTCCAGGGAGCCCAGTGCATCCAGAAATGATGCGAGAGGGGTACCTATAATTTTTAAGCAGAGGGCTATTTTAGGATATTTTATGAGTTCGGAGTAAGAACGTGTTACTTTACACATATCAAAACAGAAGAAATGAGCGATATAATACAATAACGTTTACGCAGCAGTTATGACCAGTTTAAACAATTCGTGGTTACTGATTGTCATAGTAACGCAACACTGCTGATACATCTCTGCTTGCAACAAAATCTAAGACGGCTTAACCTGAGCCAACGATAACAACTAAAAATAGACTGATAGGTAATGATGTCAGTTAAAACAAACCGTTGTTGACAGTAGGTAGGAAACCTCTTGCCTGCTTGACTTTGTGGCTCTATAATAATAATAATAATAATAATATTAATATAATAACAGAAAAGAGTCATAATTCCTATGGCCAGTAGAGGGGGGTACTGTTACTTGACCATAAACAGATTGTTTTTGATCAGTGATTTCTGGCCAGGGGTACAATAAGCCCAGTGGGCATTTGTGTAGTAGTTGCCAGGGGCTCATTGGAAAGACTGAAGAGAAGCTTTGTGTGGGTCAGCTGTAACACGTGAACAATAACATTACATAGCTAGCTAGAAAGCAAGCAAGCAGAGAGGTGAATCCATGGTAGAGATGGATATGTAATTAGCAATTTACTGTATTTCAACAATTTATACATAACTCCTAATAGTGCTTAAATTGTTAAAAGTCACCCTTCACTAAAAAGTCAGTTTTTCTTCTTGTTCCTCAATTGGATGTTTGAGTTTGACTGTGCACAATTTTTGACACTAGAAGGATGTTTTCACATTCATCTGCTGAAAGTGGAACGTTTCTTTGTGCTCACTGAAAATCAGATTTTAAGGGGCAGGGCCTACAAGCTTTGTGACAAGGTTTGTGACATCACAAATACTTTGGAAGTCAAGCCTGGTCCCATATGGAACTTATCCAAGTGTGATGTAGAAACTTGAAGCCAGTAGTGCACATAGAGAATGGAATTTACAGTGACTTTACAGTGAAGGAAGAGACAACTTGTGTCGAGAAGAAAGAAAAAATAATAATTTCTGCAATTTTTAATGAGTTTGATGGAGTAGACGACTTTTTAAGGATTTTGATATGGAAATGTAGAATATTTGTTTTGCATAAACAAATATATCAGACACACATAACTGCTTCAAGTTGTGTAATTGTATTATGTCTTAACACGTGTCTGGAGGGGAAGGGGACATTCAAATGCTTGCTCATGGTGGTACTGTTGGGTCTTTGTAAATAATGTTATAAAGAGTTCGGTCTAGACCTGCTCTATTTGAAAAGTGTCCTGAGATAACTTCTGTTATGAATTAGCACTATACAAATAAAATTGAACTGAAATTGAATTGAATTAAATTGTTGGCTAAAAGTATTCGAAAAAATCGTGCAAGGTCTAAAGTAGTAGTAGGAAAATACTGTAGATTGCTTTAAATAATGAATACAGTTCAGATAATTAGCTAAAATCCCTGGTGAAATAGCTTAAAGTAATCAAGAAATGGCTGAAATGTCCAGTTTCTCTCATTGCAAGTGGTAGAAGTGTGAATGTAAGCTTGTCCAAACTGACAAAAAAAAAACATGACAGAACATTTAGCTTAATTTCAAATGAACCGGGTTTAGAACATGATGGGTGGTGTCGATGAGGGGGTACTTTATTTACCAGACAGCTGTTGGGTTACATGGGAGAAAAAAGGTGGGAACCACTGTTTTAAGTGACGACTGATGCTATCATTCTTCTCGTGAGGACAGTCTCTGACTAATTAAAGCAACTAAGACAGGTAAATGAACAACAGGATGCATGTCTTGTGTTTGAGGGTTGCTGTGGTTTAAAAAAAAAGTTTGGGAAGCACTGGTTACCTACCTTTGCACACTGCTTATGATTATGACACCAGCCCAAGGATCCATTATTCTGAAGAGGAGAATGAGAGGGAGACAAAGAGAGAAGCACAAATGAATAAGTTGCTCTAACTGAATTAAGTGCAGACGAATACATTTTAATGCCCTAATTATACGTTACAGTGCTGTTGCAGCTCACAGGCAGCCAATGTAATTACAGTTTGTCAGGAGAACATCACAGAGCTCAAGAGTTCACACTTTGTATAGCACAACTGAAATTTTTCTGTAGAAAGACAAATTACTGTTTTCCCCTGCAGTTTGTGGGACTTGATGTCCTTCATGGCTCCCTGCTGTGAGCCTGAGGCCATTTGCTGTAAAATAATGAGTGCAGATCCAGGATCACTGATCAAGTCACCTGAGACAATGGATTTGTTTTTTCAGTGTGACTCCAAAGGCAAACTAGTGTCTAATCAGCACTCCTGTTGTCTGATCTCTTGGATTTGTTAAGGCATTAAATAACCACATAACTTCATAACCTAAACAGTAATTAAAAATACTATCACCTCCATTCATCTTAAATAGCTCCAAGGATAGTTACAGTAGATCTATATGTGCATCCTCATTTATAGTTTATAAACCTTGGCCAGGATGTTTGTCCATGTTAAAGTATAGGTAACAAACGTTACTCAAACAGGAGGAAATACTGAATACTATTTTCACCGGCCGATTAATCCACATTTGTTGTTGTAATGACTATTTCCGGCAGCCGGACGGTGTGTTGCGTCAAAATAAACTACAGTGTGTGTGTTCATGGTAATGAAGGAACATGTCACCCAGTGTGGATCACTGATGTGTTGCTAATCGTTTTTTACAACAATGGAGCTAAAAGAGAAAGGAAACAAGAGTGAAAAATGATGAGTGATATCGGATTACTTTTTTTGAAGCAAAAACATTAACTGCACAACACAAACTCTAGTCTCGGATGTCCCTCCACCATGTCTTGGGATTACAGACAGTTGTGAGTGTCGGTGGTTTTCTGACACAGTTGAGAGCATGTGGCCTTTCAAACACTGACATTTGCTCTGTCAATAAATAAATAGTGCGTTATTGATGGAGAGCTGAGTTAAACTGTCTCCTCTGGGGTCAGGGATTAGTAAAGTGAAGAGTGCTCTTCTCTCTGAAGTTCCTCAAGACTAACTGAGCTGCAGCAAATCATTACACTATGCTTCAGTAGAGCTGCTCAGACAATATAGTGTGTGACCAGGCAACAGCGGACAAATATGTAGGGATGCTATGGCTGATTGACCACCAATTGGAACACAGAGCAAAGAACCTAAATAGGTGAAGTAAACAAGTAAATATCACTCCGACACACTTCTCACTGCCTAATTTATCATGGCAGCCCAGACTCCACCACACAAGTGCCTGAGGCAAGGCTGGGTTACCAAACAGGCATCTGATTAATTGCAAATTTATGTGGTAATGATGATAGGAAATTATCGTAAGGCATCCTCCTCATTATGTCCTGGCTTATAAGAACCTGTGTCAAAATTTAGTTGTAATATTTTATCATTTTAATGTTGAAATTACACTGGTATGCTGCATATTCTTAAATAAATGTGTAAAAGCAAATCATATGTCACATAATAAGCATAAGGGGATAAGGGCGCACACTTTTTAATAGTCTTTCCTGAAAGTAATTCCAAGTGTAGAATCAACATCAGTAATTGTCTAAAAAAGGATCAAGGGAGAAGTTCAAACCCCGCCCAGTTTCTCACCTCCAGACACCTAGACAATCACTGACTGTAGTGAGCACCAATGTAAGCACGCTGTCAAAGTCCTCCAAATACTGCCGCTTGGGCAAGTTATGTCACAATTCCTTTCTGCCCCAGGACTCCCCTTCTGTGTCTCTTCACACAAAAAGAGTTGCCATATTGGCACATATCGGATAACATATACACCAATACCGATATGTCTGCGATAAGCCAATATCGTCCGATAATATCAGCCAGTAGATATATCAGTCAGGCTCTAGTATGAAGACCTAAAAACAGCATACACTGCAAAGAGTAAAACTGAAGGTGTAACATAAATGTTGACAAAATGATCAACAGCAGTTACAACACAATAAATATAAACCTTGGAATGTTCCAGGGCCTTGTCCAGTTCTGGGGTCCCAACAATCCACTCATTGACTTGCACAGAAGTGGTCACAACTTTGTCGGACCAAAGGAATAAAATCTAGCAGCAACAGAGGCGTATTGTTCCTGTAGACAGATGATCTCTGATGCAGAAGGGAGAATTGGACATCTAGACTGACCCTATCCCATCAGTCACCTCCCAACCCATCCCACCCATGTCCATGAGGTCAATGTTAGTGTGGTTCACACTTCAGCAGCCAATGATTTGACATTAGTACTGCACAAAACTATCACTGACACACATCTACTGTTAGACAAAGAATGAAGAGTGATCAATATCTGAGTTGCAGTTTTCGAAGACAGTTAGTCTGCTTCTTGGTTTGGTTTTTAGCAAAAGAGTTTCAAGACAGCCCAACAGAGGCATTCATGATTTAGTCTGATTTATCATTTTTTTGTGGACTGGACCATCGTTCTGTGCAGTCATCATTGGTCTAAGTGAGTGCACAAGAATGCTGTCCCCATCACTCTGAAGCCTGAAGCAAGGAGGGTACTCTAGATTATCTGTGTGTGTGTGTGTGTGTGTGTGTGTGTGTGTGTGTGTGTGTGTGTGTGTGCGTGTATAGACATAGTTACTGACAATCTATATGAATAAAATAATCAGGATAACAAGCCCTCTGCTCCAGTCCCCGTCAATCAGAAAGTTTTAAGGAATTATTTTTAACATGGGAGTGAATGAAGTTGGGTAGTTGGGATATTTTCAATTATTCAACAGTCAAGAACCAATTTGGGAGTTGGGGGATTTCTGTAGGTGGTTTTAGATAAATTGGGTTTAAACGTTGAAAAAAATTAAATCCTATATTGAAATTCTACAGTTAAATTATATTCTACATTCAAAAAGTTACACATTATGGATGGTTTATAAGTTGATTCCAGTAGTTATATTCCATATACTTCATATATTTAAATTATATTAACTATTGTAAAGACATTAAAAATATATATATAAAGTATTTCTCCACCATGTTTGTATTTTTGGAAGTAAAAGTAGTCAGTCATAGTTTTATTACAAAACAATGGAAACTAATATTTAAGGCTCTGCAAGCACTGATTATTTGCCTAAATATTCTTTGTAATTCTAAACTTATTATTTGGCCCTCAAACGTGCTGATTACTGCTATGACTCTGAAATAAGTCCAAATTACCATAAATTCCACGCTTAAAAACACCCTGACTTAACTGCAGAGTTACTGTCTCAGAAGCACAGCGGTGGAATCCCTGTGCGCTCCGGTGCCAATGTCTTCCTTACCTGCAGCGGTGTGGAGAGCGCCGCTACGCTGTGCAAACTGAGGCACCGCGACGCACACCTCGCCCTGGAAACACTCTCCGACCAGGACTCATCACCATCAGACTCATCGTGCTGCTTCCTGGCGAAGACACCGCAGCTGAAGAGGAAAATAATCCACAGAGACAGGCTCGTCATGACACCGCTGCTCGTGGCCAGCATCTTCCTCCTCGTGTCCAGGAGTGGGGCTGTGAAACAAAAGAGGATGCGGTGGGGAGTAATCTGATGGAAGTCCAGTTTAACTAGAATTATATAGCCAAGGGAGGAGCTATACGATCTAGGCGTACACAGTTAGGGTCAGGATGCTGAGAGGGCTGAGAGCTGTCAGTAAACCGGACCCACAGCCTGTAAAGCACCTGATGTGATTTATAGCTAAAACTTACCACTATATTGAAAAGACAAATCTGACAAGAATATTTGCTGATTTAGGTATAATAAAACTGTAAAATGAGAGGCAACATACAGGAACAGGGCCAGACCAATATTTAATAAATAGAATGATAAATTCCACATTAATGACTAATATATAATATAATATAACTCAACTTCTGCTTTTGTCATTTGTTATACATTTTTTCAACTTTGTTAAAGCAATTTTTCCTTTTATGCGTTTGTCCTTTTGCGTTTAATAAAATGCAAGCTAACAAAAAGCTAAATTGTCATTAGACGATAGCTGATGGGTTTCCGAGATTGCATTTTGTCCACCTCTTGCTCTCCATCTGCGGGTAACTAAAGCCCGCTTAAATGTGCCTGGCTCATCTCGAACAAGCCTGATCTCATCATTATTGCAATACGTTTCGTTTTGTACAAGCGTTTCCTCACCAAAGACCATGCTTAAAATCAAGACGGAAGTTCCAATATTTCCTCACATGTGACCACTGAAGTTCCACAATTAGATCATGTGATGATACCTGAATCAGCTACTGTACATTCACTGATGAAGACCATGAGATGTGATTGAAAGCTCCATGTATGGTTGGACCATGTATGGGCAACAGTAGTGTCTATAATGTAAATACCTGCATATTGAATGTTCATTTACAGTTTTTTGTAGTGGTCCCAGTAATATTTTTCCTAAGGTGTACTGAAGGAGCATATAACATAAAATAGTTAATAAATGTTACAAATGCAGTTGCAAGAACATTATGGTAAATGGTAAATGGACCTGTCTAGTCTTCCGACCACTCAAAGCGCTTTTACACTACATGCCACATTCGCCCTTTCACACACATTCACTGAGTGATGGTAAACAGCAGAAACTAACTCATTCATACACATTCACACACCGATGCACAGCATCAGGAGCAATTCGGGGTTCAGTATCTTGCTCAGGGAAACTTCGACAAGTCGACAATGCTTTCCGCTTTTCCAAATGTTTGATTTGAAAGAGAACAATCTTATTATAATTAGTCTAATTATCTATTAACTCCCTCTGCTGCTCTTTCATTTGTTTTTATCAGCGGGATGTTTCTGTTTTTCTATGACTCACCCTGTATTGAGTGTTTCGTCAGACTGATTAGTATTTGCAGTGCTTTAACTGTGTGCTCTCCCTCATGCCTCTGGGTGCACGGAGAGCTGTTTTCTCTCCTACTCTATTCTCTGCTGGACTGTTACAGTGCGTAACCATAGTGACAGCAGTAACTTTACTGTCTGTGCCATATGTGCACAAATGATGTACTGGGATGCACTATTGCACTGTGACAAATTGGCGGGATATGGATTAGTTATTTATTTGTCTTGAAGTGGGTGTGTTTGAGCTTGATGGTAGCGATATGTCTACTATAGAGATAGCCTCAGTAGGTAGAGTAGAGTAACTCCAGGTTCAATGAGTATAACTTAATCCATCTAAGCTGTAGGATCCACTGGTTCCTTTAGGTCTATTGGTAGAATTTGAATATAATATTATTATTATTTTTGGGGATTGTGCCAACCTTAATTGACCTCATGGCCGTTTAAAAAAAAAAATGCAATTTACGCTAATCTGGAGTTAGGGTACATAACTGATGTTCACCCCTATTCATTTTGAAAGAGCAACAGCCAATGGTGAACGCCAACACTCAACTGACTAATGTCGTAACTTCATCAGTTATTTACTGACTTTTGTGTCTATAGGGCTGGGATCTCAAACCTCCTTTTGGTCTGTGACATGTTATCAATAGGATTTTTTTGTAGTTGTTTCACATCAAATGAAACTATCTTCTCATATACAATTGAAATATTGGTAATATAATAGTAATATAATATTGGCTTTCCCCCACTTTGCTTCTAGCCAACAATAAATGTCTGTGCTCACAAGTGTGGAAATTGGATATTACCATAGATCTGATAAATTGTTAAACTACAACGCCAACTGCAGTGTATGAATATATATGTAATAGTGCTTCCACAATATTAGCAGTACTTGTTATGTTATAATTTTTCATAAGCTTTATAGCATCTTTCCAGTGGTTTTGTCTAAGGCCAGATGTGAGCGCACAAAGGCAAATCTTCTCACACCTTTTACTGTTCAATTATTGCAGAGGAAACAGTTTTGTTGGTGAATCTGTGATTTTAAACACACAGGTGGAACTTTTTCCTGGAGAGTGAGAGTGTTTTCCCTTCAGTGCAACCAATTTCAGGAGGACAAAGGCAATGTATTTTCCAGGGAATCCTAGCTGTAATCTTCACTGGTAGCTGCAAAACAACAACATTTTTATGGACTCCTCTATTAAAGTAACCACAAACATATCTCTCATAAGCAGGCTGGGCACTGCTGGTTTCCTTGCCCAGGGAAAGGAGAAAACATGACGTGTCGGAAACTCTGAAGAGATCCTCCTTGGGTTGTCGGTTCTATCATGCCTGGCACAAGGGGCCCCACTTGCGCTGTTGGAGCATCCTGCAGTGTTAACGAGATTCCTATTTTTCCCGGCCGCATTGCATTTACAAACACACACTCATACTGTGGTGCTCTCTCTCAGGTTTTATAGTACTATGTCTTTGGCCTAATGAGCCTTCACAGCTGAGAGTTTTTACCTCTCTGATTCAGAGACAGTCAGGTTCATTACACCTCTACATGTACAATCTCATAGACTTGAAGGCAATGAGGTGTTCTCATAAGTCAATCAAATTTCATGTCTTTGACCCAACTGACTGAATCTTTCTCAGTATACCCACTGGGGAAATTGACATGTAGCCCACAACCAAATCTCTGTCTCTTTCTGTTTAGTTTTGCATCTGTTAGGGGTATTCCTAAAATAGGGTGTTAATGAAGTCAGTGTCTCCAGATCTATGTGGAGCTGATGCTCTGGTGGTCCACCCACAACAGGAAGGAGAAAATCCCTGCGAGCGCCCTGCTGAGGGCTTGACTTACTGTTTCACAAATAAAAGCAACACACTAAGACAGTGTAATTGACTCATTGTGTGTGCAGCTGTATGTGCCAGTTAACTGAGGTTAATATTGGCCTTTTTTTCAAAATGTCAAATACAGTTGAATCAGGAAAGACACGTGGATTACATAGATCTGAAGGGATAGAGCCCTATAACAGCCAATCGGATATGAACGGGCCCTTGACACTGATGGTGATGGAGGGGCAAAGTAGCTGGGACTGTAATGATAGCAGAGAGAGACAAAACAGGTGAGGTGGTTAAAATATTCTTCCCCTGTGATGATCATTGGATGACAGGAAAGCCTGTGAACAGATCCAAGTGACATCATTGGTTATAAGTTGAGAGTTGCACCTTAGTGTGATCATGAAATGGGATGATGAACTTGCGCTCAAACCTAATTATAATCAGAGCTCCCTTCTCTTCACTGTAGTAACTAATTCAAGTTAAAGGGAAAACCTTGAATATAAGTGTAGAAACACAACAAATATAGATTCCCTCATCTTAATCCTTTTTGAAGACCTTTGACCCCTTCCAGTTGATGCTGCGAGCCCTCGTGACTGCTTACTGAACAGTTTGATGTGTATGAACATTGATGAATAACAACAAGAAATCACGTGAGAATCCATCTTGCCAGGCTTCAAACTATGCAACTGTGTCCAACCACAGTGATTGGACAAATCAGCATCCTGTGAGGAACTACTGGCAGCTACGGCATGAGCTGCAGGTCTGGTTTAATGCTAAGTGTGTGTGATAACGTGTGAACCAGTTTCTGTTTGCTCTAAAGCCACGGCAGCCCCTTAGGAGATTAGCGTAGATGCTGCTAGCATCAGAACTGGAGAGTATTTCTTCATTGAAAGAAGAGCAAAGAAAATAATAATATTATTATCTAGTTTCAAAAGTCCAATGTGTAAAATTTAGGCAGATCTATTGGCAGAAATGAAATATAAAATTCGTAGGTATGTTTTAATTAGTGTATAATCACCTGAAAATAAGAATGTTTTCGTTACTTTGGAGTGAGCTGTTTTTATCTACACAGGGAGCGGGTCCACCATGTTCAATCACCATGTTTCTACAGTAGCCAGAACAGACAAACCAAACACTGGCTCTAGATAGGACCTTTAGGTATTTTCATGAGTTTTGCGGCCACCACTTTCTCCTGCACACTTTAAAGGGGAGGGCGAGGCGACAGCCTTACTCATGACAATAAAAAGAAAACCATTATTCATCTCACCCAACTGTCAGAGGAGTCCATATTAAGACCTTTTGTCGTAAGTGTTTGTAAAATACAGAATCCTTACTCTAGATCTACTCTCCTAGGTGGACAGATAACTTTGTCAACGCCAGGAAATTCTAAAACAGGTCTAAATGACCTGTCCGCCATTGTTAAAGTAAACAGCAACAGGATTGTCTGACATATTGCCTGTGGTTCAGGAAGTAGAGCGGGTCGTCCACTTATCAGAAAGTTGGCAGTTCAATCCCCAGCTCCTCCCGCTGCATGTCAAAGTATCCTTGAGCAAGATACTGAACCCCAAATTGTTACAAATGCTATGCATTAGTGAGTGAATGGGTGGGTATGGGTGAATGTGGCATATACAGTAGTGTAAAGAGCTTTGATTAGTCGGAAGGCTAGAGAGGCGCTGTATAACTACAGTCCATATAGACATCCTTTCTTTGAGGTGTGGCAGGATATGCTCACTGATGGTCTAAATGCTTGTGTGAAACCTTTTCAACCAAGACCAAAAGAAAATTAAGACTAACTGTGAAGGATAATTCTGCTTTATTACTTATGTTATATTAAAGTCATGCATATTCCTGGCATCATGACATCATTAGCACTCATAATGTACAAATCAAGTTAATTGCTAAAAACCAAGAACATTGTGACATCTTAAAAAAAAAGTCTTGCATGTCAAGAATAATGAACTGTTATCAGGTTATTGAAGAGGTGAACAATAAATAAGGAATTATCTGCAACATTTCAGGTGTGCTCACATTTGTTTTTCCCTCTGAATAAAGTGATTTAGACAAACTGTTGGTCTGTTTACAACCTGTCTGAACATCAGTCTTCATTGTGGCAGTGTCACAATGTTCCTACATCTCAGCAATTCACTTGAGTGAGTGAGTGCAACGTTATCATAACTAACAGAAATGATGGACAAAGCTATTAAAATACGGTCCCTTGTTATAAATTTACCTTTAATGATACATGAATGTCAGAAGGTTTCAATCCACTGAAATATCTGTGTTGGTATCTGCCCAAAAAACCCTCCGGGATCCAACTGTGTTGCAGATTTCCCATCATGTGTTTTCCATTGCTTCAGTCAGTGCTTGAGTGTGTGCGCGTGTCTTCCACTCTGCATGTGTGCTGGTGGAATCCCAGTATTCGTTGTGGGGTCCTTCAGGCTCCACATGGACAGCTGAATGGTATTTCCACACTGCTCCCAGGCACTTGTTACAGAAGGGAACCCCACTTAATGGGGTACACCTCATAAAGGAAGAGGTTGGTCATTTCCCTGTGGTTTACTGAGTGTGTGGTGGGGAGGAGGGAGTCCACTTTCTGGGGTTTCTCACCAGCAACAGTCCTGATGGAAGTTTGTTTGTGTACTGAACAATTACATGATTATCTGCTCAGATAGTTGCACTTGAAGAAATAGCTTCAGGTTATTGTTTAATATTAAATTATAGGTAAGTTGTCCAAGGTTCTTTGGTTCATTTTCCTGCTTTAACGTCAAGGTGGAGAAAGTGTTCATATCCTTCACTTGAGTAAAGAAGTAATACCCCACTTTAGGAGCCATGTCTAAGTGTATGTAGGACCAAATTGGTCAGTAGGTGTCACCTTCGTGCTTCAGATCACTTTCAGTTTAGGCAGGAACCTTCACTTAAGGAACAGTGTTGTTGGATGGAGGAGCACAAATAGCTTTTTGACCGCTACACTAGACCATGCTGCAGGGTAACACTGGGTCGTTGGTGAAAAGTGTGAATGTATGGAGATTTATGGAAAATGGTTATGGATTGTTGACACATGGAAGACCTTTAATTGTGATATGCAAAATAAATATTCCATAAACTCAAAAGCATAAGTTGGACTATTCACTTTAAGGCTTTAAGTTTAGGCTTAGCCGCTACAACCCTCTGTAAAATTACTCTGAAATCATATTGTTACCATAGGAATGTGAAAGTGCTGCCAGTATTTGATCCAGACCTTGCTGAAGGAAAGAAAGTGTGTAAGCGTTTGCACACATAGTCGTGAGCACATATGTATACCCCTCAGCAAAAATATATTCCAGCACGCATTACCATGACCAACCCCATCTTTTTAAAGTGTGTAACATATAGGAGGGTCTATGATAGAAATGGAATATAATATGTTATCAGTGTATAATGACCTGAAAATAAGAATTGTGTTTTTGTTACCTTAGAATGAGTTGCCTTTATTAACAGAAGCCGTGAAATTTTTCATGGAGTCCTCCATGTTGAACTGCCATGTTTCTACAGTAGCCCAGAAGGGACAAACCAAACATTAGTGGTTGTGAAACATACAATAGTGTCTGCAGTGTATTCACAGTGTCACATTGTCATTATGTAGTAGATAATGGAAGGACGCTCCAGGTTACATCAAAAAACTGTACTCTAACATCTTTGCTGTCAAACCTTTCACTATGCTAGTGCTATCTCTCACTCCTTGAATTGAAAAGTTTGCTCTGTGCAAGAGGTTTTAGATTTTTTTGTCGTCTGCATTTCCTAGATAGCAGTTTCCCAAATCTGGCTTGCCTGGGCTGTGTTTGAATCTCAGATTTTGTTTTGTGTACCATAGGGGAATGTGAAAACACCTATCAAGTGACAAACACAGATACAAGTCAGTAAATTCAAGGTCTGACATTTTATTACCCAGTTAGCACCAACCAGGAATTCAACGTTGATTTCTAGCTGAAAACTAGGAGATATTTGGTCTGAACATCCAAGACCTCTTTCCACCCTCTTTTCAATCAGATAAAATCCAGTTAAAACATCAGCAACAGTTGTAGGTTGACAGAGACACAATATTGATTAGTATGAAGGTATTTCTCCAAAGTCATATTGCACCGGTAGGTGAAATGTGGTCTACATGAAGATATAATTTCATTCATTTCATAATGTTTCATTTAAAATTTCATAAATATGTAATTATATAGGCTGTGTATATAGAAAAGAAGCTTCCAGGATATTTTAATAGGAGAAGTTCTGTACATTTATGTAAAATAAGAAAGCATGTGGAGGTACTACTTATTGGTTACAGCTTCGACCAGTACTAGGTATATATATCAGGACCAAGACTTGTGGCATGGCAAGTACATAGCCCTCAGCCTTTTGGCTTTAGGAAGCAAAAGTATAGATTATCGGGCGCCTGGTTAGCTCAGTTGGTAGAGCTGGCAACCCATGTACAGAGTTTCTGCAGCGGCCCAGGGTTCGAACCGGACCTGCAACCCAACCTGCGGCCCTTTGCTGCGTGCCATCCCCCCTCTCTCTGCCCCCTTTCCTGCCTGTCTGTCTTCGGCTGTAACTATCCAATAAAGTCAATAAAGGGCCCCCAAATTTTTATTAGTATATATTATAGATGTATAGAAGAAAGCAACCAAGTCCCTTTTAGCAGCAAGATGCTGTGGTTGAGTGGGTTAAGTAAAGGTCTCATACACTGGAGGCTGTGGTTTAACTCCTGTATGTGAAATTTATATTTATAGTGTCTTTCAATTGACAAATTTGGATGCGGTTTCAGACTCCAAAGTCATAACAGCACTTTGTTTGGATGTAAAATGTCACTATTTTAAATCCTGGTGAAATATGGTCAAAATGTAAGTGTCAATCAATGTCTTCAGATAGTCTGTGAAAAAACATTCACTTTCGAACCAACTTGAACCGGTTACTATAGATGTTGTTTGAACTTCTTTTCAACTGCAAAATGTTCACTGGGTTCACATAAACATAAGTAAAACATATTTTTGAGTGGAGGAGATATTTAAACATATCAGTGAGGTATTTTGTTAATGGCTGGTATGTGCCAGAACGGACAAAACTGCTGCCAAAGTGAGCCCTCCTCCATTTCAAAGTCAAACATCTGTAGCCAGACGAAGTAATGTGAAGAGTAGATTGCGTATACCCTTTAAATATATATTTTTTAACTTTTATATTATGCCTAATTATAAAGTGCTTTCCCCATTTACACTGAGAGTGTGTAGTTGTTTATCATATTATATCTAATTAGTCTGTTCATTGTTAGTCTAAGACCTTATATACTTAAACATTTCTGTTTCCATTCATGTGTTGATAAAAAGTTAATTATTGCTTAAATTCACAGTATGACTCTTTCATTGATTTTGTAGAACTTTTTGCAGCACAAAGCCTTTTTCCCACATTAACTCTGTCTGGCACTGTATCTGCTTTACAGACTGATTAATGTACAATGGTTCTGAATCTTAAATTACTCTTACAAGTGACAAGCCGAGCCATCAGCTCATAAGGCGTGCAGGCTGAGAGCTGCAGCCCACACAAAGGAGAACGCATCTGTCTCTATTTCCGCTGATCTTTGCCTGTGTGAAAAATGTATTGAATTTGCGTGTGTTCTGCTCTATAGATAATCTATTATTAAACTGTAGGTTAGGTGAAATGACTTGGCTTTAATAAATGATAAGCCTCACCACTTGTCATTCAAATTAATCATATGAAGAAGAAAGATATCAAAACTCAGATATCAAAATGTCAGTTTCATTATTTGTCTTTCAGTGATTCTCTTTAAAAAACACACACACAGTGGTGTTAATGCTCATTGTTCTGCATGGTGCTCTACTGCCGCCTAGTGTCATTAAGCAGTACTGATCCTAACAGGTCTAAATTTGACCTCACACAATATGATTACAGCTGCAAACAAATACCATTCAACCTTTTAATTTTATTGAAACAATTCAGACAGACTTAGATTTGTGTGCAGCAGAATAACAGCAATATGAAGCCAACAGAGTGCAGTCTGAACAGGAGAAATCTATGATCAAAGACCATGCATGTGGTCACAGGCTAAGGAGAAGAGACTCAGTTGCAGAGGTCAGTGCTGCAGCAGCTGGCGATCACACCGGGTGTTGTGATGTAGCCCTGACACACTGCCATGTTAATGCACTGACGGAACGAAGAGTCTGGAATCATAAAACAAAAGGGATCCAATTAAACCATCTATTACATACAAACACATCCATAGTGGGTGGGTTGGATATAAAGATAGGTTGAAATTTTTCTCTATTAAAACAACAATAAGTTGCAAATATGTATTATTAAGATTGTGAAATGGTCGCAGTTTGGTTTTCGTTAAGGAAAAGATTGCAAGTTAGGTTACGTACATGATGTAACTTAAAGGGCCAGTATGTAACATATAGGAGGATCTATTGGCAGAAATGGAATATAAAATGCATAACTGTGTTTTTATTAGTGTATAATCACCTGAATATAGGAAACCTTAGAGTGAGCCCTTTACATCAAAAGACACCACAGGTCGCTGTCCATGAAGTCCGCCCTGTTGAACTTCCATGTTTCTACAGTGGCCCAGAAGGGACGAACCAACCCTGGGTCTAGAGGGCGCAACTACACTGCTAGATACCACTAAATCCTACATACTGGAACTTTAACCTGCTTGTGTGCCCTAGTGCAAAAAATTACTGTAAGCCCTTACTGATGAACAAGAGAATAGAATAAATATGCAATGTCCGGTTAGACTTTCAAAATAAAGCATGTGTTAACATTTCAGTTTGGTTAGGTTTAGGCAAAGATCGTAAGTATGTAATGCACCTGAAGCATGTTAACTTATGTAACTTAAGTAAATTAACTAACATACATTACTTCAAAGATATTGTTAACTTTTGGTTTAATGTGCACTTTGGCCCAGCTGTTGCTCAGGAGGTTGTCCATGAATCAAAAGTTGGTGAGTTTGATCCCCAGCTTCTCCCTCTGCATGTCAAAGTGTCTTTGGGCAAAAATACTGAAACCAAAATTGCTACCAATGCCATGCTAACTGGTGTGCGGTTAGCACTTTGCATGGCAGCCTCTGCTATAAGTGTGTAAATGTGTGTGAATGGGTGAATGTGACATGTTGTGTAGAGAACTTTCAGTGTTTGGAAGACTAGAAAGATGCTATATAAGTGCAGTCCATGTACAATTTTCTTTCTAGCTCTTTATACTATGTCACCTGACTCGGATGTTGGCATATCCAGAAATAACACTAGAGGGACACCTAAAGCATCATGTTTTGAAGAAGCGACCGCTGGCCAAGCTGCAGTATTTGATGACTTGGGAGAGTTGTTGCATGATGTATTTTGCCTTCCATCTTTTTAATGTTAAGTTTTTATTTAGTTAATGTTAATAAATTAAGACAGCACTGGAAAGCTAATTAATACCAGAAAGGAGTAATTAACATTCTAGTGGCACATTGCAGCCTCCACTGAAGGACTTACTCAGTGGGTCTTGGAATATGACAGCACCACAAGCATTAGCTGATCCTGAACAGGTCTGGATGCTGGTCGGGGTGCAGAGACTACCCCCCTTTGAGAAACAGTAGTTACACTTTAGTGCCTCGCCTGCATAACACACACAAATAACAAATAAATGACAAATGAAGATATACAACTGTGGAACATATTGAATCAAACAAGGAAATTAAGAAAAATAAATATAGAAAGGAAGAGGTTGTCTGTACACTCACATTTGCAAGCCTTCAAAACTTTTTGTTTATGCAACATTTCAACCTACCAGGTCTTTGTCTGACTAATGTAATAGATTTAAATATGATATATGCGGCTAAAAACATTAAGAGATACAAATTTTCAAACTAAAGCTCCAGTGTGCAGTGGCACAATTGTGGTGAAACAGTTTAGGATTAGCACCCTACAGGGAACTTTGTCATGTTTTGTCCACTCATGTTTATCTACCATAGGGTCATTGAGCAACAGCTAAACAACAAGAATAAAAACACACATACCTTGATATAGGCTCAGCAAGAGAAAGATGGTACACACTGCAGTTCTCATTTTTTCAGTCTAGAATTTTAAAGAAAACATACTTTTAAGGAAAAAATGTTTTTGGTTGCAACAGTTGTGATCTCATCTGTTAAATGATAAAGACAAAGACTCCTCCTTGTGGTCTGTAAGATCATCAATCAATCAGTCAGTCAGTTTTTTGTAGAGTGGTAAAAGCTCATTTCACTGTTAATCACTGTCAATGACCATTTATATTATTGAGCATTCATTGTTTCTCAATATAGGATATTAAGTAAGGCACCTAACAGCAAGGACACAATTATATTTCCGGTTTTAGGTTTAGGGAAGCAGGTAACGCTTGGCTTACATTGGCCATTCATTTTTCAAGAGCACATAAGCATTGATGAAAGAAAGCAATGTATATATTGATATATTGATATCCAGCATACACCATAATGCTACCAGTAATACTCATTAGAGCACCAAATGTGGTTTAATCTGCCACTGAAAGTAGTCCCTGACAAATGCATCATTGACTACTGAAAGGAGTCATTAACTTCAGCATTCAATATAAGCACACAAAGTCCCTTTTTACATGAAATACACGTCAGACATTTGTACAGACTATTAAGATAGCATTTACAAAACATATATAACATAACAAAGCCTCCTTACCACCATAAAGTCTGCAGCCAAAGAACTAATCTACCTGTAAAGTACAGAGATGGGCTGTTACCTTGTGCTCAGTTCTCAGTGAACTGTGTTTCTGTGTTCACGGGAGAAGTACTAACTTTACACTCGGCTCTGTCTTTTAACACAGTTGTGTATTGTGTAATCAACCACAAGAACTTGATTCTCTGCTGACTGGCTGTGAGTTGTTAGGACTGACTGCAACATAACTGACTTTCCAGTGTTGCAAAAGAGGAATATACAAGGAATGTACCAACTGACTAGCTGATCACCTGATCACATCAGCTGAAAATCTGTTGATTTCAATGTATTTATTGAAGTGATTTATGATTATGATATAATAAAAGAGACAAAGTGCAGCTTAAATACTTATTGTGTATAAATACCAACAGACAGGCTACTTAATATTAAGATTCAATTAAATCAGAGGGTCAAATCTAAGTAGTTTTTTCTACACGCTTGGAATGGGAGGTTAAGGCCAGAGGGATGCAATCTGCAGCTACACAGTTATGCCAAATCCTACACACTGGTCCTTTAAGAAAAAAAAATGCTGACACAAACAAAGTGTCTCCCATTTATAACCAAAGCAATGAAATATTCATTCAACCTTCTACACACAAGAGACACAGGTCATCTGCTTATATTGTCTCTGTCTCTTATATTGTGTTTGGTCGAGCATTTCAGTGCTGAAACCATAAAATCGCAGTTAATCATGTTCCTGTTTGGGTCTTATTTTTTCCATAGAAACTTGCAGCTATTGTTCTGCCTTGGTTGAGTTTAGCAGAAGAGATGTAAGATGCCTTCAGAAGTGTACAAATATCTAAACCACTTTAATGTTATTTTATGGTGTGGGATTGCAGCATTGCAACAGGAGCTGTCTCAGCAGTAACAGCAGTGTAATGCACCAACATGACATGAGAATAATTTTCTATACAGTAACTCACTGTGCTTTATACAAAGACCCACATCTTGCCTAAAGTTAAAAACTGTAAAAGTCTATTTTTATGGCAGAAAATCCAAAAGCAAGCATAGCTTCAATTCACAGTGATATCATTATTTCTTTATGGATATTGGCACACAGAGCTCTCTTCATCCTGAGTCACAGCACTGTGAAAAGAACCTAGTTAAACGGATTAATACACTTCAGAAAAGGTTTGCTTTCCCCAGTGGATGTCAGGAGGTCTGCTAATTTTCCCTGGTTTCATATAAATACATATAAACACTGTTCATTCATTTCTTAATTAAAACTGGGGCAGTCTGTTTTAGGGTGTGGGATTTAGTGGCAGCAGTGTAGTTACAGATTGCAACTCCTTTGTTTCACCCTCCCGTTTCAAGCGCAAAGGAGAAACTACAGTAGATGCAAAATGGTGACACCCCTATCTAGAGCCAGTGTTTGGTTTTTCCCTTCTGGGCTACTGTAGAAACATAGCTAATTAACATGGCAGACTCCAGGGAAGGTGACCCACAGTGTCTGTAGATTAAAAACAGCTCATTAAAGTAACAAAAACATAACGATTCTTATTTTCAGGTGATTGAATGAAAACATACCTATATTCTGTATCTGTATAGATTCACCTAAATGTTTGACACTGGACCTTTAAGTGCCTGTTGTAATATTGTAAACAAAGCCCACAAGGTAACACTGTGGTTCACCGGGTATGTGAAGTACTTTGTTAGACAAATACTAAGTGATTTTTATTAAAATGTGGACAACCTTCAGAAAAGGCATGCTGTAATGCTTCTTTTATAATCATCACTGTGAAAGCCCCTTGTTGATCTTCCTTTTTTCCATCTGTGGGCAGTAAATAGTTAGGGCTCATTACTAGTAATAATATTACAGTATTATTATTACTTTCCCCAGTAACTAGTAGTGTAACTAATTACTAATACATTTCAGTAATAATATTACAGTTACACCCACAGTTGGGATCTGCCGCGGGCATGGGCCCTGGACCAGCTGCTAATTCTATATCTGCATTTGTAAAGATTACTGTCTTTACAAATGCACTTGTACTTGTGCTGTAAGCCATATTTTTATGTTAAAATGTTTAATAGCTCTACATTCCAAGAGCCATCACTGATGCTGTCCTTCAAATGAAACTTGGTGCAGTGTTTTTTTCAATGAATCTCTAAAGACTGTCTGAATTATCTTTTGCATTAATTAGTTTATTTGTTTATTTATTTTGCAGCCAATTCGCATAACTTGATTAATGTCCTTAATTGTGTAGGATTTAGTTGCATCTAGCAGTAAAGTTGCAGAACCAACTCGCCACACCCTCCTCTTCCAAGTGTTAGAGGCCCTATTTAGAGCCAGCGTTAGGTTTGTCCTTTTTGGGTGACTGTAAAACATGGCAGACTCCGCAGGACCCACACCCTCTGTAGATAAAAATGTTTCATTCTGAGGTACTGAAAACACAAAAGTTCTTATTTTCAAGTGATTATACACTTATGTAAACACACCTTTGATTATTATATTCCATTTCTCCCAATAGATCCTCCTAAACATTACACACTGGCCCTTTAAAATACTCTCTATCAGTTTCCCAACAAGCAATATCAAACAAAGAACACAGCCACAAACAATTTTAAACATTTAATTATTTCCCAACAAATGGACAGAAATAGTGACCATGACTGCACACACTGTCAAGAACAACTGCTGTATACAGAACAATATATTTCTATGTCCACTGTAACTGGGTAAAATGTGTCAGTTGTCACACATGCAAATACATGTTTCTCTATGGACTAATAATAATAAAATAAAAATGATGGTTAGTGTTAACTGTCCTGTCTTTCAGGCATGAAAATCATCACATTGGGAAGTTTGGGACCATCATCTCAGTTGCACTGGTCAGTGGTACATGTGAAGACTGTACAGTGGGGGTCGGCTTGTAAAATAAAGGTGTCCGACATCTTCATGCACCTCTTGAAATGTAAGGTCCCTGCAGTGAACAGAAGGACAATATGTGCTGTAAAACTACAAAAGATGTACAAAATGTCCCACTGACTTGGAATATTTAAAAATTCCTGTAAAGAATAGTAAATTATTACAAACACATTCAATTAGCCTGATTTAACAAGGAGGGACACTTTATTAATGCCTCTAGGGTAAGTAAAAAAATATTTCTGTGCTGTTATTTTACACACATAGGCCCAAAATTCACAGCATTAATGTATGGAGAGAGATGTCAGAGCCAAGTACACAGATTTTTTAAACGAGCCACCCTCTGGTCCCCACTGATTCAAGCACCTAGTTTTGAACTAATCAGGTGCATTTTACATTATATTCTATAAAGTGAATTGTTTAATGCTCTCGCCTGTGAGATGTATTTGATGAAAAACTTGTAGACCTACCGATTTTTTCATTATTATTACTCTGTTTCATTGTCCAATGATGTAGCCTATAAAACTTCGTCAGTGTAAATGTGTCATTTACCCTCAGTCTCTCTGAGAAAAAGTTATATTACTGGGGAAACACTGCCATCTATTACAGTATTATACCATGGAGCAGGTTTGTCAGCTAAACATTAATTCTAAAGCCCGACCGATATGGGACTTTTGAGACCATACTGATATTAGAGGAAAATAATTACCATAATTAATTACCAATATTGAGGCCAGATAATTTTTTAGCTGAATTGTGCAGTGATATGACTCTGCATAAGTGCATAAGGCTGCTTTCTTAAGCAAATAGCTTTATTACAGAATATCTAAGATAAATATTCTTATTCTTATTCTTAACATATTAAACAATTTAACACAGACATTATCAAGAAGCTGACATTTCTGAGCTGCTTCTTCTCTCTTACTCTGTGCTGCTTGCCACAGTATTGTAAATCGTCATGCACTCTGCTGGATAAAAAGACCATATCGGTTCCTGTTACAATACCAATGTGTCTGTGATATGCCAGTATTGGCCGATAATATAAGCTGACGATCAGTCGGGCTCTAATTAATTCTGTAAACTCTACTCCAACATAGTTTTATTATTTTATTATGATGCTGGTTATGATACCAAATTCCTACCCTATGTTATGTAAGTTAACAATATTTTTTAGGGGGCAACAGTGGAAATTAGTATAATTCAACATATGTTGTGTTCTGGTTTGAAACTGATAAAGACAGTTAGAACAATTGGATACTAAATCAGATGTAGGCTCCTCAGGATGATTTTTGTGTGGGTCTGAATATTTACAACGTCCTGCTCTACCCAGGTTGCAAAAACAACTATGTCACTTACGGATGCTATATGCGCAGGTGACAGATGCACAGACATCCTCTTGTCTCTGGCAGGTTTCCACTGTGGTGGTGCATGGTGCACTAGACCGTGGGACACAGCGTTTGCATTTCAGAGCCAATGCTGCAGAACAAATGTATATTTACATGAATATATATTAATATACATATTCATTCATACAACTGTTAAGTAGTTAGGCATTTACCATTATGAAAAACTAAGGACCAGATTTCCTGGCAAACAAATTAAATACCATCTGTATTTATAATATATAATAATATATTTATAATTCCTGATGAAGGACACCTACTAAACAGTTCCAGTGAAACTGTCTGTTCACAGTTCTTGATATTATAATTGTGGAAATGTGGAGGACTTGTTGAGACTGGTTTATGTTGTAGCAAAGTAAATGAATGTCACCTTTGACCTATGTCGTTGTATCTCTTGTGGCTTTAACCTCATAAGACTTTAAGCAATTAAAAAATTAGAAAGTAGATTTACCACTGCTGATGCAGACGATCAAGAGGACAACAGCAAGCTGGACTGCTTTCATTTTTGACTCTTCCTGGCGAGTTGATCGTTGTTTAAGGGACTGTAAATATTTAAAAATGTAATTTAGTTCAAGTGCTGTTTGTAGAATGTTATAGTGAACATGAATCCAAACTGTTACACCCAGGATACACCTTTACACTGTGTTGTAGATCAGTGCAGATGTGAGTTAAGATCTGAGGGTGAATCTAACGAGAGATTTAATAAATATCAAATGCTAAACATTTTAAAGCTTATTAGGAATAATAGCTAATTTTTTATCAAATTTCTTTCCTTTGTTAATTTTTCCTTCTTCCTCCCTTTTACATTGTTCCCTTGTTCCCTTTCTACTGCCTGGTCAGTTTTTGTAAACAAATCTATAAACAAACCATTTTACTAACCCAGAAAAGTAATATAACACATATTTCTTTTTTATATTTATAGTGGATGGATTTGTTGTCATAGCAGCAAAAGACAGATATAGTTAATAATATGGATGGCTCCATTCATTTGGATGTCATAACAACAGAGTCCTGGAACTGATGCACCTAAATGGAATCCATTTGTCATTACTGTGAATCTTCACGTCTTTCCTCCTTTCTTCTTCCTCTTCTGTTCTTGCTCCTCTCACATTTCTTTCAACATATTTTAAATACTCTTTCTCAGCTTCCTACCCCCCTACTGTTACAGCTTAACCACCAATAAACCTGGGACCTCATACACATTTTCTCAACAAATGACCTTTGTAGATAAAGACTTCTTCAATAAAAAATAAAGCAGTATAAAATAATTACCTGCTTGTGTTTCCTGCAGGATGAAACTCCTCTAGCAGTGAGGGTTCTTGCAGACCAATTTATAGCCTGGTGAGTCCGAATGTTGAACAAACAGTGGAAATCCCATTCTTACTACACACAGCTAAAGTAGCTTGGAACATGTTGTTAATGTACTACCACTGGTTGTGCAAGAGGTTGCCCAAAAGCAGCTACAATGACACATCTGATCCAGACAAACTTTCCCTGTTAATTCCCTGGGGGATTTTGGACCTCTTATGTCATATAGTGCATTTAAAAGCCATGCACACCAATTTCGCTAGCTGGTCAAACTTTACTCTTGAATGACATATACAATCAGGGGGAACCTTTGTTTTACCCCTGCCCTTCAGACAGCCTGAGTCTGCCGCTGGTTCAGCATGTGACTGGGTATAGGACCCTACTGTGACACTATTTAGAGAACACTTTTTAATACTTGCTGCAGGGGTTGCTGGTTTCAGGTGCCAACCATCTAACCTTCTGCCTAGGAAAGAAAATGTGCCCCAGGGTGGTTTGTTTATGTCCCACAAGCACATCTGTGTGCCTCTCTCTCTCTCTCTCTGGTTTTCCTCCTCCTTATCCTCTTTTTACTCAACCACAACTCCTTCTGTTCCCCCACAGGACCCAGGTAAAATGACTCAAAAGATTTATTACAAAAGTAAATGTTAAGCAGGCTTACAGGAATGATGAGGCAGGCAAAGGTCAATATTGGGAAATCAGTCCAACCAAAGTAAACAAATCCAAGCAAAAAGAATCCAAAGTCTATAAAACAGGCGATATCCAAGAATACAAAATTAGTCCATACAACACTGGGAAACACTATGAAATGGCTTTCTTGAGACACGCCTCCTGAAATATGACTAGGCTGCAGAGAAGAACAATAAAATATATTGTAAAACACATAAATATAAAATCTCACAGTATATTAAATGAAAGACATGTAACACAACAGTGTAACATACACATGTATGTTACACATGTATGTTACACATGTGTTCAAATGTGTAACAAAAATTCAGTTTTCACTTGATGAATGTTGAACCTCCAACCTGAAAACTACAAATATTTTTTTATTTGTAGTTTTCAGGTTGGTGGTTCAACATTTTTACAGAGCAAGGCACAAAGACATTTAAGATATCAGATTTCTTTCACATTTCAATTTATTTTGCGTCACATTCATGCATACTTGTGTTATATCCATCTAGTAAAAAACATGTTACATGAAGTTTTTCATATCATGTTTGACTTTCTGATACTGTCTATGTTGCAGCAAGTACATCTCACATTTTACTCTTTTTAAGGCATTTTTAGATTTCAGCTCTAGATCATTTTTGCGGTATTAACAAAACCATGGATGTATACCATTGCTGATGTAGACTATCAGAAGGACCAGCTGTGCTGTCTTCATTTCTTGGTCATTACTGAGACACTTTTAAGATGAAAAAATATGTTTGCAAAATGATCAGTTTTATAAAAAATATTCACATTGGCATTTTCCAGAGGTTTGGAGTCACATGACTTGGGCTTGAGTCACAGATTTGATAACAGAAGATTCGACTTGACAAAATCAGAAAAGACTTGCAACTTGACTTGGACTTTAACACCAATGACTGATGACTTTACTTGGACATTCCCCCAAGCCCAAAGATTAAAAATGCTTAATTCCTGAGATAACCTATGTAACTACATCTCAGTCTCATTGTTGAGTAGCAAACAACTGAAAGCCTATTTTAACTACAACCAATAGGCTGCAACTACCTTAAGTGGAGCCTATTGGCTGTTTGGCAAACAGTTAGGGTTTAAGTTTGTGCATTTTTGGCTGCAAATAAAGGCAGCTTAGACTTAGAAACTAAAACTCTTTCCTGGTGCTGGTCTGGACAGTCAGGCTGATACAGTATATAACTTATAAATAATTTAAAGTCCGGTTGCTGTAACTCTATCTCAGTTTGATTGTTGAGTAGCCTATCAAACACCTCAGCAAGATATAGATTGCAAACAATGGCTTTGAACTTAAACACTGAATTGCATCAAAACAAACTGTCTTGGTGCACATCTAGACAATCATGCTGGATCAAATATATTATAAGGATGAAGTAATCCTGAATTATAAGGATAACTTGATTGTTGTTGAGTTCCCGCTGTTGTTCTGGCTGTACAAATGATTCTATAAAAATATGCTTTCTTTAATAGCCACATAGTGTAGCCCTGTGATAGACCATATACAGTAAATGGCACATTCAGGCACTCCCATTGTGGCTCCCATATGAACTTATTTGAACTATGCTTAAATCTTGGTGCATGTATAACTTTTAAAAACTAATGGACCAAACCTTAAAAAAGTATCACCAGTTTCTAGCTTCATCTCTGGTATAGGAAGTTATTTATATTCTATTTTTATTAGTTTTTCTTGGAAGAATACAGCTGAACAAAGATGCACGCTTTAAGTTTTTATTGTGCTTTTAACTGGGTACATGAAGTATTTCATAGTCCAGCTGGAGTCTTATTCATTGCAGCCGTCCCAGTTGCAGCAGCTGACCTTCAGTCCCTGAGTGAATGCCAGCTTCAGACACTCGGCCATCTTGAAGCAGGACTTGTGGAAAGTGTTCTCTGTGGAGAGAAATTAGAAAATCTATAATTAATTGCACTTTACTCCTCCTTTTGCTTTTTATCTGTTCAAATGAATTACAATGAATTAAACTAAAATGCTTTTAATAGAAAGTATTTCACCAAAACCTTTCTTGGTTTGATTTATATTTAAAGGGATTAATAACATAAAGTCTGGTTTTTACTAAATTCAATTCAATTCAATTCAATTCAATTTTATTTGTATAGCGCCAATTCATAACAGAAGTTATCTCAGGACACTTTTCAAATAGAGCAGGTCTAGACCGAACTCTTTAACATTAATTACAGAGACCCAACAGTACCACCATGAGCAAGCACTTGGCGACAAGGGCAAGGAAAAACTGCCTGTTAAAAGGCAGAAACCTAGGACAGATCCTCCGGCTCTAGGTGGGTGGTCGTCTGTCTCGACCAGTTGGGGTGAGAGAGAGAGAGAGAGAGAGAGAGAGAGAGAGAGAGAGAGAGAGAGAGAGAGAGCGACAGACAGACAGACAGGTGCACAGCAACAACAGTATTGGCAATGGCAGTCAAGCAGGACCATGGCAGGAGGCTCCACCAGGATCCATGAGAACCTGCGAGACGAAAGCACAAGAACTCCGGGGAAGAAGTGGAGTTAGTAACATGCATTAAAGGGACATGAATGAGTGCAGCAAGAGAGAGGAAGAGAGTAGCTCAGTGCACCATGGGAAATCCCCGATAGTCTAGGCCTATAGCAGCATAACTAAGGGATGGTTCAGGACTCACCTGATCCAGCCCTAACTATAAACTTTATCAAAGAGGAATGTCTTAAGCCTACTCTTGAATGTGGTGAGGGTGTCTGCCTCCCGAACCACAACTGGAAGCTGGTTCCACAGGAGAGGAGCTTGGTAACTGAAGGCTCTGGCTCCTGTTCTACTTTTAGAGACTATAGGAACCACAAGTAGCCCAGCATTCAGAGAACGTAGTGTTCTAGTGGGGTAATAGGGTACTATGAGCTCTTTAAGATATGAAGGGGCCTGACCATGAAGAGCTTTATAGGTGAGGAGGAGGATTTTAAATTCAATTCTACATTTTATAGGGAGCCAATGCAGAGTAGCTAGTACAGGAGAGATGTGATCTCTTTTTCTAGTTCCTGTCAGTACTCGTGCTGCAGCGTTCTGAATAAATTGGAGCGTTTTAATGGACTTATTGGGGCAACCTGATAATAAAGAGTTGCAGTAATCCAGCCTTGAAGTAACAAATGCATGGATTAGTTTTTCTGCATCTGTCTGTGATAGTATGTGTCTAATTTTTCTAATATTACGTAAATGAAAGAAGGCAGTCCTAGAGGTCTGCTTTATGTGGGAGTTAAATGACAAATCCTGATCAAAGATAACTCCAAGATTCCTGACAGTGGTGCTAGAGGCCAAGTTAATGCCATCTAGAGTGACTATATCTTTAGACAATGAGTCTCTAAGGTTTTTGGGGCCAAGAACAAGAATTTCGTTTTTTCTGAGTTTAACATCAGAAAATTGCAGGTCATCCAGGATTTTATGTCCTTAAGACATGTTTGTAATTTAGATAATTGATTAATTTCATTGGGTTTGATTGATAGATATAACTGCGTATCATCTGCATAACAGTGAAAGTTAATGGAGTGATTCCTAATAATGTTGCCTAAAGGGAGCATATATAAAGTAAATAGTATTGGTCCAAGTACAGAACCTTGTGGAACTCCATGACTAACTTTAGTATTTATGGAGGATTCATCGTTAACATGTACAAACTGAGAACGATCTGATAAGTATGACTTAAACCAGGTTAGGGCAGTTCCTTTAATGCCAATTTGATGCTCAAGTCTCAGTAAAAGAATATCATGGTCAATGGTGTCAAATGCAGCACTAAGATCTAATAATACAAGTACAGAGACAAGTCCATTGTCAGAAGCAATCAGAAGGTCATTATTAACTTTAACCAGAGCTGTCTCTGTGCTATGATGAACTCTAAATCCTGACTGAAAATCCTCAAATAAACTATTGTTATGTAGAAAGTCACACAACTCTTTGGCGACTACTTTCTCCAGAATCTTAGAGAGGAAGGGGAGGTTAGAAATCGGTCTATAGTTGGCTAAAACCCTGGGTCAAGAGTGGACTTTTAAGAAGGGGTTTAATTACAGCTACTTTAAAGGACTGTGGTACATATCCTGATAATAAAGAAAGATTAATCATATCCAGTAAAGAAGTGCCAATTAAGGGAACAACTTCTTTAAGCAGCCTAGTTGGGATCGGGTCTAACAGACAGGTTGATGGCTTCGATGAAGAAATGATTGAAGTTAACTGATGAAGATCGATAGCAGAAAAACAGTCTAAATATACATCTAAGTTTACATTGACAGAAGTCCCTGAACTTGGAGAGCCACTGATAACTGTTGATGGCAGTTGGTGATTAATTTTTCTCTAATAGTAATAATTTTATTATAGAAGAAGCTCATGAAGTCATTGCTACTTAAGTTTATGGGGATATGTGGCTCGATAGAGCTGTGACTCTCTGTCAGCCTGGCTACAGTGCTGAAGAGGAACCTAGGGTTGTTCTTATTTTCTTCTATTAGTGCTGAGTAAAAGGCTCCTCTGGCATTACGGAGGGCCTTTCTATAAATCTTAAGATCATCTTGCCAATTTGAGCGATATTCTGATAATTTGGAAGAGCGCCATTTCCTTTCAGATTTCCTAGCTATTTGTTTTAACTGGCGGGTTTGGTGGTTATACCAATGTGCTAGTCTCCTATGTTTTAATAATTTCCTTTTTATAGGAGCGATAGAGTCTAATGTTGATCGTAGTGAGCCTGTAGCACTATCGACAAGATTATCAATTTCAGAGGGACTAAAGTTGTTATAGGACTCTGTTAAATTCAGACATGGCATTGAATTAAACACTGAAGGAATCTCCTCCTTAAATTTAGCTACAGCACTGTCAGATAGACATCTGCTGTAGGAAGTTTTGCCTAATGGCTTATAATCTAATAGTATGAATTCAAAAGTTACTAAATAATAATTGAAACAGGAATCCCCCAAGGAACTGTCCTGGGTCCTATCTTTTTTACTTTGTATAACAACTTTCCATATATATGCCCAGGTATAGGTCAAATGTATGCTGACGACACAGTCGTCCATGTATCTGGCAAAACCTGTGGCGCTGTTTGCAGAAAAGCTAACCAAAGTCCATCTGCTTCTCCATTACAAACCTGTCCAAGGAGAATGACAGTAGGACGTCTCATAGTACTCACCATGAGGGGCAGGGTAGGTAATTTTGGCGCAGGCATCCATTTCTGGAGGACAGGTGTCCACAGTCTCCACACAGTTTCCAGAGTCAGGGGCCTCACGGACACAGTTGTTACACTGCAGGGCATCACCTAGCATGCATAAAGACAGGCTAAGGCATCACCCTGAGAAACACCAATTTTTTTTTAAATTTTACATATTTATTATGCCATAATTGGTAGGCAAAGTTGATTTTCTTTTAAAAATGCAAAAACACAAGTTTAATTTGATTTGACATGTTAAATATTAATTTTCACATTTATTGAAACTGAAGTTGGTCTTGTGCAATGGTAGCCTTATGTAGGCTTTAAGCTACAGCTAGTACTTCAAATGTAAATTCCACTGTGGACATTCATGTGTTAAGATGATCATCTGCAGGATTCCTTCAGTAAGTCAGTATTTACCGTAGGTGACGGCCACCAGGAGCAAGAGAGCGAAAGCAAAGACCTTCATTTTCTATTTTTCTGCTGCGTCTGCAGGGAAAATTAAATAAATCAAGTTAAAGGAAGTTACAGTTACCACTTTGTGATTTTATTTTAAAATAATTATTACTTCATGTAGAAAGTCCTGGTCAATTGTGGAAGTGACACTTACCGTCTGGACCTGTGCAGGTTGCTGTGTACCTCTCCTCTGCCTCCTCTCTCCTTTTATACCACTTCATTTAACTGGCACATCACTGATAATGCTCACTGCCGTGGGAAAGAGTCCATATAGCTGGAAACGGTTCAAGTTTTTCCTCCCAAATGTTTTTTTTGAAAGCAGTCTCAAGTGAAAGCAACTTATACTTACTTACTACCAGTATTACAATATATTAATACAACTGTAGAATACGTAGCATGCGTTTTTGTGTATTTTACAGCCACCATAGTTTCTCTTTCGTGCTTGGAAGGGGAGGGTGAAGTGAGGGAGTTACAATCTGCAACTACACCTCTAAAAGTCTGAAATCCTACACACTGGACCTTTAATAGATAGAACTATTTATTGAGTTAATGTTTCAGTACATTTGTGCCACAGGTTCTTTAAGGTATCACACAGTACTGAAGGGGGGGTTCTGCGAGTCATTCTTAAGGAGACACACAGATTTCCTCTCATGCTCTGTCTATTTTAGTCTTTTTTTTTTAGTTGTCCTTGTATGTTAAATATGTTGGTAGGATGAGGGTTAAACAAGGTAATAGATAAATGTGGTGTGAATATTAACTCCAGCTGGCAATTTGCTGTGTGCAGCAACTCGACATTTGGATTAGAAAAGTGTGTCAGGAGTCTTTTTTCCCATGGATCAGTCTGTGAAAGAGAGTGGCTGAGCTCAGCACATGAACTGAGTATTTCCTTCTTTTTTTTCTACATTTTTTTGCCTTGTCCCACAGATTGCTCATTTATGCGCTACTTTCTGTATTTTCTGTATTGATTGACTGTTTTGTCTCTATATATTCCCAGGAATTACAAAAGCTAACTGATGCCACTATACTTGTAATATTAATTACTAGCACTACCACAAACTAAAAGACTGAGAAGAATGACATTTTGCATATATTACACTCACATGTGGCCAAGATCATTCCCTCAGTATTTTTTCTGGGAATTTGAGAATTTTTTAATCTGATTTTAGTATGTTCAGACCATTAACATATAAAAATTGGACCAACTCAATCACTAACAGAGCTCAGCTATCATATTATGACATGAAATACCCTTTTTATAGTTTCAAATAACTAATTAAAGCCAAACTGATTTTATAACATTGTTTTTGAAAGGCATTATATAAATAAAGTTATTATTAATTCAGTTCCCTGATGTTATGTTCTGAAGCAGATTTCTTGGAAAATCCCATGATATTTTACAATTATATGTAGCTTGTTCATTCGACACCATGAAGAAGCAGCTAATGAGCCCTGGGTTGTCATCACCTCACACGAACAATACTGGATCAAACGGGGACACAGCAGAACACTGCTGAGTCAACAGCTCCTACTAAGGCTGTGAATGCAGCAGGTGCACTTCAGGTCAGTAGGTACATTGATAACTCGTTAAATATTACCTGAGGTGAATATTTATGTACAGTTGCTTAGGAGACTAAGGTAAAAATATGAGATTGTTGGTGTGTCAGGTTAAATTCCTAACATCAGTCCAAAGACACTTCTCACACAGGTGAATCAGAAGGTGTTAGCGAGGCTCTGATTGGTTGACTGTCTGAAAGTTCAATGCTGATGATGAAGAGGCAGACCAAGCTGGGATTCTTTAAGTGCATCATTTCAGCCAGCAGATGCTCTCTATGAAACAAACTGAACAAATACAGAGAATTGTACCTGTATGATTATCAGTGTGAGGCAGTTCCACATTACTAGTAATAATATTACAGTAATAATATTACTTTTCCCAATAACTACTAGTATAACTAATTACTAATAGATTAATAGAGGGAAAGGAGACATAAAAAGATAACTGTAATGGACATACTCATTAGGCTCTCTAATGTGGCTTAAAAGGTCCAGTGTATATTTAAGAGGTTGTATTGGCTGAAATGGAATATTCATAGGTATGTTGTCATTAATGTACATCACCTGAATAAAGGAATATGTTTTTATTCAAATTACCCTTTTATATCTATGATCCGATGGCGCTACAATCTTCAATTACATCGCTAGATTGATTTAATCTAGATTTATGATTCATGCTCGTGTGGGACTGAAGTGTGTAAAGTTGTATGCATGTGTCACGTGGACAGAAATGCTTTTCTTTTTGTGTGTATGTATGTATGTGCACAGTCATCATGTTAACAATAGTAAATCATTCATTCACTATTTGTTTATTTTTTGCACACATTGATATTACAGTATATCACCATTATATCATATACATATATAAGACTAAGATCCACAACATATCAAAAGTAAAGGATGAAAAAGAAGAGTTAAGAAAATAAGATCACTGAGTATCAATAAATCAGCATGAAAAACCAAATAATTTCTCCCACAGAGAAATATTGTTCACTGTCACCACAGTTACAGTACACATATCCATAGATTAGACAGGGCTGTAATTGATCAGCAGAGTTGAGGAGAAACAGTGTTACAGAAATTAAATAAATTGTACTTGGTCGAAATTACTGTGAAAATTAAACATACAGTGAAATAAATGGCTGACATCTAGTCATATTATAAAGTGGAGAGAGAATTTGGTTGTGCAACATTTTTATATATCTGAAACAACAACTGATCGTAGGATGGTAATAATCTGAACACATTTGTAAATTATAAATGATTATTTGGTTGACTCGATATTAGAGAAATTCTGAACAAATGTAACCTTAAAATAAAAACCAAACACAAATATTAGTTATTAGTCATGGAGTTTTCTCATCGGTAAATTATAATGCATTGATTTGAGAATCCTGAGAGATGTGTGATTTTAAAAAGTCAAGGCTCAAAGTAGATATTCTGACTTTAATACTCATTTAAATCTTTTGTACTTAATTTCAGAATTCAGATTTTAATCTTTGAGATTTTATTTAATCTCAGTTTATTAAAATTAATTACAGAACTAATGTTTTAATTAAGCTTTAATCCTCTTCGGCAGGCTAATTATGGATTTATGAGGTTACATTTCTCAAGCCTGTGATCATCCATTACAGCTGAGCTGTGTTCAACAAGCCCAGTTTGGACAGGAGCTCTGTTCTCTGCTTTGTGTTTTCTGTTCAAGACATTTTCTGTTTCTTAACATACAAACGCCAAAGCTTTGTTGAACGCACCTCACGTCATTTTTAATCTATGGCAGAACGGGCACACTGGCACTTTGATGGCTAATCACATGATCACTTAGGGAAAACAAATAAGGCACGAGCATGCACCCATACGCGCGCACACATACACTAACATACATATTACTGTTGTCAAAGGAAGATTTCATGACCTAAGAAAAACTGTATTGGATCTTATTTTTGTTTTTTTGTTAAGAGGTTTTGAATGCCTTTTCAGAGAATGGTTGTACAGCTTTGTCAATCTAAAGAGATCATTTTTCTCATTAAATAAAGGTCATGAAAAATAACCAAAACTGAAGTTACCATGTTTTCACCTGACAACAATAATAAACACACACACACACACACACACACACACACCACACACAGACAAATCTCAACTGACAGGAGCCCTAGTTTTAAATTTTCAACTATATATTTAAACCCCAACAGACATATTTTGTCTGTGCTGGGTCCAGCTGAGTTAGCACTTACACTCAAACACACTTACACACACCCATATATACACTTATAGCATGCCAATTACCGTGGTATTGGCATGACTGGGAGTTACAACAGGTAAACAGATAAAGATTTTTTTTCTTTCAGCTTCAGTCAAACTAAATCTCTGATCTTCTGGTGCTTTTCAGTCACATATTAAGAATCATAGCAACATTACAACACTAATAATTACCTACTGATAATATTTTGGCCATTAACAAATTAAAAGACAACTGATTAAGTAGCACAGTTTGGCCAGGAGTCTTTAAAAAGAGACTACAGAAAAGAGACACATCCAATCAGGGTCACAAAGGGCAAACAAGTATCTCTGCTTTGTTCTTGTGACTTCCAGCCAAACATTTCATACCTGTTAACAACTATTGGTCAAAAGTATACTGAGCTGCTTAATTTTTTTAAAGAACGGAATGCTTTAGATGAGCTGAATTTGCAGACAGGTGCCAAAAAATGAGAAATTTAGAAACTTTAAATCTAGGCTTTGGGAACTGAGTGGAATTGAAAGTTCAAAATAAAACCTGAGGATGCACCACAGACAATGATTCAGAAATACTACTTGGCCTGGGAATTACAAGTGAAATCCAACATGTTGGCTGAGTCTATTTACCATTAGGATGCTATTAGTGTGGACAGATGCAGTTCAGCTACACTTGGTCTAAATTAAGATTTGACAACGGCGACACAAAACCTTCTACCAGAAACGGCCTACTTGCTGCCCAGAAAACTGTCCTGTGTATCAACTTTCACCATATCCTGACAGTAGTACATGATACAGAAAATCTGTGAAAAAAATCAGGTTCCTCCTCCTAGTGCTCCGGACCGCATTTCCAAGAATTCACCGTACCTAAATTAAAACAACCAATCAGAGGCAAGAATATAGATAGTTGAGTTTAATTCCCAGGTTGTCAAAAAACTGACGCTTGAAATGAGACTCAACAATCATCTGTCTTCAAGTCTTCAACCCAAAGCATCTTTCTGTCTTTCTCGGCTCTGACTGGTTGTTTTTAGTCAGGCCTGGTGGATTCCTGCAAATGCTAATAGGAGCAATAGGAGGAGCCAGAGGAACCTGATTTTTTCACAGATTATTTGTCTCAGATACTGCCTGTCAGGATATAGTGAAAGTTTCAGCTAGTGATTTTCATAAAAGTTACCTACTGCAGCTTAAAGCTACATTTACACAGAGGCATGCAGTAAATATACTGAGTTAAGTCAAAACCAACAAGTCATGTCAAGTCTTGAATTTTGTGTTTTGAGTCTTAAACACACATTGTCTGCCTGCTGATCTGCAATGACATATTTTCTCTCCTGTTCAAGCAACCTGATAGGCTGCTCTCTTACTGATTATGTGTGCATCAGTTGGCAGGAAATTAAGAGTTGATTGGATGGCACTATTTCATCACATAATGTTTAATCTTTGGCCTTAGGGAGGATGACAATTCATTCCAAGCCAAAAGGCTACATCCCAAGTCACAAGTCAAAGGGCTGTAGTGCCCTTCAGTTGAGACTGTTTTTCTTCACCAGTAATTATGGCAGATTAAAAGACCTGATTCTAATCCTGTAACTTTTTGAGAACTGCACAGCTTGTTGCAGATTATCCTTCACTAACAGACCACAAAGACAGGGCAGACACCCAGAAACCACAATACAACTTGGACAAACTCCATTAGTGATGTAAGTCAACTAAAGATATGAATAACACTCATGTCACACTAGTATCAATACTTGTTCATCAAAGGGATATTGTGTGCTTTATGTGGGATGAATCTAAATAAATAAATTGGCATAGTGGCAGAGGGAGAACAGTTCAGGTTGGTTTTGGTGAGGAAGTCAAAAAAGCTATATACAAAAGTAAAAAAAAGAACTTAGAAAAACATAAGGAAATCCGTCAACATAAAATATACCAAAGGCTAGAACAGAACCAATTTACAACTCCAACATCTCTCCCTTGAGGAGCCTCTACTTCTTGCTTTTAAACATGTAAGAACAATAAAAATAACTTCAAATCAATATTTGAACTGTCCTGACAAAATGTATTAACAATATAGGTTGTTTAGGGTACTTTAAAAGGACAATGAAAACCCTTTTCCATACTTAACATGGTACAGTCTGTATCCCTTCTACGATAAAGCCTATTGGATGCTCTTGTTTCCTGTTTGGCAGGCAACACTGGTTCACTGAAGTTGAATATAACCAATAAATGAATTTGTACTGAATATATTAATAAATTATTGAATTGTTATTTCAATAATGACAGTATACATACTGAAATTACCCAAAATTACTTTTGTTAGTGGGTTAGCGTGCTATACCCACATGATCCATATGCCAACTTAACTGAGCTATACAACTAGGACCACAGCTCTATTGTGCTGGCAGGAGAAAATAAATATAAAACTGCCAGAAGTCGAATGTGTTTTACAGGGCAGGGATTAGCACTGTGACACAAACTGACTGATCCAGAATTCACACCGAGGTGATGCCACGTAGGTAAATGAATGGCAACAAATTGTAAGTACCAAACACAAAGACTACAACAGACCACAACCCGAAGTGCTAATGCTGCAGTGGGAAACATTGGTTGTGTGGCAGCTTATAGGGTCATGATTATAAAATGCTTTACTTCAAAACCCAGAAAGCCATAGGACTAGCAGCCAGTAACATGTACAATGAATACTAACCAGGCCAAAGATCTACTGTTGAGGCAATCCATTTTGTCATGTACACCAATTGACCCTTCCTATGTCCCGCCCGTTTTTGCTATGTGCTAGGTTTCTCTATGTTGAGAAAACCCATTTTGAAGATGGTTAAAAGACAAAAGTGACATATACAGACATAGTCACATCTTAAGTTAGCTAGCTAATGTCAGCAAAACACTAGTTAACTAGCTAGTTAATTTACATATAATTTATTAGCTAGTTAGCTAATGTTTTGCTTATGTTAGCTAACTTAAGTTGTGACTGTGACTTAACCATCTTAATAATTTGGTTGTTTAGCCTAGCCCACAGCATATCTAAGTATAGGGTTTCGCTGGCTACCAAGCTTTCTTAACTGTAATTGTAGCACACAGCGAAAGGAACTTTGGAAGAGTCAATTAGAGAGTCAAATTTTTACATTAAAATCCTGCCAATGTCACTAAACACAATGACCTTACAGACATGATATACTCACCACTTTACTGCTCTAACACCAAACTACTTTCATGCACCAATGAAGTCCAATCTTTCCACTTTGCTGTTTTGTATTTAACGCCCACCAATATTGGAAACACTGGACAACTTTTACTGTAAAGATTTTGCAAAAACGTTTCATTAATAGAAAAGGAGGCAAAGGGGAAGGACTGGAATACATTAGTGATAAAACCATATGACTGAGCGGTGAGTATGACATGTCTATTATTGGTCGATACACTTGAGTATCGCAATATTTTGTTTTGTGATATTGTATCTATTCTCAAAGATACCGTATCAATTAATTAATAGTTTACATGCAAACATTTGTGGCAGGAGCATATATAGTACAATGTTTTTGTATTACTGATTATTAGACTTAAATGTATGGAGTTGTGTCAGCTGTTTATCCCGTACCATTAAAATCCATCTATTCTGATGAGCTACAATGCCAAAATCACACTTACTAAAATGACAACAGAGTTTAGTCAAATATAATGTTGTGACAGGGGAAAACGTCTGGAAGTCCTGAGGTATTATTAATACATTAAAGTCAAATATAGTAAGGAGTAAGCTATAAAGAATCATACATAAGCTATCAGGATATAGCACAATGTATTACAGAGCTGTGAGTCCTAAACCAGGTCCAGGTCCAGCACTCGTTTCATCCGCATGCACAGCTGTGTTTGGGTTCTAACACTGAATGATCTGCTAGTAGAACCACACAGCTCCGTTTCTACTGCTTACTTTAATTACAGCATGTCATAGATTGTCAACATTTGGTACCAAGTTAACCGTTTAGAAATGAACCTGAGACTTTCACTGAGATGCAAATTCACACCTCCATTCTCTTCATCTCGCCTCTTTTTCGTTTGGGATCATAATTCTAGGGGGGGCATTTGGTAACTGTACTGCTTCCTTTTCTGTACTTATTATTCATAATCACCCTTCTCTTTGTGTGTCTTCCTGTCAAAGCTGGAGGCCAGTTTCTTTTCTTTGTTTTTTGGCACTATATAGAGACAGACTGACAACAGCACAATACAGATATACAGAGAAAAACTGTGGACGTCTAAGTCCAACTGCTATTAATCTCCCTATAGAGATAAAAGATGATAGCCAAACTGTGTTCAGGCAGGGCCTGAGACACACTTATTTCAGGTATAAACACATGCAGTTAGGACTTTTTGCTGGGTTTGGTTGGGTGTAATGGGGTGGAGGAAGAGTCAGAAATGTACTGCAGTTTGCCTGTATTGCAGTGGTTGTGTGAGACTAACCCTGCATTCACACTGGGACTAACTTAATCAATAAATATTTCACTTGAGTGCATTTATGTCCTGAATGATACACTCCCTGGTTATAATAGAGCGCTTTATAGAGCAAAAAAGGCAGCACCAAAGCCGAAGAAGTACATGACTTGCTGGACTGACTTTGCCACTACAGGGGTTAAATGGGTCTCCACAGTCCTACCAAAGGGACCCAGGGTGAATGGATGGTAAGTCACATACTTGTTGTACTTACTCTTTTGTGCTGTAAGTTGTTTATAGAGGGGCTGTATGTATGATGTATGTACCATTTCCACTTTACACATGGAAATGGAAACTCAGCAGCTGTCTAGGCTGTCTTGTTGTTAGGACATAACAACAAGACACAGGCCAATCAGAATGTAAAGACTGGTGGGAGGCAACATGAAATGTAATTGGTCCACAGGATCTTTTAAACTCTATGGTGTTTTAATGGAAAAGCAGATGAAGCTGGTGGAGTACCCTGATGAAGCTCCTGACTGTCAGGAGCACGGATCAGCTAAAGACTAAGTGCTGTGGGTAAAGGGAGGGGGCTTAGTGGTGTTTCTGGGTGAAGGGGTGGGATTTAGGTAAAGACCAGATGCTGCTGGTCCAACAGGGTTCTGGCAAAGTTGTTGATTGGCCCAATGGCGCTGAGTGACATGGCGTTGTCCCGCCCCCAGAGCAGGTTAGGACCAAACACCACAGCCAGGTTACTGTTGGTCATCTTATTCACTTCACTGTTGGCTGATACCTAAACACATTCACACACACAGACACACACAGAGGTTATTGATGGTACCAGACAGACTGTATGAAGGTTCTGGGAGGTAACTGGTGGGAAGTGTACCTGAGCCAAGAATGTGATGAGGTATCGCAGTGATGCATAGTTCTCCTCTGGCAGCGACTCTACCAAAGTCTTCATAACGGTCACCTGACTTTCACTGGACACAGCTGGAAATCACCAAACACAAAAACCATCATGAATTAGAACTTAGTTAGGATATAGATGCTGTGGGTGTAGTAGTCAACCAGTACATTTACATGTGCACAACAACCAACGTTACTAGGAGAGATCAGGTTACACAGGAATTCAGACAGGTTTACATGGATATTTCAATTCAGATCAGATTTTAAGTGCATTTAAGTGATATACAACTTCTTGATTTTCTTTTCCCGTCTGTGTGTGTGTGTGTGTGTGTGTGTGTGTGTGTGTAAATTCAGTAATCACATTACAGTTACCAGTCAAACAATGACGGCGTTAGTAAGTTCTTCAATTATCTGCATAATGGGCCGATAGAAATGAATTAAACAGTTCTTCTCGTAAAAAAAAAATAAAAATAAAAATAACACTGTTTGAACATACAGGTGAAGTTGACAATTTCATTGTAGAGCTGGTAGGTCAGCAGAGGCTCAGGTAGTTCCCTCAAGAACGTCTTCAGAATCACGGCAGCCAAGTGGACATCTTCCATCTCTCTAAAATTCACTGTCGTGCCTACAAAACACACAAACACACGCAATAAGAAAAAAAACTCCATCTACATGTTAAACACCACATACTAAATCTAACACAGTGTTGCTGTTAGTTATTAACATTATTTGCATTCTTCACAAATAATTAGGGGAACTGGAATTCAGTAGTGAAATAGTGAGATGGTAGTAAGTTAGTGTAAAAAAATATCGATACACTTGAGTATTGCAATATTTTGTTTTGTGATATTGTATCTATTCTCAAAGACACTTTAGATAGTTTACATGCAAACAATCGTGGCTGGAGCATTTATATAAATCTAACATATAGAATATATAGTACAATGTTTTTGTACTACAGTATATTAGACTTCAGCATATGGAGCCGTTTATCCTGTGCCATTAAAATCCATCTATTCTGATGAGCTACAATGCCAAAATCACATTTACTCTAATAACAACAGAGTTTAGTCAATTATAATGTTGTGACAGAGGAAAACGTCTGGAAGTCCCAAGGTATTATTAATACAATATTTAAGTAAATATAGTAAGGAGTAAGCTATAAAAAAAATCATACATAAGCTATCAGGATATAGCACAATATATTACATAGCTGTGAGTCCTAAACCAGGTCCAGGTCCAGCACTTGTTTCATCTGCATGGATAGCTGTGTTTGGGTTCTAACACTGAATGATCTGCTAGTAGAACCACACAGCTCCTATTTACAGCATGTCAACATCTGGTACCAAGATCACCTTTAAAAGTTAAACTGAAATTTCCATGGAGATGCAAAATCACACCTCTCTTTCATTTTGGATCATAATTCTAGAGAGGACATTTGTTAACTGCTCTGCTTCTTTATCTGTAGTTGTTATTCATGATCAGCCTTCTCTCTCTGTGTCTTTCTGTCAGACACACTGATAACAGCACAATACAGATATACAGAGAAAGACTGCTGACGTCTAAGTCCAACTACTATTAATCTCCCTATAGAGATAAAATATAACAGACAAACTGTGTTCAGGCAGGGCCTGAGACACACTTAATACAGGTAAACACATGCAGTTGTTTTTCATGAGTTAGATGTAAGATCAGCAAGATGAGCAGCTGATCTCAAAAATATCTTTTTATCCATGGGTGTGATTGAATGGAATAAACCTCCCCTATCTCTGAAAATCACTGCAGCAGAGAGAAACTTCAAGCAGGCTATGAAGAAATGTCTAGCAAATAATGTTGCTAAAACTCAAAAGGTCAATAGAGTGGTTAAACAGGCCTTTGGATCCTACCTGAATTGTATCTGAGCTGGACTTCCTTCACCAGAGTCACATTGGCAGACCGTCTAAAGATCCCCTCGATTTCCAAGCCTGACACACAGACAAAAGAACAAAATGGCAGTTTTTACTGAAAGAAATTAGAGTGAACTAGTCAATTAGTGCATTATGTCTATGGTTGCGTTTGTACCACCACAAGAAAAGACTTACCTTGGTCTGAAAGGAAACCAATGGTGTCTCTCATCACCACAGGAACACAGTCCCCATCTGGACTCCTCTGTCTGAGCCTGACACACACACACACACACACACACACACACACACACACACACACACACACACACACACACACACACACACACACACACACACACACACACACACACACACACACACACACACACACACACACACACACACACACACACACACACAGTGGTTAGGATAACAAGGTTTCCAATACAGCAAGCATTAATATAAGCTGAGTAGAGCTTTAATGACTCTAACCTTCATCCCTTTAACATTTAGAGCAAATGTTTCTGCTGAAGGCACAATCTGCCAAAGCATAGCATAGCGGACAGCCCAGCATTGATTTAGGGACTTACAATGCAAGTGGCACCCCAAAGACTTGGTTGGGGAGGGGAGGGCTGCGAGGAGGAGACATGGGAGGCTGAGCAGTCGGTTTCAGAGATGCCCTCAACTTGTTGTCGTACCTGCCACAGAAACAATGTTAGATTATCAAATGCTATAGATTATAAAACATGTCAAAGTTTAAGTTAAGTCCCACCCCTTTTTGCTCTGTGCTCCAATAACAGTTAAGCAAGTCCACTTTCTCCTTTCCTGTATTTTAGATATGCTATGTGCTAGGCTAATCTATGTTGAGAAAACTACCAAATTTTGAAGATAGTTAAAAGATTAAAGCCACATCTTAAATTGGTTAGCTAAAGTTAGCAAAAACTTACTAGCCAGGTTATCTACATCCAGTCTTAGATAGTTAGCTAACTTACATCAATTAGCTAGCTAGTTACATCTGAGGGCTAATATTAGCAACAGCTAGCTAATTTAAATCAATTATTAGTAAGCTAGTTAGCTAATGTTTTCCTAACTTAAGCCCTTTTTTAATCATTCAATCATTTCTCATCATCAAAATTTGATTCTCTTTTTAACATAGACGAGCCTCACACATAGCATATCTAAGTCAGGAAAGGATAAAGATTATACAAAATAACTTCATGATTATAAAGGCTTCTTTTTGCTCTGTGCACCAATAACAACTGTTATTGGAACACAGAAATAAGAGCAGGACTTAGGAAGGGTCAATTGTGCATGAAGAAGACTAAATATGTTTAGGTTCAGATGACTTCCTTGTGGAAATTATAAAAATACTATTATAACAGTATACCAGAGAAGATGATGACAGTAGAATGCAGTAAGGAAATCAAACGCAAATATCCACTGTGTCTAATTTCAATGTGGATTTTGAGAACAAAACTGCAGTGTGACACCAGCTCTTACTCTTTGACACGGGCAGGAATGATCAGCTGATCACACTTTACCACATCCTCCAGCTCACTCAGATAGCTCACATAGTTGATCTTCCTGCCAAACTTAAAACTTCAAAGAGAGAGAGAGAGAGAGAGAGAGAGAAAAAATCAGCTTCAAATGACTATGATAAATGATCCATCATTTACACTCTGCAAGCAGTTGCCGTAAACTAGTTAGTTTTAAATGGAGAATGATGATAATATTGCCAAATGCTGGGTCGAAAATGGGTTGAATTTTCCTTCTCTCAATAGTGCTGGTTAAACCTCATCAGATCTGTTTTAATGTTTTGACATAAAACATGGCAAATGTTCTCTGTAATACTACTGGGTGGATATTTAGATTTGTTTAAAAAAGAGACACATCTACCTGTGTTGTTGTAGTTTTCTACAACTGCCACTAGATGTTACTAGAGCCACGTCTTCACCACTTGTGTGACCCCAAATCCATACAGAATAAATGTGTTCCTTAATTAAAGCATTGCTTTAAGGCTTACTTAGATAGATGGTACATTTTTCTTGGAAACCACAGGAACTCATGTAAAAGTAAAAATATTCACACCACTGTGCTATTTTAAGGTTTTGTTGGTTTAGTTTTTTATCACTGAAACAGTCACTCTCTCTGAGACAGTGAAACCATACCAGTGATTGTTAAACAGCAGGATTTCACCACAGTAGAAGCACATGAGGACTAATCTGACCACAGTAATACTGTACTGTACGTCTCTAACTGTGACTAGCAATCTGACAAACATGTTTTTAATATAGTTGTAGTCAGATAGCATCCAAATATTTAAAATCATCTAAGTGTCCTGCCTATTAAGGAGATTTTATTATAATAAGGTGTTATGTTAAAAGATAAGGGGCTTGAAGAGGTACCAAGTATTACCAGGGCCAGACGCAAACAGTATCCATATTTTTATTAATAAAAGCAGCTGGTGTACTTCAATTTTTTTTGTTTTATGAGTTCAATCCATCATTTAGGCTTCTTTGCCAAGATTTTTATTTCTACTACTCTCTGTTATTTACTGAATCACAGGTAATCAGTTTTTAATGGTTAAATGTGTCCAGGATGTGATCTAACGTTAGACCATCCATTCACTTTGTGTATCGATCTTATCAAAATCTTATCTTAGCCAAGTTGGACTTTTGCATTGTGTGAATAAAGATGAAAGAATTTACATTAAATGGTGGAAGATGTGTGTTGAATGTTTGAAAGATCAACAAAAATCTGAGTTTAGCAAAACTAGACTTAAAATGAGATCATTAAATTGTAGCTAAATGAGGTGTAGCATGACCCTACATGTACAGTAATTTCTAAACAAGAACCTGATGATTGGTTTGAAGAGGATCAGCAGGGTCTTGATAAACATGGTGGGATGGACGATATACAGAGCCTTGATGTTCTTCTTATACCTGAAATCACAAACACATGAAAATAAAAAAAACCATAAAACTGTACTGTACAGATGACATGGATAAGATCTCTAGAGATGTTACTGTGCTTACTTTCTGTCAAACTCCCTGTATGCGTCACGTAGCCAGCTGAGAGATGGTTTGTTTTCACTGGTCAGCCCATGATGGAAGTAGATCAGAGTGTAGTCACTTTCAACATACTGATCCAGTGTTCCTTTAAGATACCTGCAGAAAATAAAACACATTCATTGTTACTACTTACTTACTAAGGAACCACATCTTTACCAACCATCCTAGTGTTTCAGCATGTTACAGAAGCGGTCAGGTCATATCATGCAATAAACACCATTATGGGGAGAGAAAATGTGAAGTAGCATTTGTTTCCCTTCACAGAAGTTATTGAGACACTTCCCCTTTAAAAACTTCATGTTTTTTAAAACATGTCCTGGTTCATAATGGGTCATATGGATGTGTTCGATGAGCCAGCAGCTACTATGTGCCCACAATATCCCTGGTGTGATTTCAACCAAGGACCTTTACTGCAAATGATCTCCCTCCCTCTACTCAAGTTTCCTGCCACCCTCTATAGTCAGACAGCTGATAAATGCAGAAATGCCTTTGTAGAGAAGCAGAATTGGGGACGACTCATGGCCAAAATGTCAAACAGCTGTAAAAGATATATTCAGATACAGAATTTTGACTTCCCGGTTGCTCCTGCAATGATGCTAGTGCTGGGGAATCACAAACATTTTTAGCTCTTTCTTTGGCCTTAAACTGGTTGTGCAGTTGCCTTTAAACACCACTGAATTTCCCACTGGATGACTTTTTACTAGCCACAGGGCCATCAACACACAAGCAGGGACATTTATACATCACACAATAGATGCACAAGACAGTATAGTGTATAGTGTTATAGCATGTAATAGAAATGTCATTCCAGTGTCCTGCTGTACAGGACAGGTAATGAAATGCGATCTATCTGGACACGTTATCCAGATAAGGAAAAATACATGTGTAAATGCATCATGACAGAAATGTGATCGGAGCTGCTTGACCACATCCGCAGCTGATCTGATAACCAATACAAATATTTGTGGATTTTTGTGTACCCTTATTTATTTCAATACTCTTAATAACATTGTATATCAAGTATTACAATTAAGAGATAAGAAAGTATCGTGATTTGACAACTGTGGCAGATAGCAAAATATTCACACTCTCTCTTAGACACACAACTTAAACCATACGAGCCTATGCTGGTTACTGGGAGCAGCTTAGAGTTTAACAATTCCAACAGAATGTGGAATATTTCTATTTCTACAAGTCATTTCTTATTTCACCATTTTAATTATGCTAAATTCTCCACTTTATTTTCGTTTTTTAGTTTACTCCACTGTCACTACTTTAATCTATATATTCTAATTATCTATTATATACTGTATAACATAACTTTCCTGTGGAATAAATGTAATTCAATTAAACTGGTCAACTCTTCTGATCGCCGTTTATAGAAACCGCCAATCAAACTATTTAGAGTGAATATGGGCCGATAATGATCTATGGCCGATCAATCGGAGCACCCTTAAAAGAAATCCTCAACAGACCATGAACCAAATGTTTTATCCAATTTAGTCAGCAGTTGTAATAACTACCAGCTCACCGCTTGTGAGACAAAAGGAATTGCAACGGCTCTGTAGTCTATCCAACCAAAGTGGACACTTCTGTAGCAATAGAAAATTAGTGAACTTTGTGAGGTGAGGTGGCCAACAACAGCAACAACAACATGAAGACTTATTCTACCCAAATCCTTGATCTTCCCTTTGGTAGTCACCAAGCATTGTTCTGTACAGAAATAATCCTGGGCTCAAGCAGTACCTCAGCATAACTAAAATATAGAAATGTAAATATGCCACAGGTGGGGCGGCTATGGCTCAGGGGCAGAGCGGGTCGTTCCTTAATCGGACCGGCTCCTGGTGCCACATGACGAAGTATCCTTGAGCAAGATACTGAACCCCAAATTGCTCCCGATGCCATGTGAGTGTGTATGAATGTTAGTTTCTGTTCGATGGCCATCACTGAGTGAATGTGTGTGAAAGGGTGAATGTGGCACGTAGTGTAAAAGCACTTTGAGTGGTCAGAAGGCTAGAAAGGCGCTATACAAGTACAGGTCCATTTACCATTTACCATTTGAATGAGGAACCGCTCTATGTAGTGTTATTCTATTCTAAATAAAGGAGAAAAAGTTGCCGTCTCATTAATCTCACTTCCCACTACTCCTTAAATCACCAGTACTTACATCAGCAGCTTGTGATGGTCCAGTTGGTGCTGTGGAGGCATCCTGCAGGCATTAAACACTATCACCTTCCTGCCAAAGTTATCATCACCTACAGACAGACAGACAGACAGACAGACAGACACACAGGGATTTAACATTAATGATCAATAATAAAACAGATTACTTTCGCTGTATCAAACTGTTCCTAGTCGTAAAATCTCCTAATTAAACTGGAAATGTCACTCTAAAGAAATATTGGTAAAAGATAAGAGCAATACATTCATTGCTAAATTTAACTATTAATGTGACAGTCAAGATGGGAGAAACAGACGTCTGTGATTGGAGGACTGACCTGCTACTTCAATGATCTGATGCCTGGCAATGTCATAGAAGGGATGGTCCCAGGGCAGGTGGGGAGAGTCAGCATCGAAGCGCTGGGAGATGTCTGTCTCTGAAACACACACACAATACATAAATACCTGAAACAGAAACTAGAATGACTGCCCTGTGGTTAAAATTCACCCTTGACTCCTCATGTCTGCCAGCTCTGTCTCTGACAGATATATTGGCTAAACAGGTACAAGTGCTTGATTAGTATGTAAAGATGGAGTCATATAGAGTACATCTATTCTAATTGTGGTCCCTTGTTTTCTGAGTCAAGAGCGCATAGGTTTTTTTTGCTTGTTTGCAGTTGTAATAAAAAATTAAAAAAAACTCACCTGATTTGCTGAGAGTAGACTCATCAGCGGGCCACTGCTGGTCCTCTATCGTGGCCAGCTTCAGCTGCCCTAACTGTGCAGTCGCAGGGTCATCACCCAAGTCTACCAGCAGCTCTGACGACATCACACACACACTGCACAATGGCGCTATACGCACCCACTGATACACATACACACAAACGCAAACACACAAAGCTGAAACTTCCACAGAGTAGCAGTCAGAGTCCTGCAAGAGAGAGACAGCTCAGGTCAGCTGGGTTTGAAAACATTTCAACTCAACAATCATTGAACAATAATATTTATTTATAATTAATGAGAGAAAACCTTGACCTAGCATGTTGCATCATATAATAATGCATTGACGATTATTCATTTATTGATATTGCTCTACTTATTGACAAGACAGCACACTGAGGAACCTCTGGATCCTCCAGTTGAGCCACTACAAGAAGAGCTAAGAACAGTACTATGGATATAGTAAAATAGAAGAGTATAAAGGAATGCAAAAACCCCCTCAGTCTCCAGGTGAACACTTCCCACAGCAAAATGTAAGCTGCTCAGTTTGTTACATAAACACAAAGCTTGTTCAAATTTGTCAGTCAGACAAAGCTGAAACGAGAGAGCAAAAGGGAGTGAGGCACACCAGGAAATAACCTGAATGTCATTGGGAATTTATAAAACTAATTAGCTTAATTGTTTACAGCAAAGAAAAAAGCAGTGCAAATGACACAGGGGGGTCAGGGCATGCTCAAACAGAGAGGGTTTGCATGAAACAGCCACACTCAAAGGTGAAAAGCTGCAGCACTGAGAGGAAGAAAATATATGGAGATAATGAGGATACGGTCACATTTTTACGCTACGCGTTCTACAAGGGTGCCTCTAGAATGAGATTTCTAAGATCTACCTTGGGTCACTTGTCAACCTGTAAGTTGCAATGTTACAATTTCACCTTTTAGGTAAGAAAGTGTGATACTGGATTAGCCTGGTTCCACACCTCTGGATCACTCCAACAGCAAAAATGTGTGTAAATGTCAGCAGGCGTGGATGATGACACAGCTGTTATGAGTCAGCTAATAGAAATAACAACGCCTAACCTAGCTCTGGTTTGACTGATGTGACAAACTCCCAAAGTGACAGCTACCACAGCTTCTGTGTCGACTGAAGACAGTGGCAGCGGGACGAATACATCAGTTGCTACTGATGCAGTAGAGCACAACAAACAGTAGGAGTACAATGTATATAGTGCTGTAGTGAGGGATGATAATACAGCTCTCCTCTGCTGCTGAGATGACTAGTTTACATTCAAATACTGCCTCCAGCAGCTCCAACAACAAACTCTGTGAGCTTGAGCCAGTAGCATAATATAACTGCTTCAAATTAATGAGTGCTTGTCTCTTCCTCTTCTCGCACATTAACTCCCTCCCTGTTTTCTATACTCTCCCAACCCCCACTTATGTATTTACCCAGCTTTCTCTCTCTCACTCTCTCACACACACAAACACACACGCCTCTGTTCTCTCTCTACTATGTGATGTTATGCTGGCTGACAGCATGTTGCTTTAAATAAATATTGCTACTAACCAACAGACGCAGCCAGGCTATTGCTGCTGACCAACCACACACACACACACACACACACACACACACACACACACACACACACACACACACACACACACACACACACACAGATAGTGACAAACTGTGTTAGCACACAGTCGGCCTGATTTTTAGTAAGCAAGAAGCAGCCAGGGAGGACACTGGGTTGGACTTTGGATGATGTGAACAGCGACAGGTTCCTCTTTTCTTGCTGTGTGTGTTCCTAAACACAATGCCATTGTGCTCACACAGCAGGTCAGCCAGTATAGGTCACACCAGAAGGCCGAGGAGACACCACCTGACTGTGGTCACTGAGGTCATCTGTAGACATGATTTACTGTTCAAAACTGAAACCAGGAAGAACCAGTAGCACACTTAAAACACATTCCATTTTAAACAAATTATGCTGGACGAGACTGTATAACTGGTGTGTATGTTTGTATGAAGGACAACAAGTTTTTTCATTAACAATAACACTGACTTTATTAGATGATTAAAAACGCAACAAACTAGGTTTTCATTTCACTCACATGTTACGGTCTTCATCTTTGAATGAAGCTGGCTGAGGTCATTATGTGACCTAGGGGGTAAGCTGTCTGTGAACATCAGACCAAAACACAGCATCCACTGGGAAGAAGTCATTAAAATGATGATGTGACATTTCCCTGGGTCTGTACCAAACAGGCATGTTTTCTTACATCTAGAGAACAAGGCATCTCTTCAGTACTTCATTATATTGTTCTGCCACACATTTTACTATTTTTTTTTTTTTTAAATGCAGGTTCTGCTATTTGGATACTGCACTTGGCTAAATTGCAATTTCGATAATATTTCAATAATGCTGCAGCCCTAAAATCCAGGTTTATGACCACAGCTGTGCAGTATCATCAGCTACATAAACATCTAAAGCTATAACATGTCATAATTAAAATGTGTATAGAACACTAGACCTATGTTCTATATTTTGTTGTGTTGTGTACTTACATTATGCTCATAGGCCAACTTAACTACTGAAATCATAAGGCTCACCTTTCCTATTTTTCATCGTGGCATAAAACTGAGACTGGTTTAGCTCAGTTTTGGTGATTGTTTTAAAATCAATAGAAAGATCTTTCTTGGCACACCAGGTCTGAAAACAGTGACTGGACCACATCTGTTTTTAACAGTGTCGGCTTCATTTCGTGACTCATCCAACTCTTCAGTTTCTGTGCCATTATTTTCACTGTGTATCATTTACTTTTTATCTTCCTCCTCCATCCTGTCCATCTCTTTCAGCCACTCATCAATGCTCTGCCCACCCAGTAAAACAAAATCTGAAATTTTGCAACAGTTTGTTTTGTGCAGTAATACTGATGTGATGTAATGCAATCACAGGTGTGTGTTTACAGAGGATTTTACAATAGCTTCAAACATCCTAACACGTCATAATTAAGGAACTGAATTATGCTTTTTATAACTCCAATTTAACATTCACAGTAGACAATGAAGCAGGCAGTCAGCTCATCAGTAAGACAGTAAAGCAGTCTATTTGCTGCCTGGTTTACAGCAGTGGAGCAGTGCAGCATCTGGTGTTCTGTCCCTGTCCAGCTCCGCCCAGCCACAACACCTGTCTGCAGGTGTCAATGTTGGGGGTCATCCAGCAATACAGTTCTGCGCACACACACGCACACACACACAGTGTGTACATATAAGCAGTTTACAGAAGGATCCAGCAGCACCCTGCCCCAGTCATTTCTCCTCTCTATGACAGCACTGCAGAGCAGCAGCGGAAAGCAGCTTAATCAAATTGTCCTCCAGGGTGTTGGGAAGTGGTTCCCCAGGAAAAAAAAAAAAAGGCATGAAAACTACACTGCTGACAAAAACCCTCAGATTTATTCTGTTCCTGTTACCACAGATAAAAAAAAACAAGCAAGAGAAATGCACTTTCTAGACATCTTTACAGCACTGCTGCTTCAATAGCCAAGGATAGAAGCTGCGGTTCCCACAAACAGTGAGAGAAGTGCAGGCCAAATAAAGCACGTTATAACCCGGCACACAAAAAGGTGAAGGGGCAAGCTTCCTCTCACCAGGAGATGGAGTCTTTAAGAGTTGAAATAGTGCAGCTTAAAGCATTGATGCAGGCGCCATCTTACCCACCCAGCCCAGTAGTAGGTTCCGGGGAAGGATGGGGATGATGCAATTCCTTTGCGCTGCTTTTAATGGCCAAGCATATCAGTTTGCCATCCTTTCATTCGGTCTGTCCCCGTCTTGGGGGGGGGGTGAAGATTCTCCAATACCATGACAACTGGATCCACATCGTTAGCTATGCAGCGGAGTTAGATTAACAGACTCAGCCAAGGGATGCCAAGACAACTACCTTGGTACGGTTCAGTCCCAATCTGGTTTCAATAGAACTCCCAGTCTGAGAACTGTCAGCAAACATGACCGTTATTCAGTCAGTGGGAGTGCTTTTGCATTGCAGACATTTCTTCGATACTGCCTAAAATGCTGCAATTAGGTATTGGCAATAATGCATGTCTGCAATGTCTCCAATAATATGTAATTTACTATCCCCAAAATGGGACCCTGCTTCTTCCCAGCAGCCTCCTGTTTGCAATTTTGTTCCCGAGGATAGCAAAGTCATGACGTGCCCTACTATGACTGTCACAAAAGGTTTACCCTGAGCCAGGCCATACAACAAGGATAACAATCGTACAGACTGAGTAGTACACACTTGTTCAATATACATATAGTATATTTTATGTGACAAAAACACCAGAGAAGGACCAGGGCTGCATCTAGCTACCATTAAGGACACTGAGTGTGAATAAGATGGATGCAGCTGTAAAGCTTGTTTAAATAAATTGACATACAGAAATAACAACTTTGTCGATCTTCACAACAAAATGTTCAGTAAACTGCCCCTTGCAACCACTACCACACTGCATCCGTTTCTATGGAAAATTAGGGTTTATCACCTGCATCTTTTAGTGGATGTTTTTCTAGGCTGCTTTCAGCATATTTTAGAATCAAAATGTTTAAACTTTACTACTTTAAAGCTACGCATACACTGCATGATTTTAGAAATGTTGTTTAACAACAACACCTACTGTACAAGTAAATCATTTGCAATGTAAACCAAAAGCTAATTATCTGTCCAATCGTCAAGCAGTGACCAGACGACAATCAACCAACAACAGCCCCTGCAGACTGTTCTGACAACCGACAATTGTCCATTTGAAATCTCTGAGGCAGGTAGAATTGGTTTGCAAACAAGGTAGAAACATGCTGCTTTGATCATCTGTGCCATCCTATGTGCCGATAGTCTAATCTTCTAAATAAAGAGGCACCAGCATATATGGACGTTCACATCAGTCGTGATAGAAGGAGGAGGAAACATCAAACAGACTTCAACAGCCTCATCTGTCCACATGACACGTCATGTCGCCATGGCACTTTCAGACTGAACGCGACTTGGCACAGTGAGAAAATTGTACTGTGTATGCTCAGCTTAAGGCCCATTAATAAATTCCCCACCAGATCTTTATTTCTGGTGTGTACATGGGTGTGAAGCTGCTTTTAAAACATTTTATTTATAATATAATTAGTTCAATGAAAAATCAAAACACAAAATTGGTTTGGTGTATAGTCAAATTTTTAGGGAAGAGGGTACTTTAACTGCTGACTCGTCTACAGCTCTGAGAGGAACCAATCGAAAGATTTAAACACAGGGATGGTTTTATATGATGGAAAGGGAATGGATTTATCTTTTAATCCTTTATCTAAGCACAGTAGTTTTAAAATCAGTGTTCCCTATTCACAATCGCATCTGGAAGCTGCCCAGTACAACCTCAGTCTGATTTGTTGGCCAGTGAGCACATTGGGGTTAAGGGCTGTCTGAGGGACTTGCTCAAGGACACCATTCTATCACGAGCCTGCTTCACTAATCTTTAGGTCACTACAGCCTTCCTGTTATGATTTACGGTCACAATTTTCATGCATTTCTGCATTTTATGTATATGTTTCATTGTGACTTTGATGGCACCAGAGGAAAATGAATGAAATGAAAGCAGACTGACATGTGTCTGGAGCCCAAGTTAGCTCACTAAGATACTGTGTTTTTGTTTTTTTTATTCTAAACTAAATCATTATCTACATCCCTCTTATATTGTCCAGTGCTACACAGAGTCAAACGTGAAGTAACTAAAGACCACTGCCAGTAAAATTATTAAGGTGTATATCAGAAAATATGTACAGGCTTTAATGTATGCAGAAATTTCAAGTGGAACCTTATAAGGGGAAATTCGAGCAATTATGATTTTGTTCGGTTTTTTTAATGAAAAGACCAAGACACATTAAACTGACAGATATTTAAGTAGAGTTTGGCACATCGCTCTCTCCGTACAGGAGGGGCAGTACTGGAGCTAACAATCTAACGTAGCTATTGATAAGTCCGCTGATAAAAGCAACAAGTGAGCCGTCAGGTATCTGGGCTACTTTACTTTAACCCACAAAGTCAGCTTAAGAAACACATTTAAGTCATCTTAGCTGTTTCTTTAAAAAAAGCTAAACGGGCTAACTTAGCAACATTAACGTAACGTTAGCTGACAAATATTACAAAGCTAAAACACATTAGCAAACTGCCTTAGCAAGCTAGAGTATATATGTGATGTATATATGCTTAGTATGAATCATTTAGCAGTATATCTGTCGGAGACACAGACATTTTATACAAACGCTTCCTGCGCTGTGTGGAAATTCATTCATGTAGATAAATACTAAAATCAAGCCTAGCTAAACCATATCACCGCAGTAAAACAAAGCAATGTTACCACAACAAATTAGCCCATGGTACTGTACGACTACACGAGCACAAAAGCCTCACGCCATTGTTGTCCGTTTGCCTTAATAGTTGAGTTTTATATAAATTCACAAAAGTCAGCACAGTGAAACGTTTTATTTACCGTAATTGTATAGTTGCTTTATAATCACCCGATGGGTTGTGTGGCGTCTGTAGTCGCCGTAGACTTGATCAGTGCTGTTGACAGCAGCAATCTGCGGCAACACCTCTTCCGGTTAATTATTTTCAAAATAAAAGTTGCATTCCTGTTTATAACGTACTGAAGATATCAAAATAAAACTACACCTAATCTGTGCGCATTCTCGTGACCATGTAGTTAAATTACAATCGCACAATGGGAACGGGAACAGGAACAGACTACAGCCGACAGTCAGGACTGCAGAGAGGATCTTTGGTGCCAACCCGCTCTCCATTCAGGACCTATACTTCTCCAGAGTCAGGAAACGGGCAGGAAATATCACCGCAGAACCATCTCACTGTGGACCCAACCTGTGGTAGCGATACAGACCACTGTACACCAAAACAAACTCAGGAACAGTTTCTACCCACATGCCATCACTCTGACTACCAGTTAACTGCCCTGTGCAATAACGATATGACTCTTAATAGCCACTGAACCTGGAAACCATTCACTTATTTTTCCATTGTTGAAATTTAGTTTCTTTTTTAAAACATTAAACATAAATACTATCATTCTAATAGATCTACATATGCTGTGCATACTGTATATACTGTCATATCCACCTATCTCATCTACATTAAGAAACCTGCACATAAAATATTTATTTCAGCATCCTTTGTACTATGCACCATTGCAATATTGTCTACTGTCTACAAATGTTGTTTTTTGTTTGTTTAGATAGATAGATAGATAGATAGATAGATAGATAGATAGATAGATAGATAGACTTTATTAATCCCCAGAGGGAAATTGGGTCGTCATAGCAGCCAGGTACATTAAAATACAATAAAATACAATAGAATAAAAAACAACAATAGAAAAAAATACTTAGATAGAAAAGATAAAAAAAAAGATAAATAGGTAGGTAAGGTGCAAAGAGTTGTAGTTGCAAGATGGTGGTAATAGTACTGATGACATGATGGTAGTGTTATTGTTAATAACAGTATATAATAATAACAGTATATAATGATAATATTAATAATATTCATAATATATAATAATAATATGTATATATGACTGAATAGATATACATGTATACACATAGATATTATACATTAATAGTGATATAATGTAAACATGTGTCATATATTCAGCCTGTGCAAAGTGTGCATACATACATACTGTAATATATATACACAATATATATATAATGTGTACACATATATACACAAGATATGATATGATATATAGCATATGTATAATAGATACTTGACTTTACAAGAAGATATACATACAATAGATAATATCTTATTGTTATATTGTTAATAATAATAGTTGTAATATATAATAATAATAATATTATATTATGAATATAATAATAATATATTGTATAAATATGATATATAATATCAACATGGTATATATTAACACATATCACATATGATAGTATATGTTCCACAGGTAGATTTAGTCCAGTTCTGTGATTGTGGATCTGACAGAGGCAGATGAGTTATACAGTCTTATAACAGAGGGGAGGAACGATTTTCTGTATCGTCTTCCTTAGGAAGTAAAGCCGACTCAGGCCCTTCTTGTAGATGGCCTCTGTATTTGTGGACCAGTTCAGTTTATTGTCTAGTGTGACACCCAAGTACTTATACGCCAACACCATATCCACATCGGTCCCGCCGATGCTGACAGGAGAGGACAGGGGCTTGTTCCTCCTATTTTCCACCACCATCTCCTTTGTTTTTGCCACGTTCAGCTGCAGGTGGTTCTCCCCACACCACTTCACAAAGCGGTCAACCAGGTCCCCGTACTCAGCCTCCCTCCCACCCTCAACACACCCCACAATAGACGTGTCATCAAAGTCTGCAGTGTAGGTGGTAAACATGGGGCTGATTTGCGAACTGCAGGGGGTCTTGCGATGCGCACACTAGTGGTCTGAGGTGTGCCAGGACCAGTCTCTATATATGTATAATTGTACATATTAGTCTGTCTATTTTGTTAAGCCTGTTGTTCTGTTTATTTATGCTTATGTTGTGTTTGTACATTGAGAGCAAGATAAACCCAGAGTCACATTCCTTGTATGTGTGCACATACCTGGCCAATAATGCATTCATTGGGTCCATCTGAAACTGAAAATCTCAATCCCTAACCCCACCTCTTAAGTTTAAAGTAGCCCAACCAATAGTGTATTTTTTAGGCTGATATATTGATATTTTGTTGTTTACAATCACACAGCAATATATGGGATGTTAGTATTTCTTTTATTTTCAATTCAATTCAATTCAATTTTATTTGTATAGCGCCAATTCATAACAGAAGTTATCTCAGGACACTTTTCAAATAGAGCAGGTCTAGACCGAACTCTTTAACATTTAACATGCACATAACATAAACAAACATAGTTTAAGTGTATTTTTATATGGCTTACTGTGTAAAAATAGACCTGTCCATGTTCTCTGTTGGACAAAGTATGTAATGATGACCCTTTCTTTCTTTTTTTAAGTGATTCTTTATTTACATTATAATATAATTATATTGGAATATTGATTGGAGTTTAGACTTTAAGATCCTGAAGACACCCTGCAGGCTAAAGCAAACCTGGACTTTTTTTTTCTTTGTGCACGTCATCAATATTTGACAGTAAATCAAGACTCCTTTGTAAAATTACAGACCTTGTCCTGGTTAAACTGAGGCAGTGAATGTTTGACACAGGCTTTAATACAAATGTAAAAAATAAAAATTAAAATAAAAAATAGTTACAACTGCACTGACGGAACAGCCTGAGGGACAATTCTGTGTGCGGAAGTGCGAGTGGAAAAAGAAACCTGCTGCAGCAGTTCCTGATACAACTGAAACGGCCACGATGCAGTTTAACACGCGCTCTGAGTTAAGTGTGTAAATACTCAAGTTGTCCCATGTTCCCTAAAAGAAAGTTCACAATTTAAGTCCACCAGAATGCCGAGGAGTGCGACAGACACGGACGTTTGGAGAGAAAGTTTCGGTCGCTCATATTCGCCAGAGGATATGGAACATACAGAATCTCATTCTGTGTCAGGAGAGGGACACGGTGCCAGAGCGGGACGGACATTCACCGCCCGGAGAGGCCCCAAACTGTGGTCCGTCGTCGTGATGTCAGTGTTGAGTTCGGCCGTGGCAGTGGCCGCTGTTGGTTGTTTGTGCGCCCTCATCTACCCCATACTCAAAGGTAGGTGGTAAGCGTGTATGCGCATGTGTGGGGGGCGTTTTGTTTCCTCGCGCACGTGTGTCACACAAGGGTGTGTGCGTCTCGCGCAGAGGATGGTGTTGAAATTGCTACGTATACTTTGAAGTGATTGGTTAAAAGTAGCTCAGATGTGTTGACACTTCCTGCTCATTTTGGGGAGTGTTCAAATCAATACAGGAAGATAACATCAATAACATAAAACGTTTCACTTACAAATCAAGATATCAACCATTTTACCGTCTTACAGTATGATAGCCAGTGTTGAAAATAATTTACATTGCAGTAAATGAAACATGGGCACTCACTGGCTCAATGTCATTACATCATAACACCAACAAACTAATGCTGTGCAGTGCCAGTTCCATTGAAGCCTGTGGGAGATGCATGGAGAAGCCCACTAAAACCCAACAGACCTGGTAAAGAGATGTCTCTACCAAATTAAAGAACACACTAGAGAATACATTTTTCCAAATGAGCGCATTGGTTTTTTGTCTGTTGGTCTCCAAATAGTATCCAAAGATGGTTAAAGGTAGACTTAGACAATGGCGAGTCAAATAAATGACCACTATGGAAAATCAGAAAAAGTTGCAAGTGAAGTGTCCTTTGAAAATATTGAGTTTAGGATAAATATTAGAAACTAAATCTGTATTCTTCATTCCTTCTCTCTTCCTGCTTTACGATGATTGACAGGGCTAATAATAAATAATGCCATGGGAATATTATTAGTTAGTGCTTTTAGCTTTTTTACCAGCATCTGAGTTTTGTTTAGGAGGTATACTCCACGTATTTGCATCGTGATTTAACTGTCTCACAATATATTGGTCCATTCCTAATTTATTTGTAAATATCATTTGACAAGATCCCTTGAGCTGTTCTCATGTCTGTCTGACATTTAAAGAGATTGTTGAGCCAAAAGTGAGTCAGTGACATTCCGTTTTACCACATTGTTTTGACTACTATGGCACAGTCAAACAGTTGGGGAAATAATGAGACACAACTTTTAACACAACGTTTCAGAGCTGCGGGCAGAGAGAGTGAGAGGACAGGATGGGACTGAAGAGAGGATGTTGGGTGAGTATCAGTATCTGCTGATTTTGTCCATCAGGACTAGGGGTGTAAGAAAACATCAATACACTTGATTTTCAATTAATACTTTAGTGTAAAGATGATGTGTTTAAACCCCCGACCGCTAGATGGCAGTGTTGTTCGGTCATTTAACTCCACTCCAATGCTCATATTGCACAAAAAGTAGTGCAGGACGTTAGTGGGATTGTGGTAGATACAAATCCTGCTGTTCTTATTGCATAAGTAAACTTCTTTTACTCAGATTTTATACATATAGTGTTGTGTTTTTTATACTATGACAGTTTCCTAAAATTAGACATTTAAAAATCGCAATATATTGAATCATAACCCTTGTATTGTGATACGTATAGTATCGGCAGATTTTTGCCGATACCCAGCCCTACTTTGGAAGAAATGAAAGCAGTTCTATAATTTGAAAAGGAAAAGTCTTATTTTAGTCATAATTTGTCTTTATTTTCTCATTTTGTTAAAAACATAGTAAGAAAAACATAATTGTAAAACCCAGAATTGTATCAAATCATAAGCTGAACATATCATTACATGCCATTCAATATAACATCAAGTACATTACAATAAGACAAAAAACGTATTTTCATTGTCAATTGATCTGCAAATTATTGTCTCTAAAATATAAAAAAAATAATCTAAAGGTCTAAAACCTAAAGATATTTAATTTACTAACATGAATATGACGGAGAAAAGCAGCAAACCCTCACATTTGAGAAGCTGCATACGATGTTTAGCACTTTTCAAAGTTCAAAGTCATCATTAGACTATTACACAAGTCTGCCAGCTGTTTCCTCATGCTCCATCAATCAACCGGACAGAGAGAGAGAGACAGACAGACACACACACACACACTCCAGCCTCCACTGAAAAAATCTACAGTTTGAAAAATTCTTTCATTTTAAGTGATGTTAACACCGCTTATGTAACATCCAGTAATAAGATGTTGGTGTTTATATGTTTTACGCTCAATTCAGCCTTCTGATGATTTCAGGTAATTGTAAGTGTTGCTATCACCACAGCGTTGCATATTTGATGCTGGCCGAATCAAAGGATTGAAATATTATTAAGGTTATTCCTTCAGTTGGTAATGCTTACTGCTGAGCCTGGAAACATTAAACTGCAGGAGTTGTGCGACTGGCATTATACTGCTAACAGAACATACTCTTAGGCTATTCCCACATTTCAGTATTGTAAATAATGTATAATGGACCATTTATAATGTATAACAATAATTACTAGGTTCTGTAGCACTAGTTAATCTGCAATTATAGAGGCTACCTAATTTCTCATGCTCAGATTAAGGTGGAATTATAATGGAATCAGTAACTTTAAACAGCTGAATTTGATATAATTTGATATGTATTCATTAAATGAATAAAATCAAGCTCTTAATGTTGCTTCTGCTCTCACAATCACAATGATCAGTTTGAATTTTTTATTATTTAAGTTGTAACTAAGTTTTAATTAAGGTGTGTGTGTGTCTGTGTGCGTGTAGGTTTCTGGAGTATCCTGGTGCTGTCAGTATTAGCAGGATGTATCTGCTGTGTCTTTTCATGGACTCTCACCTACCTTGACTCACAGCAGACTGGCATCCCAACACTGACACTCACCCACTTCAGGTAACACACCAGCTTACACCAGTATATCCAGTATGTCTAACACAACCTTACTGCTGGTGATGTCGTCAACATGTTAAAAACAGGAATCTGTGTGTGCTTTCTTCCAGAGATGGTTTCCACATGGGTTATGGCGTTGCTGTCCTTAATGGCATAATGGCCGTGCTCACTGTCATCTGGAGCCTCACCTGACTCACACACACACACACACACATAGAAATGCTTAGGCTCACAGGTATCTAATACTGGACAGTGACCAGCTTTAAACACTGTACAGAGATTTCTTTCACTGTCAACCATACAAAAGTTAGCCTAGTCTAACTTTAACAAAGCTGTAAGTGAACGTCTGAGTTATTTTTACCAGTTTTGTTGGATCCTTCCTTTAATCCGTGATCTGTCTTTTTTGGCCAGATAAGACAAGCTGTTGTTGTTTTTTTCACTTTTGGATGGACCTTGTCATCAGGTATCTCAATCAACAGTCTCTATGGAAACTTTGGAAATCACTTTCAATGCAGTGAATGCCTTCATATTTTTCCTTTCCTTGGGGCCTTTTAAGGGATTCTGTGCAACACCCTTAAGTCCCTCAGCTAAGGAGAAATTTAGCCGTTAAATGTCATACTTTAGGAGAAAACTTAAGGCATTTTGTGCAACCAACAGATCCTGTAAATGGACAAACATAGTTAATATTTACATGTTTTGTTTGTTGTGATAAGGGACTGTCCAGTATATCTATGTACACTCCTACTGCAGTCAAGGCTGAACATTAGATCTGTCATGAAAAGGGAACAATTTAAATTATTTGTTTTTAATGTGGAAAGAAAGTGATACTGCCACCAGAAAAGTTTGGATTGTCTGTATTTATTTTGTATAGGGTTGCAACTAACTATACTATAAATACATTATTCCTCTTCTCCATTCCCCCACAGACACTCATGCCCATACTGTTATGCCCCCCAATGCTATTGTTTACAATGTTGTAATTGTTTGTAAATGTTTTGTCTTGCTGTATGTTGCTTGTATGTGTGCTCAGTTTAATGTTGCAAAGTAATCACTTGTCACCAATGTGTTATGTATATCACCAATAAAAAAAATCAAAATTAAAAAAAAAGTTTTGTGACTAACGATTATTTCTTTGGCCAATAAAAGGTCAGAAAATGGTGAAAATGTTGATCACTGTTTCCCAAAGACAAGGGAACATCCTCAAATGCCTTGTTTTGTTCACAACCCAAAGTTATTCAGTTTACTGACATAGAGGAATATATTTTTAATTCTGCATTTTACTAAAGCACCATTGCAAGGTTTTAAATAATAATCTCTCAATAATAGTATGTCAACTTTAACTAGACACAGAGACTTTAAAGATATAATATGTAACATTCCCACATTAAAATGTCTAGAAACCACTCCCATGATCTCATAGTACTTGTTTGAAACCCTGTTGCTGACAGTTTAAATAGAGAAACCTTCAGTTGACTGTTCATGCCAGTAGATGGCAGTGTTCTGGCTCATCAGCCTACCATCACTGCAGCAGACTGAAACAGGAGATACATCATAAAATGATTATTATAATCTACTTAAGCACTTCACTAAAATGTTATTAAATTAGTTTTATCTAGTATGAATTTAGTACTTAACCTACAAAATCCCATCAGTCATTACATCCAAGTCTAATTTAGCAAACAAAATAAATACACTCCACCTTTCTAAAAAATAAAAATGTGGTTCTGTGGAACATCTTCATATTTAACTAATGTGATTTAGGACTAATTAATTTTTTGAACCACCGTTAGTGAACCTTTGAACTATTCCATCCTCCTAGAAAAACTGCTAATCCCTCCTCAGGACTGTGGGGGTGTACAGATTGATATATTTCTCACTCCTGTCCTTTTTATTAACTTTATTTAAACAAAATACAACTGAAAAGACATGATTAAAAAGCAAAAATATAGACTTTTAAATCTTAATTCCCATGTAGCATGCTTTTTTTTTAGCTGAAAGCACCACACAGACTCAAAGCTAGCATAGCTGTAGACTCCTTGTTTTCTGAAGAAAGAAAATGAAAACAATGGATAGTAAACTTACTTCTGTTTATTAGTATGCTTATAAAACAAGACTACAAAAAGTTGCTATCTCTATGCAATAACAGTCACAAAGAAATATTTTTTTTGTGTTATGTATTGGATGTGTATTTTTAAGTTTATTGGGGAGCCCCTAACACACACGCCTTTACTCAGTCCATTTGTTTATAGTACCATGACAACACACCTTTACAGTTTTGTACTCCACACACAAGATTCCATGTATGACCAAGTAGAAAAACAGTGCAAAGAATTTAACGGAAATCTGGAATGAACACTTTTACACAAAAAAAATCTCGTACAATAGATAATATGGCTCAAGTGAGACGTCAAAGGAGGCGGCCCAGCATCTGGTAAATTGGTGACTGCCTCTACTGACGTAAAAAATAATGAATACACTTAGTACATACAGGAAAAAGAGGAGAGGCACCATTACATACAGCAAAGGCCAAATGTTTAAAATCCATTCACTTATCAACTCTGTACAGAGAGAAATTAGTCTTAATGACAAATGTGTCTTTCATACAACAACTTAACAAATAAACACTTGAATAATTCACTACTATTCCGATCAAATTCAGTTTTTTACATATGCATTTCCAAAAATACTGTAAAACTTAATTTCATTCAGGGTCCCATTAGAGGTAGGTCTCCTTTATTAGCCTAGTGTGGCTACATGTTTTGGCAAATAAAATCAGGTCTTAATTAGAAGCCTAGTCTGGATTTTTATAGACATTCTTGTTCACAGTTTTCACATTAAATGCACACAAGACATGTACTACCATCCCACCCCAACTTGTAACACTTGTAACAAGTAAAAAAAAGAATAATAATAACAGTAATACATATCTAGTATGTATTAGTAAATATGTAAATGCAATATACATGTACTTTAACAATGGGAAATATATTATAGAATATTTTAAATAAAAAGAAAGAGAAGCTTACAAAACATTAAGAAAAAAATTTAAAAAGTGTAAACAATTTGATTATCACATCTTTGCTAAGCAAGAGTTTTGTGCAAAAGGAATTGAAAGCTTGTTCCATACAGAGGCTTAATGTAGGCTGAGTTGATTGAAGCAAATAAAAGCCCAGACTATCAACTGAAGTTTTACAGTATTGGTGAAATTTGTTGCACTTACTGACAGATATACTGACAAACTGTGCATGGATGTCCTGGCTTTTAAAGGGATAGTTCAGGTTTTTTGTGTATGAGGTACTTATCCTATATCCCTTTGCAGAAGCAGACAGGAGTCCCAGCACAGAAGCTAACCAATGTACTACTAAGGGTGTTCAACATAACATATTTTTGCCACCGAAAAGATCTGTATCAGTGTAAGTGTATGCTACATCTGGAATAATTTCACTGCTTTAACTTGCTGTCAAAAAGCCTTTTTCATCAGGAAAGTGAAGCATTTATATATCTGATTCAGTCTGATGGCCTTGGAGAAAGCATAGGTGCATATATTATGGCTTCAGTTTCCCATCTGAAAGAGATGTGTGATGGCGGTAAGAATATTAAAAATTCAAAATACAGCAGATAAGCAGAGATTGGTTTTTTTAGGTGGGCCTTTTTTTAGGTTACTAAAGTACATTTTGTTCCTGCCCCCATCCACAGCAGTGGACCAACCACGCAAACTAGTAGAGAACATGGAAACTGCACATTTGAAGGCTCTGTCTGAGTCGGGATACGAACCAGGAACCTTTTTGATGTGAGGCAACAGTGACACTAAAAAAAAACACCATTTAAACTTTTACATTTGTTTACATTTGCTTTGTCTGCTTGCTTGTTGATAGAAAAACACATTTGCAAACAACATACTTTATTCACATATAAACATGAACATGAAGCACATATTGTTTCTCTTCTACATCTGCTAACTCTGGGTCATGTGTGCTCAACACTGACACTGGCCTTTATCTTGCAAATCAAAGTGTTTCACAGGCAGACGAATAGTGTCTGCATCTTGTGACTGTACCAAAGTATTATTTATATAAGAGCTACAGTTACAAATGTGATAATCCAACACTATTATCAGTTGTTTGTATTGATATTAAGCAACACATAATCTTGGTTTATAACATTCATAACCGTTTTTTTTGTGAATACATGACGACATTAGTACCAGTAGTACAGAAATAGACATTATAAAAATAAGATAAATGCACTGCATTTATGTAGTTATTTTATCCAAAGTGCTCACACACACACACACTCACCAATGGCAGCAGGCTACCATGCAAGGTTCACTTATATTTGGTCATCACTTTAACACATTAAAGTCTGGTGTCATTTGTCTTTTTGTCAACAAATCTCATGTCCAGAGCCGTAACCAACAGAGAATTCAATTCAATTCAATTTTATTTGTATAGCGCCAATTCATAACAGAAGTTATCTCAGGACACTTTTCAAGAATGTATCTACTAACAAGCATTGTGTGTGTGTGTGTGGGTGTATCAAAACCTGATGTGCCATAGAGCTCCACTGTTGTCCAAAACCTATTAAAAAACATCAATGAGCCACTCCGTTCCTTCATCACCATGAACACACAACACTAATTTATTTTGACTCAATCCCACATACACCATCCTGCTGCCCAAATACTCAATAAAGCACCAAATGTGGATTCATCCGCCGCTGGAAATAGTCCCCAACAAACACACTATTTTCTGCTGCCTTTAAAAACTACAGTGAGCAGCTGTTTTAGGATCACATCTTCAAAAGAAATCAATGGGCTGAGAGCCTCAGACAGGGCAGGGAAATCACAAAGCATTGAGAGACGGACAAACACATTGTTGGTTTTGGTCTTTTCATTAGATTTGGTGAAAATAAAAAAACGTATCCTCCAACTCCCTGAAAATGTTTAGGAATTTATTTTTAAAAAAGTTAGAAGCTCCAGATATTTCTTTTAACTTTTTTTGGCACTTTGTCTAAATCCAGTAACAGAACATTTAACAGTAATTAACATTTTGTGCGATATAAGCAGCCTAACAATATTAAACATGTGCTCTAGGTGAACAGTGTAACATTTCAAGCTTCAACAGCATTGTGTTCATTAAAGACAAATATTGATAATCCTTCTCAGTACTAATACTTATCAATGATTAATTAATCAATTACAGTAGTAAATAATAAATATAAAAAATATATATCTTTTAGGCTGGTCTACTATAGTAGTGGTGCGAAGGTAACATTCCTAGTGTTTATTGAGCTTTTACATCAAGTCTAAGGCATCAGTTTCAAACAGCTGGGAAATGGACAGAAATTAATCTGGGTATCGTGTGTTTGGGTTTTCTTTCCATTCCAGAACCATGTTTTAAAACCATACAGGATAAATTAAGTTTTTTGTTTTGATTGTGTAAAAATGTACAGTTTGTGCTGCTCCTTTCTGGGTATCGGCAGGGCGGGTGGGCTGTCCCTCTACGCACCAAGCACTTCTTCGGCTTGTTCTCTGGTGGACTGGACCTAGTCCTTACTCTGGAACTGCCAGTGTCGTTTCTGGCCCCCCAACAGCAAAGAGCAGCTCCGGAGGGCATCCATAGTTTCATTCAACCCAGTTTAGATGAAACACTAACGTATGTGATGCCATTCTGCCACGCAATGACCTTACAGATGAATACAGCTTGAAGCATTTCACTCACAGACTATAAATAAGAATGGACAGGAGCTGCAGTTTTTATTACTTCTGTGTTGGCGTCATTTGCCAGCCACAGAGGTTGACTCTAGGTTTTACTAAGTGTAGTTTTAGCCTCTACTGTTGTGGCTGAAGAGATTACTGAAGCTCACTCACCTCTCCTGCTTAATATGTGAGAAGCTATTCAATATCTATCGTTATGTGCCATCAGGAGACAGCGCCACTGATCGGCGGAGAGTCTGACTCTGTTTCTGCTGGGCTGTCGGCCAGGACCTCCTGCTTGGAGCGCCTCTTGGAAGCCAGTTTGCAAAGCCCAGCGAGGAGGAAGACCATAGAAATGACTGCAAAGTAGCAGCCATAGATAAGGAACTGAGGGAAGAAAACAAGACAATAAAATTTACATTGTGGGAGGTGGATAAAGAGCACAGGTGACAACATGTATGTTGTCATGAGCAACTTTTTTACCTGTGTAAAGACATCAAGGCCCAGTCCAGCTGAGTCCACCACCACTATAGTGAGCAGAGTCTGTAGCAGCAGAGCCACGAAGGTGTTCACTCCAAACACCAAGGCGTAGCGCTGCATGTTGAGATTGGCTGCGATCTGATATCTGATGGGTCAGAGGGCAAATGACAGAAAAACATCATGAAATACTGTACATGAGGAAGGTCAGTGTCTCTCCTCGATTTATACAGCAGTTTGGCAATGAAATAACAAAACTTGGAATGAAACCTGGAGTATAGTATTTTAGAAAGTTAACATTTAAATCCAATCACAACCTACTGCCTCAACTAAAGAACTGCGATCGAGAAACATAATCCCTCGTTACCCAGCAGCCCTGCTAGTTGTTTAAGCTCATATTTAGTTTCTTTTGGGGTGGTGATTCAGGGAAAAAGACAAACATATGCTAATACAGACTTACACAGCTCCAACTCATCATACTCTTAATAAAAACAGGGCATGCTCAACTCATATTTATAAAAAAAAAAAATGTATAAACTAATGAACTGCAAAACTAGCATGTCAATGTTAACAATCTAACCACATTTTAAATATATGTTGACCTTATTCTACAGGTGTTTATAGGCTAATTATCAGCGCGCTGTAGTGTTTTAAAATTGTGACCAGGCTAATATTTTAATTTTAAAAGTACATTACCTATATTTCATCCCAATATTATGTATATATATATATATATATATATATAAATAAAACACACACACACACACACACACACACACACACACACACACACACACACACACACACACACACACACACACACACACACACACACACACACACTAGGGCTGTCCCTTTTTATTTGAATTTTGGAAATTAAGTTCTGAGGTGTAATGACCTGTTTTGAATTCAAAATGTATAATCTATAAGTGCAACAGCTTGAAGAAGATCCAAAATGAGGGTGCTCCCCAATAAGCTTGACCTATGGTAACCTTTTTCTTTAAATTACATCTTTTCTATCATTTAGTAAACTGACATCCCCTGACTTTCGGATACTCAAGATGAACTTAAAAGCTCTCTGTTTATCTGTTCAACTTGCAGTCTAAATGAACTGCAAGCGACTTACGTTGCCACAGTGATGAGCAGCATGTAGGTGGCTCTGAAGACGATGTATGAGCTGTAACACAGCCAGATGTTCCTGAGTGTGTCCATGACAAACACACACACAGCCATCAGCAGGGAGAGGACACATAGAACCAGCTCCCCCCACAGAGCCCAGCACACAGGCAGGTAGCCCACCAGCAAAGCTGCCAAGGCCCCTATGGACCAGCACAACACAAAAAAAACAGTTCTTACACACATCACTTCAGAAACATCTGTACCTGCTGCCCAGTCTGAAGCCTGGGGTTTACTGGGTAAAAGTATTTTCCAGTAAATTTCATCCAAGAAAGCACAGCTTGAAATTCAAAACTGTCTTTAAATCTGATAACGTTGCACCCTCACCCAGCAGTGTGGACAGTGTCTCTACGTAGCCATTGTAGATTTCATAGTCGTGGGATGGACGAATATTCTCCCACAGTGGTTGAACATAGTTGATGACCTGGAAGTAGCCGCAGGTGGCCAGAGCCCACCACAGCGACCACGCCAGCAGGGGGCGACACCTGTAGCAGTGCAGGAAGTCCTCAAACAAGAGCCGCAAGACATGCACAAGACCTCTTTTGTGATTTCCTGCCTCAGAGGACCTGGGTATCTGCATGGAGAAAGGGAGAGGTCAAACATGTCTCTTCATAAAAAATACAATTACAGTATTCACATTTGAAGATCCTATCATGACCCTCCTGTGACCTGAACGTAGCAGCCTGTCACTCACCGTGAAGGCGTCCTGGGTGTTCAGAGGCACTTTGCTCTCTGAATCCTCAGCCTTCCTCAGCAGGGCTGTGTTGCTTCCCTGTGACCTCTCCTCCACTGCTTCTGAACTCTTGTGGAAGAACAAGCTCCTCTTGGGCATAGGTAAAAACCAGGGAGCAACGAAGGCCACGGCAGCCGCCGTCAGGGTGACGATGACAAGGTGGAGCAGCTGAACTTTGGCCACAGAGAGCAGCAGCTGACCGATCAGAGATCCGGCAGCTGATCCAAACAGAGTGATGCTGCGGCAGTAACCAGTCACTCTCTGGTAGTGTGCCGGCTCCACCACACTGTAGATATAGGAGTAGTAGGCCACATCCGAGGCTGTGGCCAGACCGAAGAAAAACTCCAGCAGCTGCATGGCCCGTATGCCGTTCACCTTCAGCAGCATAACATAGGTAACTACTAGGCTGGTGGCCTGCAGCACCAATACAGGCTTATAACAGAGGTAGTCAGTGGCCAGGAAGATGGGAAACAGTAGCACCAGGTAGGAATACGTCCATGCTGGATAGATTTCGTTGACGACCTGCAGACAAAAGAAGATTTACAGTAAAAAGATTTTAATTCTATTCATCCATCTATCAATGAATTATCATTTGCTGATTCAGGGTTGGGTCATGGTAGCAGGAGGTCAAGCAGGGCACATCAGCAACACCTTCCAGTTCCTCCTGTGGGTTCCCGAGATGTTCCCAGGCTAGATGGGATATACAATCCCTCCAGTAATCTCTGGGTCGTCCCGGGGGTCTTCTTTCAGTTGGGCATACTCGGAAAACGCCCAGGAGGCATCCTATTCAATGTCCATACCACCTCAACTGACCACTTTTGACACAAAGGACCAGCGGCTCTACTACGATTTCCTCACCCTCTCTAAGGTCGAGCCCAGCCACCCTAGGCACTGGAGGAAACTCATTTCGGCCACTTTTATCTGCGATCCCATTCTTTTGGGCACTACCAATGCTCATGACAATACATAGGTGAGTGTTGGAACATAGATTGACCAGTAAATCTCAGCTCTGTCTTCACCACAACAGTCCGGTAAAATGCCCTGCGGATGCTGCAATAATCTGCCTGTTCATCTCACGCTTCCATTTAATCTACTATATTTCAATTATTTTGATCCTCCAAGGAACAATGCTACTTTCTACTGAGTCCTAGGTACAACCTATAGTATTAGTGTGCAGATTTGAGTTTTCATTTGAAAGTTCTGGATTATATTGTTGCTTTACAGACCTGCATAACCGATTCCACACAATGGTACTATAATACTGCTGGCTGCTCTTCAATGCATTTTTGGCTGCTGGGGACACCACAAGATGTAGATCCCACCTCTCCAAGGCCTTGTGCCAACATTAACAATTCTTATTAAGTATTAACGGCACAGATTTAAAAGACCACTGTCAGTGACATTAATATTGTTACATTGCAAGCCATCTGTGAAGTTTTCTACAGTCTACAGTTTTTGCAGTCTTAATGTAATCCTTCAAAGTCTTTAGAGTCTGACCTGCACGAGGCTTGCAGTTCTGTCAATCACTGGTTGACTCTGAACCTAACATATATGCAGCTTTCACTGTAGAGCGAGCTGCTCATAGATATTAACCTGGCCATTTATTATTATGAGGGTGTTACTGGTGTATCTGAGTCCTTTCAACACAGATTGAGGGTTTATTGTCTCTAAATTGAAAGACAGCGAGTCAACTATAATGACATAAGTACACTTCCTTATGGCCCACATAAATGCATGGGGAAATGAACATACAGACTCCTTTCTTGTAAATAGGATTCAAATAATTTCACTGTAAAAGCATCAAAGCCAGGCTTTTATAGTTTGTGTAGATCAATATCAAAAGCTGTATTTAAGACAAGGAATAATGCAGCACTGACTTCTTGTCTATTTGTGAATGATTTTCAGCCACTTTCCACTTTTCTGTAACTGTTTTGACAGTCGGACTTGTGGAGAGCGGCTTCTGACACGTGATAGTAATTTCTTATCTTAGTATGGTCTACCAGTTGTAATTCATTCAGGGCAAAAACAGATTCATCACTGCTCCTCTTTTTGAAACATTTTTCTAGGCAAATTTACAACGTGATGGAGGTAATTATTTTAGGATTAACCACAAATTCCACAGGATTCAACCAGTTTGCAAGAGGGATTATTCTGTCTGAGGTGAGAATGTATGGGGCTGTTGTTGGTGCTAGACAAAACAGGCAAAACAAAAAAAAAACTGAGCCATTACAAGATGTCCAGTTCTATTATTATGAGGCAAGGTGGCTGCTTTAATGGTAGAAATATGGAGCTTAATATGGATTTGGGTATGTTGTGTGTTCAAGTGTAAAATAGATTTAAATCGTCACAACACATTAAGTGTGCCTGTGAGCCTCAGCACAAAACGCAGCATGTAAACCAGTGAACTTCGGCTTCCCTATTCTGCTAAAGCAAATGTTCGTCTGCATGTTAAGAGAAGGTGGAGGGGTGAAAAAATGAAGACAGACAGCAGTACAGCATGAATGCTCCAGCTCTGACACAAGCAGCTTTAGTGGTGGTGTAACGAGAAAAATGCAATCATCACTTCTTTAGTCTCTGTACGAAAGTTAAGAAATGTCTGTGGTGGAAGGACACCACGTATGTGTACAGACATGTTGAGGACTATCCACATTGTTTGAAGAGATGGCTTTGAAGGGTCCTTTCATATAAATTAATCACAGTACCTCTAAAGCATCTGGCCATGCAGATCATTTGTTCTGAGGTATCAGCTTCTAAGAATTTTGTCTGCACCCCAATACAAGGTAGAAATTTTGAATATTTTCTTATATATTTTCCAGACAGTATCCCTATTACTCTGGTTATGAGGCACCTATGGACTCTAGAGAGTTTAATGGACCAACTGTAAATGCTGAATATGCAATAGGGCTGTACGATATGGCAAAAAACATCATATTGCAAATATTTATACTACTGCAGCTTTAATATAGCTACTGAAAACTGAAAAATAAAAAAACTCCAATACTCATATTATGTAGAATCCAGTAAAGGGTGCTGCAGCGCCCCACTTACAGTGAATACAGGCTGTCTATGACAGGTGATCTGTTACATCAGTCATATCGCAACGACAGGAAACCTTTTATTTCTCAGTGTATACAATGTCGGGTTTGAAGTCGAACTTCAGTTTATTTTGATCAACAAAAACTGCCGTTTTACAAATATATTCATCAGTATAAAAAAAAAAGTAATATCAAACTATTGTTAAATAAGACGCATAAACTGTTTATAATGCTGCTGCAAAGGGAACTTATACATGAGTGCAGAAGAAACTAATTAATAATTCCGTTTAAATGTTTATTAACGCTAAAGTAAAAAGTTCAAATGTGACGCAAGCTTAGTGCTAACCGCTCAGTAGCATTTTGCCCGGCCAGCTAGCTCACCTGAGTCTCCGTCAGGTTCTTGTCTGGTCCCATCAGGTAGGCGGTGAAGAAAGGCTCCGAGGGCCGCAGGTTCGAGAAGAAGCCATATACACAGAGCAGCAGAGTCGGGTACACCACAGACATGTTGGACTCACACAGCATGACCTCCACTCCGCACTGACAGCGTTCTGCTTCTTCTTCTTTGTGCTGGTTAGTGTTACATGGCCAGCCTTTAGGTACACTACCGCCACCACCTGGTCTGAACGTGGAGCAACCCCAAAAAGAAAGAAAGGGAAGCTTCGGAGAGCGGGGGGAATTTTCCCCATTTACAGCAGTTTATTTCAAACCAGTTAAGATAATAGAACGCCTGTCTGTACATCATCTGAGCGTAGAGCAGTTATCCTGTGACCCTCCCTCAACCTGAGATCATTTCCAGGCGTCGCCAAATGGTTGTGGAGAGTAAAATAAAATATTAAAAAAAATAGACTTTATTGATTCCACACTGGAAAAGTACTCGTTACAGCAGCTCCAGATACAGCACAACAGATAAAAAATACACCTTAAATAAAAATGACATATGAAAAAAGTTATTTTAAAACCTAAGCGGCTTTTAAAAAACATTCTTAGAAGCCCCAACATTTTCAGTTTTCTTTCAATGTTCTATTAGTTCTTCTGTTTTGTTTTTTTTTTTTTTTTATAGTGTAGTACAAGACCGGTAAGGCTTACATAAGGCTCTGTGAATATAACAATAAATAATAAACTTAAAAAAAATTTTTTTTTACAGCACTTAAATAATGATCTAAACTTTAAAAATAAAATTTTTATTTAGTTTGCTTCAGAGAAATGAAATTTTACTGTATATATTTATACATTTTTCTCACACCTCTTAAAATCACCCCCCCCCAATCATTAAGCTCTGATGACCCATGGGGGTCTGGACCCTCAGGTTGGGAACCACTATTTTAGATGGCTTCTTTTACCACATACTAGCCCTCCCCAATAAATAACTACACAAATAGAATTCTGTTTGCAGTATTTGGGAAACTCTTTATTGATAAATGTACATTACTTTAAAATGTTCAAATGTTACCACTGAGCAGGTTATCAGAGACTGAACCAACAGGAAGTACAGAGTGAATATTTTATCCAACCAATAGACAACAGGGAAAGAAGAGCAAGGATTACTGAAGCAGGTATTTTATTTAGTTGTGTAAGTACTGTCAGAAACATGTTACTGTAATGAGCCAAATATAGTTTATAATTCACAATCTTATAAACAAAATAGACCAGAAATGCATCGCAGGATTTATTGAAGTACACAGAGACGCTTGTGGCAATAAAATCACTCTCTATTTGTTTTCGCAAAAATGCTGCACAACAGAGGCCACAGCCAACCTTCACACAGCTCTTAGACATAACAGGAAATACATCACGCTTGTAGAAGCAACACAAACTGGAAAAAAAAATGTCCCACAGTTCTGAAACAAGCTGCAGGGGAGAGAAAACGGTCCAAAGTTGAAGTGAAACACAAAAACTATAGAAGCCTGGCCATCAACACATTCAGAGAGTGAAGTTTTAAGACAAACTGGCATAAAGAGCTGATTTACAATAATGAGCTTCAGCCATGACTCCTGCAAAGTGCACTAGAATGCAAGCAATAACAGCCACTACAGTGAGGCATGATGGGAACAATATTATTAATAGTCAAGAAGCTTTTGTCAATGCTGCTGTCAACTACAGAGATGTTTTAGAAAGTACATTTCCTTCCAGTAGCTGTCCAAGTCCAAATCCACTATTTGTAGTTGTAAAATAAATGGATGTGCTAAAGGCAGTGGCGGGCACCAGTGTAGGAAAGGGCATGCTCGTTGTTTCGGTTTTACAACCCACCACTTTATTGTTTTGGTTCAGTCTCACCCAGTCTCATCCAGCAGGCAGCTGTTTCCAGGGAAAAAGCTCTGATAAAGTCACTGAGGCAGATATTTTTCTCAGGATTGGTGGTCTCCAAAAACAGAGCAAAAAGAAGGAGTTTGGACTTACATTCATCGAGTAACAAAACAAAAAAATAATTTAATGACTAACCTGGGTTTTTTTCAACCTGGAACATTTTCCCATGTTTTTTGTGTCAAAGTGACTAATGGAGACAACAGCCTTTGAATTCGGTCCAGTATTGAGAGAGCACTGCAACCTGCAGCCGGGAAACGGTTTACAACTTAATCCTTGTGGGGTTATGTGAACCAGCATTACGTCCAATATAAGCACCAGTAATTTGATCCCCGCTGGGATATTTGTTGTAGCTCTGACACTCGGTTAGACACATAGCAGATCAAGTGAAAGGAACAGAAATTCTCTTAATTCCTCGGTACATTTGTGTTGTCAGATACTTATAATTAAAATCGGAGCCTGTCAGTAACAAATACAAGCACTTTTAATGGATGTACACTGATGGTATGCAATTTCCCCCCCAAGGATTCTGTTTTGCAGCTGCAGGCTCAATACTGGACCAAACACAAAACTTGTTATCCTCATTAGTCACTTTAACAAAAAAATCATGGGAAAACAACATCCAGGCTGAAACCCACCTAAGTCACCCTTTACTTCTGTGTGGCCGATACTGAAGGCAGGATTTTTAAATCCAGGCCTGTTTTCCAAACACTTTGCACGAGGAGGGTTACATTTAATGCAGCGTGGAATGGGGTTAGTTTTAGTGGCAGCATCAGAAATCTTCTGAACAAGAACTGTTTGAGAGACACCAGAGGAACCGTCCAACTTTTGGGAAGAAGCCAGAGTCAGAGGAAACGATAGATATCAGTTTCACTTCCGTGTGTCTAGTACGGAAGTAGCTTAACACAATCACTGGAAGTAGGGGGAAACTACTAGCCAGCTTAGTCACAAATGAAAAATTCCACAATTTAAACAGTTGTTAGCCAGGATGCTATGAAGTGTGTTGTTTTTACATTTCTATTTTCCACAAGTGATATAAAAAGATACAACACGACCTTGATGAAAAGTGTATTTTTCATGCAGTTTTAAACTGATATTGATCTTCTTATCTGACTCTCGGTTTCAAGAAAAACAAGCCTGTTTCCCAAAACAACAGACTGTTCCTTCAACAGACTGTTTTGTCACATACCTCCAACATTCCTGCACACACAGAAAGTGTCTCAGCGTAAAACAAATACTCCACAAACCAATTGTTTTAAGACCAGACCAGATATAATCTCAACATAGAGGCAGGAGAGCTGATCCTTCCCACATGCACATGTTGCATTATTAGCAGAGGCAGATTCATGAAGCTACATGGTGAAGTGTCTTGTGTAGTCGTATTCTATTGTGGGAATGACAGCCTGGACAAACTTGAGAAAAATCAGAAGATACCTGAAAGTCTCAGTTAAGGAAAACACGGAGGAGCCTGGAGGGAAATTACAATACAGTAACACAGTGATGATGCTGTTACCATGACAATGTAGCATTAGAAGAAATGAATCACGCAAGCTAATGGGAGAATCCAGGGTTCAACCTAGAAATAAGGATATATTGAAATATATTGTGGTATAATACAAATTCTGGAAAATCTATTGAGAAGCTCCCCTTTACTGGACAGTCCATATGAAAGAGGCAGACAAGAAACAAGGGGGGTAGGGTTAGCTCATGCGACAGGCATGGTTATGTGGCATGTGCTGTAACCATCTCTTTTTATTTGAAATTCAAACTACAGTCTGAATGGTGGAATTATTCAGTGTTCCATGTCTGTAATGAAAAGTCACAGTGTAGATCAGTTATGTGTTACTTACAGTATAAGGAGGTCAGCACTGTGCACCGTCTACTGTATGGAAACACATTGACTAAGTACCCCATACACAGATCAGCCATAACATTATGACCACTGACAGGTGAAGTAAAAAAACACTTATCTGGTTATCATGGCACTTGTCAGTGGGTGGGCTATATAAGGCCGCAAGTGAACATTTTATCCTCAAAGTTGATGTGTTAGAAGCAGGAAAAATGAACAAGGGCCGAATTGTGATGGCTAGACGACTGGTTCAGAGCATCTCCAAAACTGCAACTCTTGTGGGGTGTTCCCTGGTCTGCAATGGTCGGTACTTATCAAACGTGCTCCAAGGAAAAGTGGTGAACCGGCAACAGTGTCATGGGTGGCTAGGGTGGGGAGTGAAGGCTGGCCCGTGTGGTCCAATCAAACAGATAAGCTAGTACTCAAATTGCTGAAAAAAATGAATGCTGTTTCTAATAAAAGGGTGTCACACAGTACATTGCAGTTTGTTAAGTATTGGGCTGCATAACATTAACAAACACAATTTGGCTGTTTAGCACCTCACAGGCCACAAATCCTTAGAAAAGATTTACTGTCGACAGTACCTTAATAACAATCAGCCAGAACTGCTGTGTTAACATGTAACATGTTATTACCACGAAAGGATACATGTGTACTCCCAGCTCTCCACCTCCTTCTGCCACAGTCTCAATGATCTTTTTCATCACTTCAGCATGTCTGAAAGTAAAGGTTACATTAGCCAAAACTTCTTGTCAAAGTGTAATTTTTAACAGTCATGATCAAACACCCATAAACGAATCCTTTAAGACTATCACTACACAAAAAAAACATTTAGATATTTTTTCTGTATGTTCATCATTTATTGTAGTATCTCAGTATTGTAAAGATACAGATACAGATGAGTAGGGCTTTAATATTACTGTTTATAGACTAGAGGCATTTAGTTTGCAGTCTCATGTGGTTTTAAAGAGCCAGTTGACATTAAATTGACCATTGCTATCCTCTGCCCCATTTTGGGACCTGTCAGTTTTCTCCTTTCCTGTATTTAGATATGTGCTGTAGCGTATTGAGCTAGGCTTGTCTATGTTGAAAAGATAACCACTTTTGAAAATGGTTAAAAGATAAAAGTGACATATACAGTATAGCTAGAGTCACATCTTAAGTTAGCTAATGCTAGCTAACCAGCAAGCTAATCTACATCAATTGCTAACTAATTAGCTTCCACTTTGCTAACATTATCACTCAGATGTAACTAGCTAGCTAATGATTATTGTAGATTAGCTAGCAAAACACTTGCTAACTAGCTAAGTAACCAGCTAACTAGCCAGCTAACAACTGATGTAGATCAGCTAGCTTGTTAGCTAGCATTTTGCTAACATTACCTGACTTAAAATGTCAGCTAAAGGATTAGCTCTGCATGATCAGGCAACCAAAGATCATTGAACCGGCTGGTTGGAAGCTATTATAATTTATAACTCACAGACAATGACGGGTAGTGAACAAAATGTCCACAATAAAACATCTATACATAAGTTACAATAATGATGGTGAAATTGTTCTTCAAGTTCTGTCTGACCTGCAGGGGTGGACGGAGCACATGGCAGGTGGAGGAAGGTGTGGGTGGTTCTCAATAGTGACTGTCTTCTTCACGTGGTCCTGGCTGATGTCCTCGTACATCTGTTCTACAGTCAGTGGTTGCCTGTCCTGGGAAACACCACATCAGCTTGATGAACTCCGGAGTCTTTCCCTAGCATAGCTGACAAAAATCATGTACTGCAGCTTTAAGAAAAAGAATACTAACTCCACATTATTGGCTTCCATGTTTATCAAAACTCTGTCCTAAAAATTAATGTTATTTGAATGCTACAAAGATGTATAGTGAACTGTGTAAAATCTGAGATTCTCTAAATGTGATTTAAATATTTTACTATATGACAAATGCCTCCTGTCTCCTATAGAATGCTGAAGGAATGAGTCCCAAACATTGACAGCATATATAGGTCCCAAAACCCAGAAATGACGACTCTAAGTCAGTGGATATTTGACTCGGTTTAAGCTTAAGAGATTTTCACGCTTTGTTTGGCAACATTAAATATGTCAAAAATCATAAAAGTGGTGTTAATTTGTGAAGATTATCTTGCTTAACAGAACATAAAAGTATCATAAAAATTTGTTTGCAACAGAGCTTATTTCTGCAAAATTCAAGCCAATGAGAAATCCCATTGGCTTTTTGTCATAGGAATCAGAACGAAGCTATCTTCTGGGTTGTTCTAATATGTCATCCTTGCAGCACTCTATAGAATAGAAAAACGCTTCCATTCTTATACTGTACTTTTTCAGGTACATACTTCATCATATCCAAACAGCCAGAGTCGAGGGGTCTGGTAGTATTTATCATACGTGATGTACAGGTCATATGTTCTAGTCTGAAGGATGGCATCTTCACTCCCAGGCTCTGCTTTGGTTTTAGTTTCCACCATTTTACTGGTGTCCAGGGTTGCCTAGACCGAGGACAGAAGTTTAAGGTGGAAGTTAGGTTGATGATAACAGATATTAAATCACACAATAAATAACATGTTGCAACCCTTTCGAGCTGTCTACCTCATCTGTTTCCAACAAGCCACTTTCCTCGTATTCTGAAATGACAGCATTAAAGACAACATGAGCAAGTGAAAGAAACAAAGTAACTGCTCATTACTGGAGGGTATGAGTAAGATATGAATACCTTCCATATCTGCTGCTTCTCCATCTTCATCATCATCTTCATCATCATCCTCACAACATGCTGCAGATGTGGCATTCATATTCTTGTCCTAGAGGAATTCAAAGTAAAAAGGATCCATTTGGAACTTGCACTACAGTTGAAACAAAGTGGTAATGCTCGATTCTCATAAACATCAGAAGACTAAACACAATTTCAAAAGGTCTTTATATGAACCTCAGGACCAAAATGAAAAGCATCTGAACTAGCTAAGTAAGTGGACATTTTTAAAGAACGCACACACTATATGCGTTCCCTGAAGTCAAGAATGAACCTACACGCTAAACTGAACTGAACCTCTGAGTGTGAGACCATTATTCTCTTCTCAACAATATGGCAGATAGTAATGGCAAATCTTTGAATGTAATTTTTTAATGCCTTGAGCAGCAAAAACAATATTCTGAAAGCTGAACCTGGGCACATAAGCCTGACTTTATCATCATGGCTACATACTATTAGTGGCAAGTGTAAAAAAACTGGTTTATTCTAATTTGGGTCAACAGAACCATTTACAACAATAATATGTTGGGTGATATTTGCTATCTGTTGTACGTGAACACATGACATATTATCATCTTTTAAGCTGAACTTGTTAGCAAACAGTTGCTTATTTCAAGATTCAGCAGAGCATCATGATCATGCATTTGGAGACATGTTTGTGTCCATGATAAATGTCCGATATTCACTCTCTTTTAGCTCTGTTTTTGGTCTCTACCATGTCCTGAGGGAAAGTTCTGGCTCTTCAGATGCTAAATGATCCACTGATAATTCTCTGTAGATTCATAAGAGACACCTTTCACATTGTCTTTTGACGCATTATTATTAGAAAAATATTGATTATAACCGCTTTTAGTTTACTAAACTATAATTTACGTTTGAAATTTTTGGATTTCACATAGTATTTAGAATCTACGGAAGTATACTGCATTCACTTGAGAAAAAAATGTTTTCTTTGTTTTCTCTCATGGGGGTTAAGAGCCCCTGGGCATGGAGGGCCTACTGGAGGTATGTTGTTAATTCAGAAAAACAGAGAACTTTTTTTTTCATAAAAAAGTATTTCAGAATTTTTAGATATAACTCATTCATTCAGAAAAACAGAGCAGATTTGTATTTTTCAAAGTGAATGGAATAAACTTCTGTAAGAATCAACAGAATACCAAAAAATATACAAGTGTACCTTATTATTGTCCAGTGAAATTTCTCGTACAGCATCTGTGACTCCTAACACACCTGCTGAAAAACAGTCAGAAACTATTCAGACCATCTTTAAAAACTCTATATACGATGACACTTACTAAGGTCTCACTATAGTTGTCTTCATTTTTACATAAAAAACTGACAACATGACATATTCTTTTTAAGCAAAGTTGGTTATACTGATCTTGTTCTAGTCTTTACAGTCACTTAATTAAGGATTAAGCTTCAAAAGTTTCCAGAACATCTAGGCAACAGACATGATATTTTAAGTCTAGCCTCAGTTCTCAGATACTGTGATTTCCTTGTCATCACACTGAATGCACCATTAACTATTCACCTAAACAGTTTAGGGTGATAAATATGGTTATCTTTGACCATTAAAACATATGGGCAGCCGTCACCTATTCTGTGTTACCATGTTTGGTTCAGGAGATATGATGCAAAATACATCATTCTGTTACGGCAGAAAGTAAAAATGCCACAAGGCATTTTTGCAATGTCTCCTTTGAAAATGCTCTAAATAAATGCTCCAAACTGCACATGTATACCCAGTTTCAAGCTTTTATTAAAAAGTGAACATTTCCCCTCACATTTGGCACATATAATCTGGATCAGATGCAAATAGTCTGCAGCAAATAGGAAAGTAAATATATTAATCGTACACGTTTGCACATCAGTCCATCCTACATGTGTTTCTGACATGGAAAAACGGAACTAGATGCAGCCATACTCAGGATGAAATGTAGATGATGAGAAATGATGTCCAACCTGAGTTGTGGTAAGTGTCCACCCAGCCCCCATCTCCATCATCCTCTTCTATGATGGCTTCCAGCTCATCTGAATACTCCATCTGTTTACAACGCTTATAACAGGGAACTGCAAATACAGAGTCAACACAGAGAGGTAGGGTTAAACAAAACCAGATCTGGTGATGTTAGGGATAAAAATCTTCTTTTGCTGGCTGCCAAAACAAATGTATGGGATAGTTCAGATGAAGAAATGAGTCTGTGTTACAGCTCGACAATGTAGCTGCAACCAGTAGTAGTAGTTTGCAAAACTGAAAATGAAGAGCTATTGCACAGCTGCAAAGTATTAAGGGAATTTCAAGAGTTTAGTTAAAATCAATAAGCAATTAAATTGAAAACATTTGAGAACATTTAGTAGATTATTGATTTGTTATTGAAGATTATATATATGTATGTTATATATATATATATATATATATAAGATTTAAATAAAATTAAAAATGTAACATAACAGCTAATAACTATTTGATACGTAAAGACTCAAAACACAGCTGGTGATTGTTGGAACAGTGGAAAGACTAACACAGATGTTTTTGGTGAGTTTTATTTTGTTTCTGTCCACTTAGAATTAAGTTATGATGTTACAGTGATATGCTAGTTAAAATGGCCATTTTTGTCTATGGAATCCTATGCAAGTGATAGCGATATTACTGCTGTTTCTGGTCAAACAAAAGGTCTATCTCTGTAGGGGTCCTTTCCTTCCCATAATGTTGTCAGACACTAAGAATAAAGATCTGAGCCTGAGTCAGTGGCAAAAACAGGCACTTTTAGTAGACATACTGACGTGCGCATTTGTCCCCAAGGATTAACATTGGCTTAGACTGTAGCAATTGCAGCCCTTTTCACAGATATTTATATCATTATATATTATATTCTGTGAATTAAGTGTTTATTTTGACCAAACCAGTGTTGGTGATTGTTGGAAAGAGTGTGGAAAGTCTAAAAAGAAAGTTTTGGTGAGTTTCATTTTGCTTTTTGTTTTTTTAAGAAGCCATTGCTCCACTGCAACATCCAGTGTAAAGTGAATTTAGTATATATAAATGTCAATTAATAAATAAATTCTTAAAAATTGAATAAAATGATTTAAGGGCTATTCAATTTCACTTTCATGACTCATATTTTATTATGTGTCATGCCATTACATTCCCACTCAAAATTATTTTACAGTTCTTTTTTTATCCGCATTGTAATTTAAAGATGCATCTCTTTAATGCAGAGACACTTAGCCAGTTTGCACACTGCAAATCACATTAGGTCAAACCCATGGAAATTTTAGAGTTACTTCACTGGGGAACTTTTATCTATGGGGAACTGGAGAGTTGTTTATGTAACAAATACAAATTGTTGATGTGAAAGTGAGTAGCTTATAGGTGTGGAGGAAAAATTAGAGGTCCATGCTTTAAATCCATTTCTTACCATTGCGTGTCAAGAGAAACTGTTTATCCTGAGGCAAATATGGCTTCACCTTGACCTCTTCCCCACTGGCCCTTGGGAGACAGAATCACAGAGATAAAAACATTATTCCAGGCCATGTATTTTGTGCTCATGATACTGTCACTAAAAAACACTGGTCGCACATTCCCTTACTTTAAACTTGACTTAATTCACATTAATTTCAAGTTTTATAAACCACTGTTTTAGGTTTGCTTTCATATGCCTTTTTAAAGGAGGAACATACGCTTAATGACTGAAGTGTAATGTGTTTGGGCAACACAAATCAATGAGTGGAAGAGGTTTAGACAATCACATGCCAACAGGGATGTGTATCATTTAGATTTTTACAATAAAAATGCCAACACAGTATCAGACTTCTGGTGCCAAAGAAAAAACTTTAGACATAAAAGACACAAAATAACTCAACAATAGGGAAAATTCTCTCTTTAATTCCATTTTCAGTTGTTGATAATGTGCTACGTGGTGACAATAAATGGTGTGATGCAACTAGGGTTTCTTCAAGTGGAATATTGCGCTATACTGTGAAATTCAACAAGAGGAACAGAGAAGTGAGCATTCAAGAGCCACAACAGGTCAGGTATTGTTACTGTGAAGCCTTACAAGTTACACAGAATCAGAACTGATTGCGTAAAGAATCATTACCACAGTACTAACATTACTATCAGCAGTAACCACAGTACTAACATTACTATCAGTAGTAACCACAGTACTAACATTACTATCAGCAGTAACCACAGTACTGACATTACTACCAACAGTAACTATAGTACTGACATTACTACTACCAGAAATCACACTGACTACTTTGACATAACAGTAGCATTTTCTACCAACATACTACCATCTGTCCTACATTGTATGAGTACCTTGGTGGTACTACACACGTGGACTAAATTCAACTTGAAACTGACAAAAGTAATAATCATAATTTTTGTCCATGCCAGTTTCATTAGTTTCTTTTTTTAAATGATTCTGTTGAACCACAATTCAAAAACAATGCCTGATTTTCATTAGTTAATTTTCAGTACATTTTTATTTATTTCAAGTTATTTCAGCGACCACTGTGGGTTTTCCTTACTTTACTGAAAGGGTACCAACAATTTTGTCCACGTGTGTATATACACATACCACATATACCACAGAGACAAACAAACAATACAAGATAATAAAATAACGACCTATTTGAAAGTTGATCTGTGAGCTCCTTCTTCATGTGACTACTCTCCCAAACATCAACAACACATCCAAGAGCTAATAATCATTGTAGACACACTTACTATGACGGATTCATTTATGTGTGATTCAGCTCCGAGTATACACTCACCATTTCCATGTGGGACAGTGGTGAACCAAGTGATCTCCAGCTGCTACAAACTAAAATACAAAGGAAGAAGATTAAGCATGAACCTTTAACAGACAAGTTGTATGATTTAGAGAAAGGTAAAATAATAATCAAAAATGATAGATGGGCCTTTAACAAGCATGTTCTCACCTCCTCTGGTGTAATGACTCCAGTCTCTTTGAATTTCGATTCCTAAGATTAATAATAAAAAGTCATTAACATCCAGCTGTAAGTGGACGTGGTGCGCATAAAGCAGAATTGTGCAAAAGATTATATGAAGGGTCGATATTCCTTTAGGTCTGTTAGCTTGTATCTAATCACTGCTTTAGTGAACACTCGCTAAATGAATACTGTTACTGTGTTACTGTGAGCTACTGGCTAGCACTGATCATCTGTTCATGTGTTTATGACACCACATAGTAGCCACCACCTATCAACAAGCTAGCTCATGTAATGTAAGTTTACCTTCAACACTGGGGTGAGAAACTCAGCCACTCCGAGAGCCGTGCCTTTCACTGTGTTTATCACGTTCTGCATCTTGTAGAGTCCCTTTTTGATAAAAAGCGTTCGTTTTCTAAACCCGTCCTGTCAAAATTATTTTGACATAGCTCCTCAAGCAGGGTGCCAGCAAGAACAAATCACATGATACGTCTGAACGCTTCCGGTTATGAGACTCTCGCGAGGAGTGAGGAGGTGACATGAATGCGCGTGAAACTATAGCGTTAGAGAGCGTGTAGTCTGATTATTATTATTATTATTATTATTAAAGGGGATGTGTCTGTTGCTACATTTGCTAACATTTCAGACTGTTTGCTATGTTTAGGTGTGAGTCAAGTTGCTAGGCTAAGCTAGCAGTGCGTATGCTGCTTCATACCTAGCAAGCTGTCAGTATGTGGAGGTTCTCAGCGAGGTCAGTGATACGGAAAGCAAAGGTCCTCCGCGGGCTTCCCGCAGTCAACGCTTTCAAATTCAGGTCGAATGGATCGTGTGGCAGTGTTTCAGGGACGAAGTGGGTGATACCCAGTGGGTTTGACACGGGTTTGAAGGCTTTTAACAGCCTGACTAAACAGAAAGAGCCTCTCGTTCTGGCAAGAGAGGGAGTAGCTACCTGGTACGGAATATGTGATAAATATAGACCGCATTGCCCATATTCACAGCCGCATAATAACACGGAACTTCATATGTGTTGTGTCTCAGGTACAGCTGTGGACCCACTGTGTACGACCAGGCCCACCTGGGTCATGCATGGTACTGGTATAAACACCTTGTGTACAAACTAAAGTGTAAAATGTGCCTGAGTTAAATAACTTTATGTCTTGTCACAGCTCTTATGTCAGGTTTGATATCGTGCAGAGGATTTTGTCCAGGTTGTTTGGAATCACTGTCATCCATGCTATGGTCATCACTGACATTGATGACAAAATCATCAAGAGAAGTTTGGAGGTAAGATCACATGAGCTTTTCTTTCTTATACACATTTTCCTTTTTATTGGAAGTCTGAACAATAGAACAAATACAGGGAATACTTTGATTGGTATGCAATCTAAAAGAGATGAACACCCATATACGTGTACATCCCAAGACAAACTAGGGGAAATGAAGGAGATGAGCTTGTTAAATTGTAACATTAGCAGCCAATTGCACAATTATTGTTGTCCATTCTTCATAGGGGGGTGGGTGCTATACTGATGTATAGCTGTTGGGAAAGCCCATATATAATCCATCTCAACTCAAATGAGGAATTTGTAAGATTTGCTGGAATTTTCACTATATTCTGACACTAGTACATGAGACTGATGATCTGCAAGAATCCACTGGGCCTGAAGGAAAACAACGAGCTGAGAAAGATAGTTGATTGTTGCGGTTGTCAAATACAGATGCTGTGGGATTTTCTATCTCATGCACTACTGTCAGGATATAGTAAAAGTATATGTTGGGCAGAAGCACCATTCTGTTCACATCTCCAGCAAGAGTCTTCCACTCACATAGTTGTTGTGGTGTCTGATCCATCTGTGTATTATTTTTGGTGAATTAACCTATTGGCCATTGACTGCTGTCTTTATTAGCTTTGTTGAAAACATGTTTCATTTGTTTCCCTTGTTTTATAGGAAAATGTTTCCACAACCATCATATCCACAATGTATGAGGATGAATTCAAGAGGGATATGTTGTCATTAAAGGTGTGTGGTTAGGTCACAATGTCTTGTTACATTAAAATGACATTTAATTTACAGACCACCTTCAAGCCTGATATAAATGGTAATCACTGTATCTATAAACATGTATTTGTATTCTGTTATTGTTTTGAGGTGATTCCTCCTGTAGTGTATTTAAGAGTCACTGAGAACGTGCACCATATTGTTGCATTCATTGAGAGGATCATCCAGAATGGACACGCTTATGCAACAAAAGAAGGTAATTTTTTATGAATTTGTTAATATTATTTCTCTTATGAAATAATGGCTGTATTCCCATGGTACTTGAGTCAACATTTGGGAAATGCCGTGATTGCAGGTGACGTGTATTTTGACATCCAGTCCATTGGTGATCGATATGGCAAGTTTGGGAGAGCTGTGGAATATCAGGGAGAACATGGTAAGTGTCTGTGTCGGCTTCAGCAGTGTCATTGATTTTGTTAAATTAGAGGACAGGTGTATATCACTGAAGCCAGTTCTTTTGAATAGATCGAGCAAAATGTCGTTATTCTTGTTTAAAGGAAATCTCAGATTTCTTCCAGCTGAAATGCTCAAACTGTAAAGGAGAACAAGGAATACAATGCCTAGTCCCTCTCAGAACTATTTTCATAGTTTTAGCTTCAGCTATAAAATATAGATAGAATGAAATTGTTTCTTCAGGGCCGATGCATATAAGGATTATTAGTAATCAAGGAAACTAATAATAAAGATTAGTGTCAAAGTTTAGAATAACTAGTGGTGGAGTGCAAAATTTATTTATACCTCCACTACATTTTGGAAGCAAATATTGTACTTTACTCCACTATATTTATTTGATAAATGTCGTTGCTAGTTACTTTGCAGATTGACATTATTAATACAAAATGTTAATCAAGTAATAAATTATGATTAAGCAACCAAGCAGTATAAAGTAAGTAAAGTGCTCAACACATGAATGCATCAATCATTATAATCCAATATAGATATTTACAATATGTTTAATATTAAATATTAAATTATTACTCTACTATTACTTGTGAAGATCTAAGCAATCAGATAGTGTTGTGGGCGGGAAAGAGGACGAGAGGCAGCTGCATCAGAGCCGAAGTAGCGCTTAGTATTTTTTCAGCAATCACATTTTAAAAATAACAATACCGTTATTAGAAAAATTTAAAAAAAGAGTTATGACATTTATTTTCTGTAGTTGTTCTTTCTGTTTTCATTTCTCAAATTGTCTTTGTTACCAATCAGAATTCTTCCCAAGAAACGATTAAAAGTTCTCAAATTTGGCTTTTTAAGAGCCACACACACTGTGATTACTGGCACTTCTGGCTCTCTATTAGGCAGACTATATGTCACCTTTAACAAACTACACATTTCTTCAGGCAGCGCAACTAAGCGAGACCCACGAGATTTTGCTCTTTGGAAGCACGCAAATCCTCAGGAACCATACTGGGACTCTCCGTGGGGCAGAGGAAGACCAGGCTGGCATATCGAATGCTCTACCATCGCTAGGTTTGGATTTACAATAACCTGTCTGCTTCATTTAGTCTCTTACTATATGTTAGTGATTCAGTCCAGTGATTCCCAACCTGCTGTACTTATACGATATGACTACATGATAAGTGGACGACCTGCTCGACCTCTGAGCCACAGTCCAAAACTAGCACTGGTTTTAGACGTACTTCTAACACTAACAGGAATGATAGGAAAGGATTTTGGTACAATTCATACTCAACTAAATTTTATTTATGATTGACTAATACTTTGAAGCCCAGTTTAATGCAGTATCTATCTAGTTGAAAGTAATGCAATCTAATCTAACAGCTCTACAATAATTATTTTATGGAGGTTCTAATCTTCAGAGGACTGTGTACGATCATTCGAGAGGATATGTTTGGCTTGTATAATCTTATGTTTCTAATATCTAATCTACCCTCAGTGGTATAAATGATTTGCATTGGTTTAAGCAAGGTGTACTCAAAAGGTTGTAAAGACGAAATGTGAATGCAGTATTTTTGTCCAGTGGGCAAACTCCTTCCTCTACTCAGGTAAATCGGTTTGGCTCTGTAGCAAAACATTCATTTGCATTTTCCCTTTTCATATCAATAAGATTTATTAGTAATTAGTAATAGTAATTATATTGCGTGCTTTCAGAATCAGTTGTCTCTGTGGTGGTTTCAGCTCAGTGTTTGGGAGTCAGCTGGATATCCACTCTGGAGGTATCGACCTGGCCTTTCCTCACCATGAGAATGAGATCGCTCAGAGTGAAGCCTATCACCAGTGTGGACAGTGGGCAAACTACTTCCTCCACTCAGGTAAATCCTCAACCTCAATCCTCTTGACTAAAAAATCACATTGGAACCATTGTGTCCCGAAAGTACGGGTGCTTGGGGGGGGAAAAATTCAAATACTTAAAAGTGGATTTACTGAAGAATAAAGAGTGCTTGAATATAGCCTGTGATTCCAGAATTTTATACATTAGTGCTAGACCAAGGTTGATACACTTTCATAACCATAAAGTAATAAATAAGTATGGTTGATATGTTTTGTATTTGTAACTATTGATGAAAAAAGAAGGGGTGCACTGAGGCCAGACATGAACATTCAGTATCAATATCTGAATATTCAATTTTTTCAAATTGAGATTTTGCTTACACTCAAAACCAAAAATCTCCAAATTCGTAATCAGTACAGCTACCAAATCTGCATCTCAGCATTTCATCCATTTCTGTGAAGAAAACTAAATGACATTGTTATTTTTAATGTTCAGATAAATATTTAGGATCTCAACTTGGTTGCTGATAAACAGCCGTGTTCTGCATTAGAAAAGTCAAAACCTCCACAGAACTAATAGAACAGTGGCCAAGCATCAGGAAGAACAAAACACTGAATTTGTCAAAAAAAGAAGCCTATTAAGTATGTATGATTGTGAAAAAAAACTAAATACACACATAGAATTGTGTAAAACATTATAAACAATATCAGTAAAACTCATCTCTAATGCAATATTCACATAATCTGCTCAAAATCTATCAGAATTGCTAATTTTATACAAACTTCCTGCAGTTATTGTGTTCAGTATTTCATCAATATACAACCAATATACAGTTGTTCTGTAATGTTATTGTTATGCATTGAAGATAATATGAAATGTCCATAAAATGTGTCAGTTTAGTCAAAAGATAGAAAAGGGGTCCCTTAAGACAGACGACCACCCACCTAGAGCCGAAGGATCTGTCCTAGGTTTCTGCCTTTTAACAGGTAGTTTTTCCTTGCCCTTGTCGCCTAGTGCTTGCTCATGGTGGTACTGTTGGGTCTCTGTAAATAATGTTTTAAAGAGTTCGGTCTAGACCTGCTCTATTTGAAAAGTGTCCTGAGATAACTTCTGTTATGAATTGGCGCTATACAAATAAAATTGAATTGAATTGAATTAAGGAAAAAGGTTAGGAACCACTCACCAAGGACCAAATAAACCAGAAGATATTCACAATTGAAAAGCTGAAATCAGAGATTTTTTCAAAAGCCACTTAAAACAATTAATTGATCATCAAAAAGTTGCAGATTAATTCAATAGTTGACAAATAATCTGCTAATCCTTGCCGCTGTAGTCCTCTGTGAGAACTCTGGGCACTGCTGCACAACTCTGCATATGTCAAGTCAAGAGGCTTCCCCTCAAAAGACTGCCACACTTAGTGTTTCTGTTTGTAAATATGTGCACCTGATTGGTTGTTATTGTTTTTAGGACACTTGCACCTAAAAGGCAGCCCAGAGAAAATGTCTAAATCTTTAAAGAACTATGTCACCATCCAGGTAAAGTCATCATGAATTATTCATCACCTATTGAGTAAATCAATCAATTTCTGTATCTTCCATGTTGTATATTGACGTTCTGTTTTTGTCTTCCATCAGGATTTCCTGCAGTCTTACTCTGCCAATGAGTTCCGTATGTTTTGTCTTTTGAGTAAATACCGGTCAGGTAGGAAAACAATTAATTTTTTTTTTTACTGTTTCTTTTCCCCAGTGCTATGTGATATGAAGACATTTTGAATCCATATGTTTATCATTTAAAGGCAGAAATAATTTTTAATTATTGGTACATTTATACATAACTATATTAGTTTTAAACAGTGTTTCTTAATGCATGATGATGATGATGAAAGAAGTGGCAAATTATTCCAGTGGCAGAGTAATGAAGCAGGTTGTAGACTGTGTTCGTTGCAGTAACATGATTTATGTGCTGTCTCCACAGGTATTAACTACAGTGACAGCAGCATTTCGGAGGCTCGGACCTCTCTGGGAACCATCTCCACCTTTATCCATGATGCTCAGGCCTACATGAAGGGTCAGCTGCAGTGTTCACCTGTACAGGAAGCTTTGCTCTGGGAGAGGTAGTTACTTCCTCCACAGTTTGAATGATTCATTCATGGTTTGATTCTTCATCATATTTGTTTCACTTTCTGTTAGACTGACTTTCTGTTGAGTTCTCAACCCATATTATCTCTGTGTGAGAGTAAACCTCATTAAAATAGTATTTCATGTGAAATGTCCAAATTGGCGATTGACACTTTAACCATGGGAAAGTAAGTATAGTGTACAATATTTGAAAAACAGCTAAAAAGTGTGTGCAGGTTTGATGTGTGGGAACATATGGAAAGTGCATCATTTGGAGGGTAAGGTTTTTTATGTGTTGGCTTGAACTGTGCATCACTTGCCTGTTGTGGCATACATGATGATATTTTCGGATTGTCCATCAGTCTTTCTGCCATCTGGCATAAATGGCCCACTAGGACAAGGATGAACTGATTAAATTTTGGTGGTCAAAGATCACTGTGACATCACAAATGAATTGGTGACACTTGACTTTAAGCTCAAAGTTCATTGTGACCTCAAAATGACCTTGACAGACATGTCTTTGGTCAGAGAAGAATTGACGTAGTAATTACAACAACATTTTATACAGTTGTTTACTTGGATCCAATGAAGTGATGATATTTTTTCATTCAAAAAGTCCAATGTCAACTTTATTGTGGCATCATAATATCCGGGAAAAACACTTTTTTGACGCTTATTCAACACCATAACTTAGGGACAGGTTGGGAGATTGTCAAAATAGTTCACAGTTGATTTGACACTGAATTGACTCTTTTAGTCAAAAGAGTCATTCACAATGACCTTTGAGTCCAAAGGTCATTGTGAATGAGTATGAGTCTGGACAGATCTGGGCAGAGAAACTGCAACTTGACTTGTAACTTGGTTGGAGGAAGCATCCATCCAGTTCTTGTTTGTTTAAAGGTTTGCCTCTAAAAGACATTCCCATTGTTACAAGGTTCTTTGAAGTCTATATTTGTTTGTCCCCCTAAAAAACAGAACAGGTAAGAAAGTATTATTTATTTCTTCTTCTAGTTATGTTTGAGCTGACTGGGAGAACTTGTGTTTCTTCAGGTTGACTGAGACTAAATCCAGCGTGATGAAAGCACTGGCAGACGACTTTGATACCCCGAGAGCCATGAGTGCTTTGATGAATTTGATTTATCATGCAAACTGCCAACTCCATCCTGTTTCTGAGGTAACTTGCTGTGCCTAACTGCACACCTCTCTTGGAAATACATAAACACACTGAACAACAACATTTTACATTGCTAAGTCTTCAGCCACCCCAGAAGGGGAACAAGAATGTAATTGCGAAGGGGAAAGTTGGATAGATCGCTGACTGTATGACCCCAGCTAGCAGAGAAATAATATCTGTGTATATTGTACCCATTTAGTGTGATGGAGCAGCTCGGAGCCCTGCCGTGTTTGCAGCGATGGTCAGCTACATCAGAGATGTCTTGGATGTGTTTGGGATAAATCTGATGCACAGTAAGGTCAGTACACCTTTTGTCATTTTTTTTGATTCTCAACTGGTGGCAGGGCAGCATTTGTGTTAATGAGTAGTCATCTTACATTCCCTCCCCTCTGCTGTCCCGCCTTCACATGCAGGAGTCTGATGCTGTGAGTCCTCAGGGAAGTCTGGAGGGCGTCGTGGAGCAGCTGACCCGTTTCAGAACTGAAGTTCGAGCATTCGCACTTGCTCGTCAAGATTGCCTGACCGCTGGATCTCTCAACAAACCTGGACTTAACCCAGAGAGAATCCCGCTCCTCAAAGCTTGTGACACCCTCAGAAACAACCTGGCACCCTTGGGTGTGCTGATAAAGGTAAGCTGGGTCAGCTCACATCAAACTGAAAACTGAACTGTGGCAACATGCAGCGTTTATTCTGATATCAGATATTTCAAGTATAGTTTACAGGGATATTTATTTTTCTTGTTTTCAGGATAGAGGAGCCAACTCGACGTGGGAGATCACTCAGAGAGGACAGGGAGTCCAGGATAAAGACCAAGAGACATCCAGCTGAAATCCACCTCAGCCTCTGAGACTCACTTTTTATTTCAGGCTTGTGGACTGAAAGACCTTTGAAAAGAAGAGACCAAACAATCCTGATTCCATGAGAACAGAAACAAACTTTAGGTTATAAACGCCTGATGTGCCTGTCATCAGTGTATGGACTCATATTCCTTCAGAAGTCAGAAGATATATTATGTAATAAAATCTGTCTATTTAAGCACAGTCATAGATTTTATGTTCATTAGTTGTGTGTTTCTGTGGTGCAGATTTGTTTTGGATGATAAAACTTGTGTTGAAGATCTGCCTCAGAAAACCCACTAATCTCTTATCACAGTGATGACAGAGCCACTCAGTATTAAATACTGGCCCTAGATCAGGTCCTGTGCTGATCGTACAGGACTATAATGCTGAGTGTTGAAACAAATGCATATTAAAGGAACAGTTCTGACATTTCAAGAATATCATTGGAGTAAGAGGAGTAAATGGATACAAAGAGAGTGATTCAAGTTGTATGCAGTAGAGACTCGTGATAACAAGGGCTTACGTCTAGCTGGTGTTAACAGTAGGTGAAGGGGTAAATACAGGCGGCCTCTGCTTTTGAGAGACAAAGTGTAGGAGACGTTTCAAAAATGGCCAGCAGGGGGCATGATTAACTTAGTTACAAGGAAATTAATGAAAAGATTGTAAGACAGAATATTTTTACTTTGCTGTATGACCAGAACATAAACATAAGTAGCTAGGGTTCCCAAACCTCATCCCTTGGAGGGCCAGAGCTCAGTGATGTCAATGATCAAAGATCGTCTTTGGTTGATGGTCTGTCACATGACCTTCCTGTCTGCCGCTTTTTATCAATGACTACAGGTGGACTACAGGTGGACAATGTAAATTACATCACCTGCAGAAAAACCTCTGTTGCAGTTTAAGTAACTAATGAAGTAGTTGGTTGTTTCAACAAAGCCAGTTATATTTGTGTATAAATTCAAACTTCAAATTTGAAACCCAAATTCACTCCTTGTGAATGGGAAACTTTATTGTGCTTAAAATGAAAGGGTGAGGACATAGGCATTGGACATCTCCATGTTAGGTGTTAATTTCATGATCTGTATGACACAACCACCATGAAGGTCACAGTAAAAAAGTCCAACAAACGCTTTGACAAAAATATGAATCTCAAACTGGACTTTTGATTTTTATTTTTTCCCCACAACAAAGCAAAGTCACTGTATCATATTGTTGGGCTTAATTTCATGTCATACACAGTTACTGTGTCTTCATTTCAACTTTTAAATGTCTTTTTGAAGCCAATAGCAGTCCTCGATGTGCTTTTCACCAGCAGCTTAGAGAAAACTTCAGACGTTACTCTTCAGCAGTCTCATAAAGACTGTGGTCCAGGTGTCCTGCATCAGTGAGGGATCTGTCAGGCAGTGCTGCGGCTCTCAGGCGTCAGGTTGATGAGAGAGTTACTGGCCTGAGCCAGCTCTGTAATGGAAACTCTGCCTCTCTGTCTGATGAACTGAGCCACTGAATCCAGCTCCTCTGGAGTGATGGAGATAAACTTCCCTCTGTCATCAATCACTCCTGCAGGACACATACATCGCATTATATATATAAAAAAATTTTAAAAAGTATCTCTCAAACTTTTTACACCATATTAGTACCACTGTTATGACTGACATTAAAATACAGTATTGTAGGCCAACACTGTTCAGCTATAGGCAGTTCACAAAGGAGGCTGGTTTATTCCTTTATTTGTTTATTTAAATATTGTAGACTTTGCTCAGCCACAGACATGGTGTACAAAGAAGTACCACTACAACTGATACTTGGTGTCAGCATGGTGTAATGAATCATGGATGTATGCACACCCTATGGTGCATGAAAACTCTGTAGCAGGCTGATGCTGGAAAAAAAATACTACAGGAGAAGCAAAACTTGTTTTGAATTACATTTCAAGAATATCATAGTTTAGTATTTTCATTCGACTGGATGTCATTTGATAAAGTGTTTTTTTCCCAAAAAACTTCATGGATTCCTCCATAGACCACTAGAGGGAGATCACATACCACAGGTAGTTGTGTATTGTGTGTGTATGTATACTGTATACGCATTTGGAGGAAAAAGCTCAAAGGGATGTCTTCGAATCCCGTGTTTTGTCCAACCAACAGTTTAACAACAACAACTAATTTTGTTTTCTATTATATATGACGAAGAAAAGCAGAAAATGCTAGATAGTCGGTAATGTTGGCAAAGAGTAATTAATCTGAGGAGCATCATCCATATCAGCCCTGGTCACACTGACCTGTGAGGGAACCTTCAGCTAACAGGTCCTGCAATCTGCTAATAGCATCCTGTGTCCTCATCCCAAATTGAGAAGCCAAGTCCTCCAGGAGGACCACCTTAGAACTCTGTAGGACAGAGGGGACACTGTTCAATACAGTGCATTCACATCAGTACAGGGTGGAGGGTGTGGAATGTATTAGCTCTCACCTCGATGTACTGGATGAATTCTTGCAGCAGGTTGCGTGACTGAGTAAAGAACACAAACAAGTTGTTATATTTAAAAGTCAAAGGACAGAGAGAGTGGAACGTTATAATGATACAAGCTCAGCAGAGATGTGACCTGGTCCTCAGTGAGCTGCTCCTCCTCTCCCTGGTCTTCTATGACGAAGGAGGCTTTGAGTCTTAAGTACTCCTCCTCCTCTCGTCTCTCCTGCTCCTCTTTAGCCCGGCGCTCATCCTCCTCCTGAATAAACACCAGCACAGAGTCTCAGCATCTCCTTGTATGAACAAGAGTGAACAGCTGGTGAAGTGTGTGTGTGTGTGTGTGTGTGTGTGTGTGTGTGTGTGTGTGTGTGTGTGTGTGTGTGTGTGTGTGTGTGTGTGACCTCTTTCTGTTCCTGCAGTCGTTCTCGCTCCTCTTCCTGACGTCTCTCCTGCTCTCTGAGCTCCTGCATCCTCTTCCGCTCCTCCCTCTCCTCCATCTCCACCTGTGTTGGGAGTTTTAAAACCTTAACAGTGAGCTAAAGACATCTGAGAATGGTCATTTAACACCTTTGAAAACTTTGAACAGATATAGAATAGTAAGCCATTTAGAAACATTAAGTGATCTTCCACTCTGACATCCCTTAATCCCAGCTGGAGTTGTGTCCCTATTCTAAACTACATATTAATTCTATACAGTATATACTACATATTACAGTAAAAGAGTAAGTCTGCTGTTTGACCATTTCTTAAAAGGTTACAATACATGCGCTTTGGACAAACTGCTACTTTACAATGTCTCTGCCAATTGACCCTTCCAAAGTCCTGCCCCTTTTTGCTCTGTGCTCCAATAACAGTTCAGCAATCCTTCCTGTACTACAGTATGTGCTGGGCTCGTCTGTATTGGAAAGACAACCACATTCTGAAGATGGTTAAAAGATCAAACAGACAAATGTTGTCACATCTTAAGTTAGCTAATGTTAGCAAAACGCTACCTGACTAGCTAGCAAATTAATTTTTTTAAAGTTATTTTTTGGCATTTTGCCTTTATTGATAGTGACAGCTGAAGACAGACAGGAAAGGGGGGCAGAGAGAGGGGATGACACGCAGCAAAGGGCCGCAGGTCGGATTCGAACCCGGGCCACTGCAGCAACTCCGTACATGGGTTGCCAGCTCTACTGACTGAACTAACCGGGCGCCCTAGCTAGCTAATTTAAATCAATTTGTAATTAGTTAGCAGATGTAACTAGCTAACTGTTGATGTAAATTATCTTGCTAGTTAGCTAGCATTTTGCTACGCGGCCCCATACACAACAAATTGCAATGCGTGTGTGTTCTGACACCTTTCTATCAGAACTAGCATTAACTTTTTCACACACGGGGCAATCCTTCGCTCCCCACCGGCATCAAAAAGCCCATCTCTGCTTTTCCTTCCTTGGACCACTTTTGATAGGTACTGACCACCGCAGACTGGGAACACCCCACGAGAGCTGAATTTTCATGGAAACAGTATTCCCGTATAGGAGTGGCCTCTTTCAGCAGCCATGCCAAAAATCAGAAATGTTCAGGAATGGTTTGAGGAACAAGGTGTTGACTTGGCCACAAAATTCCCAGAGCATCTGTGGGAACTGCTGGACAAACAAGTCAGATCCATGGAGGCCCCACCTCACAACTTACAGGACTTAAAGGATCTGCTGTTAACGCGTTGGTGCCAGATACCACAGCACACCTTCAGAGGTCTAGTGGAGTCCATGCTTCGTAATATCATTTTAGGCAATATCAGGTAGGTGGTCATAATGTCATGGCTGAGCCTAGCACATCGCATAACCAAGTACAGGAAAGGAGATACAGTAGTTGACCAAGGTTCTGACTAAGGCTTGCTCAAATGTTATTGGAGCATAAAGTAAAAAAGGGGCAGTACTTAGGAAGGGACAATTAAAGGTGGGGTCAGTCATTCTGGAGAAAGATCGCTGACTCAAAAGTCAACTATCTTTCTCCAGAATGACTGACCCCACCTTTAAACTTTGACAAAGAGACATCAAAATGTTTTTGCCAATATTTGAGATTTCATTTTCTGATGTGAGCATTTTCTCCGTTTCTATTCTGCACTTTGGGAGAATAGTGTCCATCAACAAAATCAAACATATTTAGTCAATCGTCTGCTTTGAGTCTACTCCAATTTGTCACTTTTCCAGTGTGACTACACACTCAGTGCCAGCTTAGAATGAGTGGACAGCATGGACCTCACCTCTCTCTGGGCTTTCTTGGCCTGTTTCTCCTCCAGCTTCTTCTGCTTCTTGGCTCCAACTTTTGCTGTCGGCTGGAAGTTCTGCTGCTCCACCTCTTCTTCCTCCTCGTGCTCCTCCTCTGAAATCAACAGCACACTTGTCACATGATCTTTTACATAACACATTATACATATCAAAATGGGAGCATTTGGCTAATTATTTTACTATTTAAGTGATTAACTTTTAAAAGCGCAATCATGTAGTCTACATGGTTGAAGTGACAGTTTTAGGACTAACAAGAGATTCTTGCTCATCAAAAAATCCATTACATTATGGTGTACTTTATAAACAAAGTTAGAACTGTTTACCGGGTTCCACAGCTTCTCTCTGTCTGTTTGCCATCACTGCAGCGAAGTTCCTCCTCCTGCGAGGCATACCAGCTCCTCGCTCCTCTGCTGCCCGCTGAGGGGGCCCCGCTGCCCGGACAACATCCCTCCGCTGCTCCTCATCAGCTGAGAATGGAGAAGGCACAGAACATATCATATTAGTGTCTATGCAATGCATGTTACATATGTAACGACTGCAAAGATTTCAATGGTATCAGATCAGTACACGCTATTAGTCAAAACACTGAGGTTGGGCCCTGGAACTGGTGGGAGACAGGTGCGTCCCTGTTCTTATAATAAGATTTCCTTCTATCGATTTATAGAGATAGGTTAAAAAACTTCTGATACTTCAATCAAAAACACAGTAATATCTCCTTCCTGAAATAGGCTTCAGCTAAAGATATCCTGATCAGGTGTTCTGGTCCTCCAGTCTTGATCTGAAGTTATTTCTTACTGAGCATTTGATCATTCTGAGTCCTAACCACTCTTAGGACTCAGGGGCCTACAAGCATGATTTGTGACATCATAAATAGTTTGAAGGTAAATCCCAGTCCAGTATGCAATTTATACAAGTGTGATGTAGAAACTTGAAGCCACAAGTGCACATACACTGTGAACAGACTTTACAGTGAAGAAGGAGACATCTTGTGTCCAGCAGGAAAACTTGAATGTACAACATTTACATATTTGTAGATTCTGGAATTTTTATTAAAGTAGTAGATGCCTTTTTTTGTGGAGAAAACACATCAAACACACATTATTGTTCCATGCATTCTGTCTTAATATAGTCTGGAGGGGATCTTTAAGTGTATGCATCTATGCATTCAAAATAACTTTACATAATAGAATATAGCCAATTCGTTACTTTTCATGGCAGACTTTTAAGACAAAGCAAACAATGTTTCAAAACTGCATAACAGCTTTTACGAATATACAGCAACTACAACATAAACAGAAAAAAAGATACAATTACTTTTGTGTCTTCAGTAAAGGCGTTTTTAGTGTGCTAAGTAACGCTTAAACATTACTACAAGTTCATATGGCCCACTGCAGCCTCCGTAGTTTAAGACGGACTGACAGCTGCTGACGTTTCTTCAAACCAACACAAAAGCAACTTCAGCAGGAAGGCTTCCAGGGTGACTTGCCGCTGTTTCCTCACACCACATAGGTTTACTACAATGTCAACAATGTGACACCGTGTCGAAAGGTAAACGTGTTAAAGCAACAGCTGGGTAAACACGATGCTAACATTAGCTCACCGACGTTAGCTCTAAGGCTCCTTACCTTCCTGTGTTTTCTTTCGCACCTTCAACGCAAACCCAATGAGAACAATGAGGACAGCAGCAGCTACCAGATACAGCGCTACATCCATATCGCTTCTGACAATATACTTCCACTAAATATAAATTACTGTCCACGTCTATTTCAGTCTCCAGCTGTGGACTGCGGAAGCCCGTTCTCGGATCGGGTACAGTGGTAAAGGCTGCATACCGCCACCTACTGCATTGGAGTTAACGGTGATTGTTCAAAACAAATAAAAGAACACGTAGTCTCTTACTTAGTCTAAAATATGGTCATAACAGATCATTAAATTAATTTCTGTTTTTTTTTAACACATTATTAATCTAAATTAATTTATTCAATTTAACAGCAGCCAACATCAAACTGGGCCGGCACTTTTCCCTCTTTAGATTTAGCCCTGATAAATATATACAGTAGCTTGAGGTATTTTGGTGCTACGTCAGCATAATTAACTGGGGGGGGGGGTTTAAATGACCCAAAAAAATGGCAGATCTGAGATCTAATTCAGCAAGCAAAGCAGTTTGCCCTGCTTCCATGTAACACGCAGTGCAGTTTGACACTCACTAGGTGGCAGACATGCTGCCTCTGCAGGGATCACCTTAACTGCTGACACACTAAATAACATCCTCCCTCTCTCTCTCTCTCTCTCTCTCTCTCTCTCTCTCTCTCTCACACACACACACACACACACCTCATCCATCAAGTAAGAAGGAAGGTCACATTCACAGCTGCGCTCTTCGTAATGAATCATACCTGAAAGCATCATCTACTACTACATAAAATCTAAATACTGAAACCATTGTCATAATGCAAATACTACAAAATTACAAACATATAAAACAAAAAGTCAGTAAAAAGCAAGCATAAAAATAGCAAGCAAAGTACAATCAAACTTTGTGTACAGAATGAATATAGAGACGGGTATAAAACTTTAGAATCAAGTGGACAGCAAAGTGAAGGCATAGATCAACCTGGTGCTGGGTCCTTTGAATCCCTCTATCATCTTGCTGTCTGTGTTTACAGTCTGTCTGTGCACACTACCTGGCCACCGATTTATTTTGGAGTCATTTGAACATATTCATTAAGGAATATGCAACATTTAAACTGAAATAATGAAGATCTTGAACAACATTTTTACACAGAGGCCCTCCAAAGAGGCTTAAGAGCAGGTAGCCTAATATGATAGGTACAATATCACTAAAGCAATGTAAATATAAATAATTAAGCAAAACTCCTGCATTTACAATCCTGTTTAAGTAAAAGTATTTGTTCTGCTGTAAAAATGGTCCTTGTGACTGATATATTCCATGTGAAAACATTAGAATTAGAGTTAATACTGATCAAAGCAACATTTTATTTTTGTAGCTGCTCTAGGTTGAGCTAGTTTTAACTACTTGAAATCAATTAGCTAGTGTAGTCCAATGCTTCCCAACCTAAGGGTAGGGGCCCTCCAAGGGGCCACAAGAAGAGAGAGAAGGTCCTCTCTGTTTTTTTCAAGAAAAGCCACTAACTAAACTCTGCTCTGGTGATAAACACATTTAACTATATATTAACTATAAATTCTTAAAAGTAAAAATAACAGTTATTTTGTTATTTAAACACTTTCATTATGAAGCAGCAAAATCAGTACTAACAACACTAACAACTCCTACACAGCTGAAAGCGAACACAAAACAGTAAAATAAAGTATAAACTTGGACACAGAAGAGAAACTTCAAACCACAGAGATTCAGTAAGAAACCACAAAAGTACTGAGAGCCGAACACACTTTTAAAAATGTCTGTCTGTCTGCTCTACTGCACAGACATGAGTTGAGCCTCGGAACAGGCATGTTTTTTGAGGGGGATAAGGTAGGTTTTCACGGGTTGACTGCAGTTGGTGAGATGTCACCACAGTCTGCTTGGAGCCGACTCTGGAGAAGGTCCAAAGGCACAAATGCAAATTTCATGGCATAGTTTGGCTCGCTGTGGCCAAAAGCAGTAATGGAAAAGCTCTAAAGATACATCTTGTGGGTCATGTCATGATAAATGTGGCAGAAACAACAAACACATTTGTGTTCATTTTTGTTTTTTATTTAAAATCTTTCTAGTTCAGCCGACAGAAGTCTCTGGTGACAATAGTAATGTCATTTCTTTAAGTTTAAAAATGTGAAAAGCCTTATCTACTGCGAGTGTTTGGTTTGCTCGTTCTGGGCTACTGTAGAAACATGCCAGACTCACGCTGTGTCTCTGTAGATAGAAACGGCTCATTCTAAGGTAACAAAAACACACTACTATATTCTGGTGATTGTACACTAATGACAACATACATATGAATATTATAGTTCATTTCTGCCAATAGATCTTCCTAAATGTTACACACTGGACCTTTAAGATGCAACTACAAGTGATTTGGTTGTCTTTTCAACATAGATTAAGTACAGGAAAGGAGAAAGATGACTGAAGTTCTGACTGAGGCTTACTCAACTGTCATTGGGGCACAGAGAGAAAAGAGGCGGAACTTAGGATGGGTTGCTACTGAATTACTAAATAATTATGAACTAGACCCCTTTTAATGACCTTTTATACAAAAACATGGAGACAGTTGAGTTTATTAAGAGATGTGAAAAAATTATGAACCACATGTGAAGTTTGAATGAGAAGAGACAAATAGTTCTGAGAAGGGTCCTTTAGTTGCCAGTGTAACTGAACGAGTGAGTTCATCATGGCACATTGTGTCTGAATGTGGGATAGTAAAGTGCAGTGAACTCATTCTCTGCTCGTGCAGCAGGAGCTGAAAGAATTTCCCAGTCAGCAGTTTTCTTAGTCAGAGAACAGCAGCAGGAACAGGAGAGAAGAGCGCAAATGAAAGTGAGGACGAGCTAATCATTTAATCCCCTCTCCCACAGAAGGATGTGAAGCTTCACTGGGTGTGACGGTACTTTTCCGTCACCGATGACATCTGGAGGACACAGCCTCCTTCTGGAGCACCCACTGCAATCTGATACTCTCTCTCCCCCTCTTTTTCTGTGTACCTGTGTGTGTATGTTCTGTCTTGTACATGGAAATGTTTTGTTGCTATTAATAACATTTTTCATGCTGGCAAAAAGATCAGTGTGTCTGCTTGTCTGTGCAGGATCTTTACTCTGGTGATTACAATGACACTGCAGCATGTCCTCAGATTTACTGCCTGAGCAGACATGTGTCAGTGATGAGAAACTGTGCAGGGATGTGATTAAGATGAATTTAACTGTATCCCAACAGCAGACCACTGCTGTGTATTTATTTTTACTGTAAGGTGTAAATGTGTCTCTGCTTACAGATAAGCATAATTATATTTGGCAAATTAACTGTTTCTCTTATAATATATCATACCTTTCAGATGCGACCATATGGTATCTAAAGAATGTATGCATGGCTGAGACAGTCTAAAGTTGAAGGTGAGCAAGGACACTACACTTGCCGCAGTCCTTATTTCCTGGTTCAGTGCTCAGGTGATCAACAGGGGGCGGAGATTACTGCAGCTACTTTCATGGGACGGCCTTGCAGAGGAAAACTGCAATATACAGAGAAGTAGTTGTGGGAACATGACTGATGTCCCCCTGTTTCTATGTCAAACCTCCAGAGGTCAGTGTGGCCCCAGTCCCATGTAAAGGGAGAAGAGCCAGGCTCACAGTTTAGCCAGTCAGCAGACTGTGCAGGTGTAGTAGTGTGAATGTAGTCATGCAGATACTTGGAGGACGTAGTAGTAAGGAGGGGGCTGGACAGTGAGGCAGGAAGAGGAAGACAGGAAGAGCTGCAATGTTCTCTGCAGAGACAAGGTGACTTCTCTGCAGGACGGATCTGTTCATGAGTGAAACCTGAACAAAGTCCACACACACCTGCGCAGTCACAGGGAATGTATCACACATTAAACACAGTTCTTAAGATGAACAGCTCGCCAGATTATTCAGCATTTTCCTTGTAACACAAAATGGTCAGATGATACACTAAGTACACTAGTAATACTTTGTTACATATTTTTACCACTACAATTTCATACCTCATGATGTGAGTGTCAGGCATTCTAATGAGTGAAAGTAACTTAAGATACTGTATACTGCGTCTCTTTACAGCCCTTTTCTCACTGGACAACCCCTGATTCCTGGTATCAGTAGTACGGGTATTTACTGGCTTTGCACTTGAATGCGACTAACTGAACACAGCTCACATTTGTATCTGACCACCTGGGAATGAGAACGGGGTGAGGAGTACGGTAGAGTCTGTAGATAAGAACCGCTCATTCAAAGGACACAAAAACACAACAATTATTATATTCAGGTGATTATGAAAATTTAATATTCTATATTTATACATACTTGATCATTTTATTCTTTTTCGGCACAATGCTGTGACACACTTGTTGTACATTATTTATTGTTTTATACAGTCTAAGGGTATTGTGTGTGTATCAAAGCCTGATGTATCTTCTTCCTCTGTGCCAGAAGAAGAAGAAGAAGAAGAAGGAGAAGAAGAAATATTTATTAATCCCCAATGGGGAAACACAATACAATACACAAAATACAATCCTGCATATGCAGGGCTTATAGACATGCAAATGTGGAAAGATGGGCTGCCACAAAGGGGCGCTCCGTGAGCAGTTAGGGGTTGCCTTGCTCAAGGGTGCCAGCTGCCAGTCCACACTCCATACAGTGCTGGACTTAAACCAGTGAACCTCCAGTTCCTAAGCCAAGTCCCTACAGACTGTGCTACTACCACCATAAAGCACCATTATTGTCCAAAAACAATTTGCACAGTGACATGTTCCTTCATTACCCAATGCCTCAGTCCCATTTACACCATCTTCCTGCACCATGTACTCATCAAATGTTGAATAATCTGCCCCTGAAAATAGTCCCAACACAGCACAACCATGCAATGCAAAAGATAAGATAGAAAAAAAACATCCCATTTGACCATTTGAGAGCTGTTTTTTGTTTATTAAGCTGTTTTTTAAATAATATTTGATCATATTCGCTATTACTTTGCCTTTATTTGTGAGATAACAGGAAATACAGGGAGAGAGAGCACCAAGGTTCCAGCCACACTTGAAAGGAGATCTTTGTGATCACAGTCCCTCGGCCATTAGAAATAAAATATAGAAACAGAGAAATAAAAACTAGATAGGCAAAGATGTAAGTGCAGTGTAGCTCATGTTGAATGTG